AAATTTGTATGTCTCGCAAAATTGTGGCAACCTGTACTTGTTCACATTTTCATGACAAAACTTGCTTGTCTCGCAGAGTTGTGGTATCCTGTACTTGTTCATATTTTAATGACAAAACTTGCTTGTCTCGCAGAGTTGTGGCATCCTGTGGCCTATTTGTTCAAATTTTAATGTCAAAACTTGCTCGTCTCGCTGTTTGCTGATGAAAACATGTCTGCTGGTTGGAAATTTGGTCAGAAAATCTGTTGAATTCACTTTAAAGAACCGAACTTTACTGTGAAATATTTCATTCGTTTATTTGAGTAACTAGCGTGTATATCTATTTCTGCTGACTCCATTTCTTAATGAGAAACCTACCTGTACAATCCTCATCAAAAACAGAAGTTTATACATTCATGTTTCTGTGTACAAGACACTAGCTGTAATTTTGTATAACTTATCTACGTTTGGTTTTGAAAATAGAATTTTTTTTTCTTCACCCTCAAACACATTTCATCAAACCCCAACCACCCTCATCTGGCCCAGTCCCCCCCATCCCCCTACTACCTCCCCACCCCCATTGTACACAACTATCGAAATCCCTACTTGAATTATTTTTTCTCCTTCTTCAACCTACTCTCACCCACCCTGCTCTCAGTGCTACAAACCGCCCCCACCACCCCCTCCACACACACACACACACACACACACACACACACACTCAAACCACTATCCCATTTCAAACGGCTCCAGTCATTTGTTTATACGCTACCCTCTAAGCCGAGCCTGGATGGGAACTTCAAAGACCCCTTATCGACCCCGATTTTCTTAGATCCGCTGATCCCTAATCCGCTCTTTAAAGATTTTAAACCAATCTGAAAATCAAGCGGGGAAAATTAGGCCCTTGAAAATCATGTAGAGTTTATGTGGCTTTAAAAATAAAATAAAAAATATAAAACAAACAGAAATTTGGATCCATTTTTCTACGCTCAGATAACATATTCGCATGAATATTTATTCTAAAAGATGAAACAACCAATGATAGGGCTTAAAAGAGTTATCCCAATTGTTTTAAATTGGCAATAGATCCCTTTATTAGTCTCACGCACTGAACGCCTCGTTTGGATGTCAGGCGACCTTGACCTATGGCAACTAATTACTAGAGCGATAGCTGGACTTAGCCGTGAGCGGTAGAGAAGCATATAATTATTCTGAGATAACCCCCCCTCCCCCCACACACACACAACACACACATCGACATCTCTTCCTCACTCCTACAAACACACACACAGAGAAACACACACACCCAAACACACACATTATCACGTTTATAAGATCGGTCAATAAAGAAAAATGCGGCCTAACGTGAGGAAACGATATTCTGCCTGTAGGATGTTCCGGGTTCGGATCCTGGCAGTGCACGCCAGATCATAATGCTGACAATCTCACCCAACAGGAAGGTTTCAGCGACTACAAATCAAACAAAACTAAACAATGACAATCTCACCCAACAGGAAGGTTTCAGCAACTACAAATCAAACAAAACTAAACAATGACAATCTCACCCAACAGGAAGGTTTCAGCAACTACAAATCAAACAACACTAAACAATGACAATCTCACCCAACAGGAAGGTTTCAGCGACTACAAATCAAACAACACTAAACAATGACAATCTCACCCAACAGGAAGGTCTCAGCGACTACAAATCAAACAACACTAAACAATGACAATATCACCCAACAGGAAGGTCTCAGCGACTACAAATCAAACCACACTAAACAAGGGTCTTCACTAACCAAGATTCCGTTCTTCTAAATCTACGACGGTTCCATTCTCTGTGATATAGATGGGGCGGGGGAGGGGGATGTTCAAGTCTTGGCAATGCTACCTCACCACCTCAATGTGTCTCTGGTGTACATTACTTTACACAACTGATCCCTATTACACCATCCTCGTTCACCCCACCACCATCCCAGTAATGAATTTTTTTTTTACCAAGAGTATTTTGTTACAAAACTTCCATCTTCCAAGAAATCCAGTAAAGAACTGAAAAGAAAATAAGGGAAGAAAAATATCTTGTTTTGCCCGAACGTTCTACAGATCTATACCCCTGCACTGATGCCTCTACACCGCCTATTGTATTTATAAATCATCAATCGTGTATGGTATGACCTTAGCCGACCAACTGTTGAAAAACATCATACTAACATTCTCCGGATGATAAGTACAATCTCTCTTCATCTTGCGTTAACTCAGGCGCCCCCCCCCCTCACACACACACACACACACACACACCCCTTTCATTCCCAGCTTATTTAGAAAATACAATCTCTATGCACTTAACATAAAAATTACTAGTACATTCGGGGCTATTTTTATAGCTTCGATGTTGAATTCAACATTTTTAAACTTGAAATGGTCTAAAAAAATATTTTTTCGTTAGGTTTTATGTTATTGAACTTTATGTATAACAAAAAAAATAGGCTTAGGAACTCAAATTGTGATATTTTTAAAAATATCTTTGGCTGATGTTTTTTGTTACAGTATTATGGGAGAAGAGATGATTTGGAAATGGAAAATTCTTGTTGATTATATATTTCTATCTAAGCTAGGAATATAATTTTTTAACTCAACAAAAAAGTTTCTAGAGGGCATTGACACTTGGTAGGGAAAAATCGATTTATTTATTAACAAACCCGACCAAAACATATAAAAAGCCAGACCTACAAGTGCATAATGTATTAGATCATCGGCGTGCGAGTTTGGCACAAGTTATCATGTTCAAATCACGTGCTAAAGCCTCTACAATGGGATCCATCTCGAAGTTCACAAAATGATCAAAGATATTTTACCTTCATTTGACCATTTGTATCAGGTTCTCGGACTGAGAGTGTTGAAATAGATTCGCTTCAAAAATGTTGCTAAACCCAGGGAATTAGATTAATCTAAAAACTTGCTAAAGCCAGCGAATTGACGTTTCTGATATGTTGTTTAGCTGTAAAGCAATAAATTATAAGGATCCTTTTCCATGCTGGTTTTGAAAAACATTCCCGATTTATGCAGTGTTCCATGCAGGTGCAAAAATGTAGACACCAAACATGTTATATATATACATGTATATACATATATATATGTATATACATGTATATATATATATATATATATATATATATATATATATATATATATATGTATATATACATATATGTATATATATATGTATAGATATATATATATATGTAAATATATATATATGTATATATATATATATATGTATATATATATATGTATATATATATATATATATTATATATATATATATATATATATATATATATATATATATATATATATATATATATATATATATATATATATATATATATCTTTGATTATATATACATATAAATATATGTGTATATACATACATATACATACATTGTATATACATTTATATATAATGTATCTATATTTGTATATATTTATATACCATAAGTTGTTTGGTGTTTATATACAGACGCTTCTATATAATCCTGTTTGCTGTTTTCTATGCAGACCCCATGTGTTTTGTGTTGCTGAGTTCTTTATGTTAAACAGGCCCCAAAGTTGTTTGGTGTACTAATGCCCTTGTTGTTTGGTGTTTATATGCCGACCCAATCATTTTGGTGTTTCTATTTTTACCCTAAGTTGATTGGTATTCTCAAACAGATAACGATTTTTTAAGTTCATTTTGTAACATTATTTTATGATACAAGATTGAATATACGATTCGGGTGATTCAGGACAGATCATAATTTGGTGAATTCATTACGTGTAAAATCCTATACATGTAAATTGCAATGGTACAGAATACTAATTTTTTTTTAGAAGGGGGAGGGTCTTGAAGCTCATAAAACATGTTTCCTAAACACCGCAATTAGAGAAAAAAAAATGTCAGAAATAAAATATTTAAGTCTACACAGCTACTATGGTTTAAAATCAACAGCTAAGATGGCGGCGGCCTCATTATAATTACCCACACAACTCTCTCCCCTCCCCCACACACACACATCCACACACAATTCCATTCCAGGCCCGTCCAATAACCGACCACAGCCTGCTAGGGCTAGTTGCTAATTACTGCGCTAATTGCTCTTATTTACACACAAGTACGTCATGTGTTCAATGATCGATCTACCCGCGACCGGTTTTGGTCTAATGATTCAGTGAGTTCATGTTTTAATTAGAAACCGTTTTTTAAAAAATAGCGCACTTTGTTTACGCGTGTTATGTGAGTACAGTTTACACAGAGAACTATGTTCCACCTTCCCTTTATCACCAGCATCTTTTAGAAGCTTGTGCAAACGTTGAACGGTGTCTTGTAATAAAATCATCTCCCTGGTGGGGATGTTTCTCATCTATTTATTGATCAGCTGTCAGGTTCGTGCAGTCGGGCCCTGATTCTCGACAATTTCAAAACGTTCGGGCTGCAGTCTTTTTCCCCCGTCTTGTCAATTTCTTTGTTACAATGATGCTTCACGATGTTGCTCATTGTCGTATGTTTAGTAGGTATATAACTCATTGATTAAATGTCATCTGATAAATTGGTATATCGCTCTTTGTTTTTTTTTTGTACCCTATCAGGTGCTTTTCTTTTTTTTTTCCTTTTTTTTTTGCCTTGCTTTAAAGGTACATAACTCCTCGTAAATGTTACATAACTCTTGGAAATAATGAATATTACGCTTTTCATTCTCTGCTAAAAGAAATTCGACTCTTTTTGTTTATTGTATTCTTGGTGCTAAACTCTTTGTAAAGGTTAAACAACTCTTTGTTTGATTGTGCTCTTCTCATATGTCACATAACTGTTTTTTTTTCCCTCTGCTAAAAGTTGCATAACTCTGGATTTTATTTTTTTCGCCCAAAGTCCATCCCTATTGATTGTGCTGTCTTCCCACTCCAAAAGCTGCATAACTCTTTGCTTTTAAAACCATGGTGTAATGTAAAGGTCTAACCGACTTGCCGTTCCCTCCCTTGCCTAGGTCGTGGCCATCATCTCCATCCTGTTCATCGTCCTCTCGACCATCGCCTTGACCCTCAACACCATCCCGTCCCTCCAGGACCGGGCCGACCCCTCCCTGAACCAGGACAACGAAGAGCTAGCTGTCGTGGAGGCTGTCTGCATCGGCTGGTTCACGCTCGAGTACCTGGCCCGCTTCTGGGCCTCGCCCAACAAGTGGAAGTTCTTCAAAGGCCCGTTGAACGTCATCGATCTCCTGGCCATCATGCCGTACTTCATCTCCCTCGGGCTGACGGAGACCAACAAAAGCACCACTGAACAGTTCCAGAATGTGCGTCGCGTGGTTCAAATTTTCAGGATCATGAGGATTTTACGTATTTTAAAACTGGCCCGACACTCGACCGGGCTGCAGTCGCTGGGTTACACACTGCAGCGGTCGTACAAGGAGCTCGGGATGTTGCTGATGTTCCTGGCTATATTCATCCTGCTCTTCTCCTCGCTGGCGTACTTTGCCGAGAAGGACGAACCGGAGACGAAGTATAAGAGTATTCCAGAGACTTTTTGGTGGGCTGCAATCACGATGACCACAGTAGGTTACGGGGATATTTACCCTAAGACTGTGCTGGGAAAGGTCGTGGGCAGTGTTTGTTGTATTTGCGGCGTCCTGGTCATCGCCCTTCCCATCCCCATCATCGTTAACAATTTCGCCGAGTTTTATAAAGATCAGATGCGCCGCGAGAAGGCGTTCAAGCGGCGGGAGGCGCTGGAGAAAGCCAAGCGCACCGGCAGCATCGTGTCGTTCCACTCCATCAACCTGCGGGACGCCTTCGCCAGGAGCGTCGACCTGATGGAGGTCAACTCGCCCTCGCACAAGCTCCACCTGGACCACAACGGCGGCGACTCGTGCAGCACGGACAGCAAGCCGAGTCAGGCCGTCATGGTGTCCGGCAACGCGGCGCCCGTCCAGGGCGGCGTGGCCCAGCACCACGGCGACCCCACGCTGCTCAACGCCGGCCGGCCCGCGGGCAGCTGTGACGACCTGGCCACCAACTGCAGCACCAACAACCTGCTCGACGCCGACGAGGACTCGCTCAAGAGAATGACGTCATCGCAGCCGCTGCTCAACGCCGAATCTCAGGTTTGAGTTGAGATAAAGGAAAGGATGTTTGCGTGAGAGAAGTTTCTAGTTCTGTGACGTTTGAGATAAAGGAAAGGATGTTTGCGTGAGAGAAGTTTCTAGTTCTGTGACGTTTGAGATAAAGGAAAGGATGTTTGCGTGAGAGAAGTTTCTAGTTCTGTGACGTTTGAGATAAAGGAAAGGATGTTTGCGTGAGAGAAGTTTCTAGTTCTGTGACGTTTGAGATAAAGGAAAGGATGTTTGCGTGAGAGAAGTTTCTAGTTCTGTGACGTTTTTGTGTCCGCGTGCGGTCTGCGTCATGTTACAGTTTATGTCACGTGGCTAGTGGATAAAGCTGATTTGTGTGATGTGTATGTGGGGAGAGGGTATACGTTGTTTGCTTATTATTATGTCAGTTACGTACATATCTTTTGTATTTGTATTAGAAATTACATAAGCTACTCTATATTGTTAGGTAAAAATAAAAATAGTTAATTAATTGGCCATGTGAAGTCTGCTTTGATGGTAAAGAACACATACTAATGGTATTGGGTACATTTGTGGTTCATATAGGCTACATGCTGTTTGAATTATTATTTCGTTCAGTTAAATCTCAATTTCCCCATGTAGCAGATACAATTTAAATATTCGTCTGAATTTGATTTTAATTCTGCTTTGAACTAGGTAGATTTTTCATCAGTTTAAACGAACGAGTACTTTCAGTTTAGACTCCAAATTATATATTTCTTAGTACAGTTTAAAATATTATGGTTTGCTTAGTACAAATTTTGATAGGTGCGATAAAGCCTTAATGTACAACTAAACATAAGTCTTAAGTATTAAAAAAAAAACAATTAAGAATATTAAGATAGCCAGGATTTGTTACCTTTCTAGAAAGTAGAATTGAGTATGCATGTTGCTGATTGGGTGAATTAAGTCACGTGTCATGCCTGTTGATTGGTTCTCTGGAGCTACAAAAAGCTGTGTGTGAAATGTAAAATAGAATGTGTCATTGCAGCAGATTTGTCTTATACTTTGTCTTTTCTACTTTGTTTGTTATCTGTGGTTTGTTGAAAGTTATGTTGTTTGTCAAAACTTGTCTCATGTGTTGTCAAAATTTTTACATATATATATATATATATATATATATATATATATATATATATATATATATATATATATATATATATATATATATATATATACTATGAGTATTATATATAGCCTATATATGTGTGTATATCCACGTTATCAGTTTATATGCATTTAGTTTCTCTAAATGACAAGCACCTCTTTTTTAGATAAGTAAGTTCAATGTGTAATTTGAATCATTATGCTCATACATCGCTTATTCTTCCTTGACTCTCCACACGCTATGGGCTTCACTTGTAATGGATGTTCCTTCATATTTCAGCATACAGCTTAGCTCCTATTGCTACACCCGTGTTCTATAACTCTTCAATCTCTTTGTTTAGATTATGTGTCCTGGGTCTAAAAATAGCGTTAGTGTTGAATCACGTGACCATAACCTCTAACCCCCATCTTGTGCTTTGTTTATCAGGGAAGAATGGAAGCCGGTCGAGCCGTCGGTGACAAGAGCTGTATCGAGCTTCAACAGCTCCCACGTCAGAGCAGTAACGCCAGCAGCAGCGACACCTACAGCAGCTGCATGACCCACCCGCAAGGTAGCCCGCGGAACTCGGGGGGTCATGGGGGTCAGGCGGGGGGTGACCGGCACAAGCAGAACTTGTACGTCAATCCTTTGGACGACCCCTCGAACCTGGAGCCCGAGGTCGTGCAGTCCCCGGGCGGGACCTGCTACGATACCGTGTTCAAAGAATCGCACCCCGACCCCCCGCCACACCTGCCCCAGCCACATCACCTTTTTCACCACCATCACCATCAACAACCGCAGAAGCGACCCCTCGTCTATCAGCCCCGGAACAATTTCGGCCCGGAGCAGGAGACGAGATTCAACGGGAGCAGCTCCATCGATAGCACCGGCTCCGGGAACCAGATCGTTCAGAAACTGGACGACGGGTTCACGGCCACCTGGGAGCGGGGCCCCGCCACGACGTACCCGGCCCCACACCACCCGTACCATTTCGTCTCGCCATCGCAGGGGGTCATGGGACTCGATCCTTCCCAGCATGCACCTAGCCCCGAGCACTCCCCCTCCGACTCGACCAGTCTGCTTCAAACGGAGATGGAGACCACGTACCCCAGGAAAGCCAGCTTCAAGCGCTACAAGTCCCTCTCCGTTGAGAAGCACCCCCGGGTGGCCAACATCAAGGAGCGGAACTACTCCTCCACCGACAGTTTGCACATCAACGCCAGTGGCCGGCCCAGGCTCAAATTTCGGAAAGCTGTGTCCCTGGCCAGTCGGCTCCAGCCCAGCCCATCCACGGGGCGGAAGTTGGCCAATTACCACCTCATCTCCAACTCTAAACCAGGTGAGTTCTTACGTCACTTCCGAATGGAGATTTCGATTGGTTTTATATATATATATATATATATATATATATATATATATATATATATATATATATATATATATATATATATATATATATATATATATATATATTGTATATATATATATATATATATATATATATATATATATATATATATATATATATATATGGAATGTATGCGTATGTCGGGGGGGGGGGGTGATCTGCTTTGCCAACACGGAAATATGCATACCAGACAACTTGTTTCAAACAAGACAACTCGTTGGATTAATTAAATGATAAACTATAACTTCATACGATCGGGCTGATTATAAATTGTTTTGTGTTGATTTAATTTTTTGACCTCGACACTAATGAGCAGTTTTAATGGTTGGGGTGGGAAAAATGGTAATGTTACGTTGCGCTATCGCCAAGACGCCCCCATATGAATGTATGTATGCAGGTATGTGTATATAAGCTTAAACATATGCACACATAAGTATATATATATATATATATATATATATATATATATATATATATATATATATATATATAAATAAAGTTATTTATATATACACATATATTTCTATTTATTCCGTAAGAATATGTGTATTAGCTTGCTCTATTTTCATTTCCTTCTACTATGTTTATTGATTCGTTATAAATTTACTCCTGTAAACAAAACGATGACACTCTCTCAGAAATGTTTTGTTTTGACATCTCTGTCAAAAGTTCTCGTTGGTTTTTTTTTTTTTAAATGTGTGGCGTCTCGTGATCCGTTTCAACTTTTTAATGCTCGTTTCTTTTTCCAGATGAGACCTTTCTTCTGCAATAATAGGTGAGTGGTTGCTAGGGGGTGCAAAAGTGCGCACGCAGACATGCGCACTGGTGTGACCTGCACGCGAGCAGATTGTTTACGTGTCTCGTTCTCATCAAAGTTCACTGTTGTCCGTAGCAACAACCCTGTATTCCCCCCCGTGTATTCTCCTCGTGTATCTGTTTGCTTTGGTTTCTGTCTGTTTTCCTCTGTTCGCTTTGTCATGTTTACACGAATACGTTTTATAGCAGATATTTTAGAGGCAAATATGTAGCATTGTATTATATTTGTTGGAAATACACAGCTAAAATATAAGTTATTCAATTTAGAAGCTATATAATAAAACGACATGAATATATTCCGATAAAAGATTGTTTTAAATGTTTATGTAGGTCATATGTATTATGTTATTTAGACACGTAGTAATAAATAGAGATTAAAGTCAATAAATAAAATACAATATCCTTTTTCTAGTTTATAAAAAGGTATCGTATGTATTAAATCATCGATTACTCACCTAAATACGGTGGGCTATAAAATATTTTTTATCAAATATTATTTTAACCAATTAACGAGTGGAGAAATTTTTTTAAACTTTAGGACCGACAATCAATTTTTTTTGTGTGTATAAAAATACACAGTACAACCTTAACTCAATATCTGCCTACCTTCCGATGGGTATAGGTTTTCAACTGTTGTGGTTTAGCCACACGTTTAGGTTGTGGTATCAGCTTCTTGAATGAGATGTAGTTGTGCGATGTGTTGTCATTGAATGAGATGTAGTTGTGTGTTGTGACAGGAATAAGATGTAGTTGTGTGTTGTAACAGGAATAAGATGTTGTGTGTTGTGATGTCATTGAATGAGATGTAGTTGTGTGTTGTGATGTGTCAGCTTCTTGAATGAGATGTAGTTGTGTGTTGTGATGCCATTGAATGAGATGTAGTTGTCTGTTGTGATGTGTCAGCTTCTTGAATGAGATGTAGTTGTGTGTTGTGACAGGAATGAGATGTAGTTGTGTGTTGTGACAGGAATGAGATGTAGTTGTGTGTTATGACAGGAATGAGATGTAGTTGTGTGTTGTGATGTGTCAGCTTCTTGAATGAGATGTAGTTGTGTGTTGTGTCAGCTTCTTGTATGAGGTGTTGTGGTATGTCGTAGTCTGTCAGCACTTTTGTCAAGTTACCCACGCACGCTGTGTTTCACTTAGGGGAAAAAATTTAAGCACGCGATTCGTGACATGCCTAGTGTCAAACGCTGGTTTCCAAAACACGATGTCATAACAGTGTACATTACACTGAACTGCTTTTAACTGATAAACCCTACATCTAGCTGCTTGTCTTTAGTTTTTTTTTTAAACATCTCTCCGGATGAGGCATAGCCCCCCCCCCCCCCCGTGCTGTCTTTGACTGCATCTAGCACCCCTTAAAAACGTCTTTAACTTTCGCTAGCTGTCTTTGACTGCATCTAGCACCCCTTAAAAACGTCTTTAACTTTCGCTAGCTGTCTTTGACTACATCTAGCACCCCTTAAAAACGTCTTTAACTTTCGCTAGCTGTCTTTGACTGCATCTAGCACCCCTTAAAAACGTCTTTAACTGCCTCTCACAGCCTCCATCAACCACAACAACAAACCACAACAAATAGTTGGCGTTTGGCCAACGTCTACCCCCCCCCCTCCCCCAGATCTTCAGCGCACAAGTATCGCTCGTCTAGCAAGTCGGCCGTAAGGATAAACAGTTCATTAGCTGGTGGGGGTGTGTGGGGGTGTGTGGGGACAAGTGCTTCAAACATGCAGTCAATTTTGTTGCAACAAACACGGCTCTGTGGGCCTTGCTTTTAAATTTACCTCGGCGCCGTCCCCGCTATCTTTAAACAAAATCTAAGTGTAGTCAGACGCAGGTTATGTTAGGCTTAAGCGCAGGAGTTGATCCAAAACTAATGATCTAATGATATACAGGGAGCGATACTTATATATATATATATGTATATATGTATATATATATATATATGTATATATGTATATATATATATGTATATATGTATATATATATATATATATATATATATATATATATATATATATATATATATATATATATATATATATATATATATATGCCCCCTCCAATACGCAGCGTTACTAGTGATCACGTGATTGTGTATATCGTAGCTCTAGTACCGAGTAAAATCCGACGGAGAGCGTCTTACAGCCCGTTAAGAATGAGGACTACCAATGATGGGCCCGAGTGGAAAGCTTCTTGCCTGGCAGCGATCCACAGGAGACGCTCAGATTATAAAACGAATCGATAAATCATTTGATGGTCAGTTTCCATCGTCGTTTCTCATGTCTTTGTTGGGCTGTTTTATAACGCGGGTCTAGTCGTGAAGAACTCGGACGTACTGAACATTTTGGGATTTTGGAGGCAAATATATTTATTTAGCCTGTTTTAATCAGACACACACACACTATATATATAAATATTTCTATATATATATATATATATATATATATATATATATATATATATATATATATATATATATATATATATATATATATATATATATATATATATATTCAACGTCGACATTGTTAATGGTACACAACTAGGGTGAGAGGATGGGTTCACAGGCTTTAGTTATTAAAAGAGACACTATTTCATGAATCATGCATACAGAATTCATAAAGTTGAAAGAAAATGCTCAGGTTTATAAAAGTACCTTTTTTTTTATTAGTAGACAAGCAAGCAGTTCAGTATGCGATCATAAATTATAAAATTGCCAACGACTTTTTTTGTTCTCTTTCATGCAAAAAAAAATCTGCTACCCTGTTTTATTTTTGACAGAAAAATCGGAAAATTTAAATGATGAATACGTTTGTTGTAATATATGGGGGCGGGGTTAAGAGTGGCAAGCGAGGCATGACCGTACCCCTCACCAAAGCTCAACTTCGATGACCACACTATCCGAGCCACCCTACCATATCCTCCACAGACCTCCATTCACCTCCCCAGGGCTCATTCCACTCATCGGATAATCCATCCAGGCCCCACCATTTCCACCGGACCCTCAATCCAGACGCTACCATGGCACCACTCTACCATTCCTGCCTACTCCCCTCCTGGAATCTTCCACAACACTGGCCTCCCACCATTCCACAAGGGCCTCATTCACCCCTCCATTTCCACTCTAGCAGGCCACCACCTCCACCATTTCCACCACCCCACCATTTCCACCACTCTACCATTCCACCACCCCACCATTTCCACCACCCCACCATTTCCACCACCCCACCATTTCCACCACCCCACCATTTCCACCACTCTACCATTCCACCACCCCACCATTTCCACCACCCCACCATTTCCACCACTCTACCATTCCACCACCCCACCATTTCCACCACCCCACCATTCCACCACCCCACCATTTCCACCACCCCACCATTTCCACCACCCCACCATTTCCACCACCCCACCATTCCACCACCCCACCATTTCCACCACCCCACCATTTCCACCACCCCACCATTTCCACCACCCCACCATTTCCACCACCCCACCATTCCACCACCCCACCATTTCCACCACCCCACCATTTCCACCACCCCACCATTTCCACCACCCCACCATTTCCACCACCCCACCATTTCCACCACCCCACCATTTCACCACCCCACCATTTCACCATCCCACCATTTCACCACCCCACCACCCCACCATTTCCACCACCCCACCATTTCACCACCCCACCATTTCACCATCCCACCATTTCACCACCCCACCACCCCACCACCCCACCACCCCACCATCTTATAAACCTTTGTTTTCGACATCCCAAAAACAATTACAATTCGAGCATTTAAAAATTCATAAGGCGTTGTTTTAAATAAACGTCAGTGCCGCATACTTCAAATAAGAATTTTTTTTCACAAAGAATTTCCAAGAATTTTTTTATTGCTTGCTATTGACGGCGCTAGTTTGAACGTCAGGGAGCCGAACAGAAATGGCTAGTGTGTTGTTTGTGGAAGGTGGGGTGGACAGATGTAGTGTAACACTCAGGTCTTTCTCAATTTGCGGCTGTCTCCAACATATGACGTTTTTAAAACATGGCTTGCATATGTATTAAACTACGGTCTAAATGACATTGGAAATATCATTCTACATATATATAATTTAATCCTACATATATATGGGATCGTAAGTTAACAGTTCGCCCCGGGCGCCGGGAGGGGTGGTATGCGTCCAGTGTTTCTTCCAAATTTTTTTCTCCTGGGGGCACTTGAAATTTCGGGGGGGTATATATTTTCTATATAAATTATATAAATTTCATTTCGTTCGGGGGGGGGGGCGGTAGAATTTTTTCGGGAGGTGGTGGCTTCGCGCCCCCCCCCCCCCCCTCGAAGAGATGCCTGGAAGAAACTCTGTACTCGTCTGATTCTAATAGAATAGAATAAAACTGCCTAGCTTGTTATAATTAGAAGACAAATGCCTATGCATTCCACAAATTCCGTTCCCAGCCAACGGTTCAATTTTTTCCGATGACCAGCAATCACACGTGGAGCTAATTGCAATCCCATTGGGTCACTGGTTGTTCATTTTTTTTTAAGTGTGAGATCCCCTGTATTTCCGTACACGGCTCGTGATGTTCAGCACGTGTTTGGCGCTCAATCGATTCTTTACTGCTCGGGCTTTTCTTTCACCTTTTTTTCGCTCTTTCTTCGGCGTGTTTCTTCTGCGCTCTTTGGGCATTTGCGCGCTAATTGTTTTGGCGCAAATGTATCTGTAATAGTTGCGAAGTTTTAAATTTTTGTTTACAAAATTGTTCAGTGCAACGTTGTAAAGTTTATTTTAGCTAAAAAAAAATTAGCAATGTTATCACAAACATTTTTTTTAATACAACCTTTACCGTCATTTACCGTACCGGGTGGCATCAGACATAGTAACGACACTGATTAAAGTTCATCGATATTACTTGAATACATAACTTACTTTCATCTACTCCTTATTGATGAAGTCTAAAACAATTACTTTTTAAAACATATACGCACGTTTCTATTTTACCTGTAATTTTCAAGGTTTTAATAATTGATTAACTCCTCCCTACACCTGTCCTACAGACATACCTAAACAGCACTCATTATATATATATATATATATATATATATATATATATATATATATATATATATATATATATATATATATATATATATATATATATAATAAAAAAGAGGAATTAAGCTTATAAAAGGCTGACATTGTTATCACCAGCAGACTATAGAAAATACTCTACCATGATTACATAAAATCAATATGGAAAGACACGGAATGATTATGCTACACATTCAAAAAGAAAAAAACAACTAAATTTACTAAACAAAAAACGAAATTGTTTTTATAAATGAATTTATTCAAAAGTAATGACATTTAAAACTGACATTTAGTATGCTACTTATCTTATTTAAAACGTATTTACTTTCCAGTCAGAATCATAAAAAACGTAATCTGTTTGTCGACTTTTTAGTTAGGCCTACTTAAAACGGTTTAATCCTCTGCAGATTATCTTTAAATAGCTGCTTTTTGATACGGTGTATAGTGCATGATTTAAGATTATATAACGGAATGAAATAATGTTAATATTAGATCCGATAATTTTGCGTAATAAAATAGGAATGGTTTAGCTTAAGTTTTTTTGTTGATATTTCTAGGAAATGTTCATTCGTGTAGCAGTCCTAATCGATCTCCAACGCAGTCTAAATGACACGTTGTGTTTCTTCGGCAGCTTTTCTCTTGATGATAGTATTTGTTGGCTTGTCTATCTAGATTAGCAGTCAAAAATGCGACTACTTAGCAGCGCTGTGTCTAATTGTCTAAATGTCGGGTGTTTTCTAAACATACGAGAAAATGTTCAGTGTCCTTCTATCTATGGGTTCCTGGTGTATCTACCAATTAGACGACTATTTACCAAAACGTTACGAAGATGTTGTGTAAAGCTAGTGTATCGTTTAGATGTGTGTCGCATATCCGCTCCATCTAAAAATAGAAATATTCTGTAACCTGCTTTTGATATATTATTTTATTCATTGTTCAACCCTTTTGTGAGTGTGGACTGAGGGAAAAACAAACTTTTTTTTTTAAATCGAATGTAAAATCAATCTAAGCATAAAGTAACCATTGTTCCAACAATATTTTTTAAAAGTAAATTATTTTATTTATTACAATTAAAACGATGCTTAAAAAAATACATTTCTTAATGAATTGAGGTAACTGACTGGCCTTTTGTCGATTTGTTTCATTTTGCTTTTATTTTATTTCCCATTGTGTTTTGTACAGCATCTGTTGTGCTTCATAACGTCACTATACGTCAAACGTCTGCAATGTGCTTGGTCACACCAGTCACGCGCCCCCTCTTCCCTCCCTCGTCCACATTATGACGTCATAGCTTTGTGTGCCCATTTTGTTTACAAAACTGTATAAGTGGGAAAAGTGTATTCACAGCCTTGACGTCATAGCTAGCTCCGTCAATTCTGTTTAAACAACATAGCTTCAAACCACCGGACGCTTAGATGCAACACTCAGCATTGTCAGTTGTACTCTGCTAGCCTACACTGTTAGAATCAACATGTCAATGCTTTTAACTTATTTATTTCAGCTTACATATATAGATCATTTTTCGTCGTCAAAGTTTTGTAGACTGTAGAGATGTAGACTGGATATATATATATATATATATATATATATATATATATATATATATATATATATATATATATAGTGTGTGTATATATATATATATATTATGTATACACATATATAGGCCTATATATATGTATATATAATTATGTATATACATATATATGAACATACATAAATGAATATATATATATATACACACATATGTAATATACATGTATATTATATATAGGCTATAGGTGTATATATATATATATATATATATATATATATATATATATATATATATATATATATATAATGTCTGAGAAATAATGATAATGTACCATTGTAATTATGTATATGATTATATGTCTGTACCTATGTTCACAGTAAATTTATTTATTTTAATATATACATTTAAAAAAAGAAAAGCTTTACCAATCAGCTCAAAATAAATCTACAAGATCACGGATTAGAAACTTAATAAACATTCCTGTTTATATTTGACAGTTTGTTGCATCTAAATAAAGATTTTGTCTTTAAGTACTCTAAGTGATACGTTATTGTTGTAGTGTTTTATTTTTACTCCGTTACTTGTCTAAAATGACGAATCAGTTTTTAATGGTTGTATAATTAAATGGTTTTATAATTGCCGTATTTTTGTCCCCAGCTCTGGATGCTCCAATCCCAGAAAAGTCAATCGAGAAATTTTCCGTCTTGCAGAGGTCCAGCCCCGCCCTTCTAGAACCTTCCCCTAAAAAACCTGCAAACCTGTCGGGCCACCGTCAGAAAGACAGTGCGCAGTGCGTGCTGACGTCACCCTCCTCCGAATCTTCCTACTCCCTCGGGCCCTTGTCCGCCGGCCAGCGGCGCGCCCACTGGCGGTACTTCAACGCCAACAGTCACCCCCAGTCCAACTGCGACAACAACCTCTCGCAGGCCGACACCGGGCAGCGCAGTCCCCTCTACCGTCACTCGTCTTTCCCCCTGACTGGCCACCAGCTCATGACCTGTGTCAACATCGATTCCCCCGACGATAACGACGAGAACGTCAGCCCCCCGCCCATCTCCTCTTGCCCCAACAACAACCTCAACAACAACAACAACAACACGACTCCTGTGCTCTGTGACTCGGCGTCCAGGCGTCGGGCCCTGCGGAACGTCAGGCAGTTTATACCGGGTGCTATTGTGCACTCGGAGGGCGAGGAAGAAGAGGAGGAGGAAGAAGAAGAGGACGACGAAGAAGAAGAGGATATAGACTGTATAGCTTGGCCAACAACGAACGTCACACAAACTGTTCTCAGCCCAACAAGTCAGGAGGAAGGCAGTCAGCGAGGCTCAACATCCGGTCTTTCATCGTCTCCATCATCCGGGTCACTCTCCGATCACAACCTGCTCAAATCTTCGCCATCATCGGATATGGTTCCACGGCAACAGGGCTCTCAGATTAGCGAAGATCCCACGTCGCAGAGCCACAGTCTCTACGAGACCGCTGAATCGCTGCCAGACGACAGTGAGAACGGCGTGGATCCTTTTCATTATCAGTCAGATCCTTCCCCACCCGGTAGCAACGGTGGTGGTGGTGGTGGTGGTGGGTTGAATCACCAACAGCAACAGATACCTACCCCTCATCAACTTGCATCGATGCAACAACATCAACCCAACTCCGTAAGTCCTTCTGATGCCAGTACTAAATTTGACAAAAATCCCCATCTGAATGTGGCCGGTGGAACGAGTGGTTAGGTGATTAGCTAAATATTTTGTCCATTTTTAAATACACAACTGACAAAACGGTAGTAAAAAAATTTTTTACAAATATACTTTTTAATAATTTGTTGGAAACCCGTATGATGCAAGCAGATAGTAACTGCAAGAGGCATTTTTTTTCATACTGCACAGTCATAGTTGACCATAACTGCTGTTAATATAGTTATGTATTTTTTTTATTTCAGTTTTCTTTGGTTTAGAGAAAAACAAACAATTTTTTTTTAAAAAATCGATTTTTGGGGATTGAATGACCCAACCAACCAAACATCGGCAGGATTACCAAGGCTTCCAACTGGGCAATATAATTATGTTGTACAGATTTTAATGACAATAATGTATATATTTTATTTGGCGCACACAAAAAACTATTCAGCACTAATTTAAGAAAAAACTTTTCTGCTGTGTGTAGGGTCCTCATTTTGTGTTCTTTGTTTACTCGATGTTGGCTTTAACACACACAAAAATATTCACACGCTAAAACATTATTACAAGAGCCAAAAGTTTTTCTTTATTTACAACATGGCAGCAAAAATAAATTTTGAGTAAACTTGGTTTGATCTATTTGATCAATAAATGTAGGACATGTCAAAGAAATAAAGATAACCTACAAAATCTTGCTTTAAGTTGAACTCTTTAAACATTTAATTCACCAAAAAAAAATTAAAATTTTTACGGTTCTCTTAATTCCTTATGAGTTGACGGTTAAATAAACATAGTGGTTAACCACTAAATGTATCACGTTATGTGATTTCCAGTCACATTTTGATATCGAAAATTGATTTATTTACAAAGTACACCCTAGCTTTAATTTTCACTTGAAACATTTAATATAACTTGCCAGGTTTTTAACACGTTTAAACATTTTAAGCTAGCACAGTTAAACGAAATATAATATTATTGTCATCATCTTTGATCTTTCGGTTTCTCTGTTTGAAAAGCAGGCTTAATTTTTTTTTAACACTCAAAAGATTTGATTTTTTTTTCCTCAAACAATGAAAAAGGCAGCGTTATCAACGCAGAATAATGTATTTTATTTATAAAAAATAAAAGGTGAAAACTGTTTGCAGCTGTGTTGAGAAAATATAGTTGCTAAAGTGTCAAAACTTGCCAAATTGTTCATTAAGTAGGCCTACTGTTAGTTTAGATCTACTTTAACTATGTGATTGTGATAGCATAGCCTACTTCTAGATCTATATAGTCTAGATCCAGTAGGCCTAATCACCTCTCTACTTATGATCGTCTCTTTTAAATGATCACCTCATGCTCTAAACAAAAGTGTTTCATATCTCCCACTGTTTTGCTTTTATAAAAAGCTACCGTAAAGTGTGTAATCGAATAGGAAATAATCAAACAAACTTGCCATAACTTAAAATAAGGCTACATATGAAAGACAAAAATACATGGTAACCCGACATAATATTTCTATATTATTTATGACCTTATTTTAGGAAGATTAATTCTTGTTAATACAATCAATTTTTTTTTATTGGCATGATTTATAATAACAATCGATCTTTTTTTAGCTGGTGTACCTTTTGCAATTTAGATCAAGTATCAGTTTTAAAAAATTTACAAGTACATTTTAGTTTATCCCAATATAGTTTATTCTGTAGATCTATTAAGACATGTACAAACATAGCCATGTGATGATCTCTTTGAGGAGGTGGGGTGGGGGGGGGGGGGGTGTAAGAATATAGCAAGAATTTAATCTCGATTTGATTGTGTTTTCAGGAAATTTGAAGTGGAGTCCGATAAAACAATTTGATTTTTAATTGTGGCAATTTTCTTTTTTTTTCTTTCTTAAATTAGTGACAATTTTTCAGCTACAACATTTCACTAGTTCACTTTTATTTTGATTAGGGATAAACTTGATCTATATCAAACAATTTTACTGATTTTTAATATGATGTGACTTCTTCACAGAATGCAATTTTTAATAGGATCAAACTGAAATCAAACAATTTAAATAGAATATAAATATGATAACAGTGATTTTTTTCAACAACAATATATTTTTTTAAAAAAAAGCCTGCTTTTACTAAAAAATTTAAAATGGTGTTTTATATTAATGTCAATACCTTTTACTAAAATATTAAGAAAAAGATAAAATATTTTCTGATATCAAAATGTCATGGATGAAATAAATAAATGTGTAGCTTAGGCTATTTGGAACATATTTTTAAAATATATTCTAAATATTCATTAAAAAATTAACATAAAGTAACATTTGAAAAAAAAATCATATAGATTATAGATCTATAACTAGCCTTAAAAAAATACATAGTTTCTGCAATAATAATAATATTGATCTGGATCAATTGTTAAACTTAATACTTATTAGATCCCGGTGTTAAGTTAACACTTTTTTTTATTGTCATTCTTAAACACATCACAGTATTAATTTTATGTTGTTCAAATCCTAGTGTTGTGTTGACCATGTAATCTAAGCTGTTAAAAATGTGTTTGAAATAAAACACAAGTGGGAAAAACATCATCAATGACAATAATATTATATAGAAATCTAGGACGCCTAATTATTAAATTAATGAATGTAGATTTAGTTTTACTTAAAATTGAACTTTAAAATAAGGTTCTTTTTTCCTTTAAATTAAACTTTAGAAATTATGAGAAATATGTGTACTGTTAGTTACTTCAGCTGCATTAATATGTTTAGAGTTTAGCGATTTAGATTTTTAAAATTCTTTTTTACAACTATAAATGTATTTTTAAAGTGTAAAATAAATTTGATGCATTTAATCATGTCAATTACCTAGGTTTAGAATTTAGCTACAATTGAACTTAAGTTCTGATTAGGGTACATTAGCAACCTATTGTAGTCACAAACTATTATCTCAGTTTTACTCTATACATTTAGTAGTTTACTTTAACATATTGTTTAAAATGTATGAAATGCATTGAAATAATATTAGTAAAATGTTAAACCATGTCCTCCACAATTTTTGTTGCCAGTTATGAATGCTAGAGAAATTAGTGCTCTTAGAAATGGAAATTTTATTGATTGTTCATAAAGAACAGCATAATAAAAACCCCATTCATGTAATAACTATTTATCATGATTTATCATGATATTGTAGCCAAGTGCACTGTTTAAACTGTCTGAAAACATTGAAAAAATATTATCACTCAGCTTAACCCAAGGAAACTTGTTACGCTTGCTTTTGATGAATAGGTTAGTAGCAGTAGAAGCTTCAAACATGTTTTTGAAAAATATTTTGCATCATTTAATGAAATTTAGATAAGTATTTCTACCAAAGAAAATTATTTGTTGCCAAACATTGCATAATGTAGCTGCAATGTAAAATTGCTTCAGCTGCCTATTAAATTTTAGATTAACTGTTAAATCAATTAAACATTGTTCATTCAATTGTACATTTTGTAAAATATTTGTTTTATTTTAGCAAATAACACATTTTTTATACATAGCTTTGATCTAATTGGCCGTGCCAGAATTAGCCAAAGTTTCTGTGACTATTGTGCAAGCAAGCGATTAATTAACTGCAGAAACCTAATTACATTTGTAAATAGAAGCATGTTTTTAAAACAATTTCTCACTTTTTACTAACTGCATGTTGTTTGTTTTTCTTATGTTATATTCAAATGATCACACATGATCCATCTTGTTCACATATTTTCAATTACATTGTTTCACTTGTTCTTTAAAAGTAGAAATATCACCATCTGATTACTGCATTTATTGTTTATATTGCACTTTCTTTGATACTTTTATATGTGATAGCTGCAATTATTTTTTTTATTTTAAATTATTTCTATATGTTTCTATATTTGTGTGTTACTTGGTAAATTAGAGCTTTTTAAAAAGAAATTTTGTTGCATACAAATTCATACACATAATTATTTATTGATATTAACATTTTGGCAAAATATTTTATCTTTTATTAAATGTAACAGTTTTATTGATATACTAGACAGTTTTGTTTAATAGTTACCATTCTGATGCTAACTAACTTACCTCTGCACACCCACCAGTAAGCAAATATGTTTTTTAATCACAGACTTGCTAGAGTGATGTATTAATCACAAGGCTTTTTATCAGCTGTGACATAACCTATCTGTCTTAGGCTACAATTGAATGTACTATTTATTACTATTATTTCAAATACCAAATAGTTGGCTAAATCAATTAATCAAGTTGTTGATTATTTTAGAAAAATCTAGTCTTAGCAAACAGTAGTCATGTCATAGTCTCAGAAATAGATATTATAAAATATTTTTGAAGCCACTAAATACTGGTTTAAAAAATTGTGTATGAATTTTTTCTATTTTCTTTAATCTATTTGACAATGTCATATGTGCAATCTTTTTAATATATCAAAAAACTTTACGTTTAGAAATATGCATAGCTTTGCTTTTGGTTGTTAAAAAATTGTGGTGCTACTACAATAAGACTTCTTTTCTTTTTGAGTACCAAACTCTTGATACCTTTGTTTAATTTACTATTGATTTACCAGTATATCTGAGTTTAGTGTATTCAGAGGTGAAAGACATAACTAATCTGTGTTGTCATAGTTTACGATTTCAATTAAAATTAGTGTCGTCACATAGGAGATAGCGCTGCTAAGATGAAAGGGCATTGTTTAGTACTTTTCACTTTATACAAAGACTTAGCAACTATAATATCTTTAGTTTAGTGTGAGACAAACCTTTTACTTGATGTGTATCATAGCATTAAATTTAACAATGCGACTTCAAAAAGCTCAGAATTCTTTTCATTCCTCATGTATATAAAGTACAATTTTTAAACTCTCATTGTTTTTTGCTGTATATAAGCTTTCCTAAGTCTGTGTACTTTTAGCTGTATTTGATCATTGTGAGGAAATAGTTTAAGCTAATGATTAGTAGTAATTAACTTTTTTACTTGTAAATAAAAAAAAATAGTTAAGAGAACAACATATATGTTGAGTATTTAGTATTGCTAAAAGTAGTTCGTTTTCAGAGGTTGTTGTCACCAGTTTTGCTAAAGTTAAATTTCTATAAGGCAATTGTCATCTGGTCCAAAAAGATTCTTTTTAATGCTAAAAAAAATTGTAGGCAGTATTTTTGTTTGTTAAAGAACAATTTTTTTTTTGTTTTTGTTTTTTGCTAATTTATTGAAGAGCTGTTAATTATTGTAATGAATATTGAAAATCTTAATTTAAAACTTTTACTGTTATAATTTCATCAAAATTCAGCTTCAAAGGCAAAGACTGTCCTATATGTTTTTCTGAAATTTAATGGACATGATGTAATTACAATTCAAATATATTACAAGCAACCATTTAAAAAAAAAAACTTGCATACCAGTCTGTAAATAATGTTCCATAGATAGAACACCATTTTTTATGGTGGATAAAATTCTTAGTGGGTTTTTTATGCAACAATTTTTTCTACAAATTTGTGTTTCTATATTTTTCATTCAATACTTTGTAAATTATAGCTAAGAGTTGAAAAAGAAAACGTTTCATTTTACAAATATACTCTGTTGATGTTCTGAGTAATTTTTTTTATTGCAAGGATACTTGTTCCATACTTGACAGTAAATATTTCTTAACAGTTTACCACCTATAACTCTTGTATTTATTCATAGTTATAACACAATCTTAACTATATATTGACTGTAATTTATTTATAGTATTACTAATTTTTTTTCTACTATTTGAACAAATTGCAGCTTTATGTCCCTGTAGGACAGGGTACCCACATGTGTGTACTTACTGAGAGTTGGGTGTAATCGGGAAAACTTTATAAACTTTATGCTGGATACACTGTGTGAGAGAGGTCACTAACACTGTGTGGGCATGGAGGTGGTGTTGCACTGGATTTTTTTTTTTTTTTATACCTTGTTGAAAAATCCATACATGGCATGCAGATCAACCAGTACAAAGTTTTGATCCACTCACCCTTACCTATGTAGAGTTGATACTTATGCAAAGTTTTTAAATTTGACCAACCCTTCTCTCCCAAGGTGTAAACCTGATTTTATGGGTGGCTTCTGTTTTATCTTGTGGTACTTTTATTCAATTTAACCCTCTGACAACTATCCCTTGTTAACTCTTTGACATCTACCCACAAAAAAAAAAAACCCAGAAAATTATACCTCACCTACTTAGTGAGCTTAGCATTGAACCCAGTGTTTTAAAAAAAAAATGTAACATTGTCTATGAAATTACTTCTGTTTAGTTATAACTACCACCGTGATCGATAAAGCTTTACTACTGTTAAAATTTTACTACACACTTCTTGCCACCTAACACTAGAAAACTGTGTTTAGGATTTTTTTTTTAAAGTTCAAACGTTATTCTATCATAAATACCCTTGCTCAATAAGTGACATTTTAGTTTTAAAACTTAGTATTTGGCATGCCTATTTTTTGAAATGTGATTAAAAAAAATTTCTATTGTATAAAAAATGTGTTGTAAACCTACTAGGGTTCTAATGCCACTTGTGTTACGCCTTGTGATCAATGCATGATGATTTTCTTTCACTTGTATTGTATTGCTACACTCTCCACACCACTTTGTCAATTTTGGTGTTTCTGCTCAGTCAAGTAGTAATTGATAGATTTAGTTCGTCATTCTTTTTTACCGTATGATTGTACAAGAAAGTTCACTCTCTGTGATAGTGGTTTTTTTATTAGACAATTCAGCATTGTTTCATTGCAATTACAAAAAGTTTTCAATAATGCAAGCCATTGTTTGTTCTTACTTTTTTGTTTTCTTTTTAATCTGGTTATGTGTATACACTCACTAAAAGAAATGTTGTTTTTGGCCACAGTAGACATAACCAAGTACAGACTTTTTATTTGAATGCCATTATTTACAATTTTTTTTCTCCAATGTCTGCACTGTGCATACTATTTTCATCTTGTTTTGAATGTAACTATAGCTCAACTAGCCTAAATTCTTGCTATATGCTCAATATACACAAACTGAAAAAAAAACTGGTAAAATAAACAATATCATTTATTGAACTTTCTATAAGCTTGAACAACTATGCTTATACTCAGCAGTGACACACCCACCCAAAACCATGGAAACCCTTGTGACTGTTTCTGGAACTGAAAAATGAAAAATTAGTTAACCAACTAGTTACTCATGTAAATTGAACTCCCCCCCCCCCCTCCCACACCTAAATGTGCTCCAAGGATTTACCTCAACTTTAGGGACGCCTGATGTTAAACCAGAGACTTGTCCTTTTGGCAGAGGCATGGGTATATGAGGTAGCTCTACTGCATCAAGTACAACCCCTTTCATGAAGTGCTTGCCAGTTTCAACTATTTTCACTCGCACTATTTTTCCCATTAGGTTCTCCTGCTTAGGAACCAACACCTGTTAAAATTTTAAGCAACAATGCTTTAGTATAAGCAGTTCATTTTCCTTCAAGTATAGTTCAGTTAGAAAAAAATTAGTTTTTTTAAGAAAGTAATTATGTTCTAATTTTATTTTTTCAAATACTAGTATTTCATTTTTAATGTAATAAGTTATTTCAACACTTTATAAAAAACATATGATTCTTAGAGTTGATCATTCAGCAAAACAAACTTTAGGTAGCAATGTGATATGAAAGAATTATGTTTTAATTATGTTTTACCAGTAATATTTTTCTACACAGAATAAGAGGCTAATGAAGTTTAAGGGTCAAATGTAAATCTAACAATTTATTAAGCTAGGGGAACTATGGTTATTTAGAGAAAATGTAAGTAAAAGATAATAAACATTGATAAAAAAAAATTCAAAATATGACCTGGTGGTAGGATTTGTTGTGGCCAACATAATATTGCTGGTCATGTGAGATTTCAGTCACTAAAACATCTTCCAGGTCTCCAAGCTGACACATAAAATAAAAAACAGGGGAAATTTTGTTAAGTTTCAGTTATATGGTAAGTAACATCAATTAGTTACCCTTCTGTTGTTCTATACTTCAGAACTAATCTGTTTTAAAAAATAGTATTTTTCCTGTAACAGCCTCACAAATATAATCTTTCAACACTTACACCAAAGCACAGAAGGTGAAACAGAAGAAATAGATCATTTTATTTAGATTGCTGGGCCAAGGATCAGATGAAAACCATAGAATAAAATGTTTCAGCACAGTACCAGGGTGACTTCACGTTCATATTTAATGTAGGTTACATATTTAATACTTGGATAAACTCGTCTTAAAGACCTCAAATCTTTTATGTATTTAGGTGGTCACTGGGACTTTTATTTTTTCCCAAAACTGATGTACAATTTAAAAATCATACATGATAAATCTTGGATTAATGATCCCAAACTTCATGTTGCAGTATAAATTACAAACAATTAATGCCTTTAGTTAGTTATAAAATCCAAGACCAGCTAATAGCCTTGATTGTAATTTGTTTTAGGAATAATTCTGTTTCTGTATAACAACTATGCCAGTTAAAAGTACTAATATTTATTTTGAGCTAACAGACTCCAAAGGTTTGTGAAATTGAAAAAAAAACCATCCAAAATGTTTGAACAAATGTTTAAAAACTGGAACACTGATTTCCTATAATAAAAAAAATTCTGCTGGAGTCTCAAAATTGTGAAATTACTGAGAGAATCCTACAAGTAGGCGGGCTTGAGGTGGCTAATGTATTGATTTGAAATATTTTATTAATGGAAACATAAACAAAGATGTTGAAGCTAGTTTACCTTGTGAGTGAAAGGGTGGTATGACTGAAAGAGCTCAGATACAGCTTTAGTGATTTGAAATATTTTACTAATGGAAACATAAACAAAGATGTTGAAGCTAGTTTACCTTGTGAGTGAAAGGGTGGTATGACTGAAAGAGCTCAGATACAGCTTTAGTGATTTGAAATATTTTACTAATGGAAACATAAACAAAGATGTTGAAGCTAGTTTACCTTGTGAGTGAAAGGGTGGTATGACTGAAAGAGCTCAGATACAGCTTTAGTGCGCTTTTTTACCTACAAGAAAGATACAATCAAACAAAGAAAAGCATAATTAGTTGGATACAACCTATGAATGTTTTATTTTGCTAAAATTCACAAGTCCGTGCAGTAAAGTGACACCTATTTAAGGATAAGTTAACCACTTGCCTCATCTGCTGGTATTCTCTGCATTTTAAAAGCTGGAGTTCCGGGTCGAGGAAAAAACTGATTGATGAAGAGACTGGCAAATTTGTAATGACTGACTAGTGCCAGTGTTTCAGCAAAATCCTAAAAGACATGGAAAATAGTTTGTAAAATGGTGAACATATATATATTTAGACAAAAGCATCTGGACCAGGTTTGTTGTGACAACATCACATCTCAAATCAACCTCACACTGCAACATTGTTTTAATATAACATAGTAAGCAATAACTCTTGCACTCATTCAGCTGCTACACAATGCTCTGCACATTATTTTAGCTGCACATCTTTACTATTATTCATATTCCTCTTGAAATGTAATACTAGAATCACACTAACTTTTTTTTTCAATTTGTATCAACATTAACAAATTATATAAAATTAACAAATTTCTATCAATGTTTAATTTACCTCATCAGTCTCTGTTGGGAAACCACATATTAAATCTGTAGCAATGTTAACATCTGGAACTCTTTGAAACAAAAGTTAAAATTTTTATATTTTCAAATTAGTTAGTATAAGTAATGCAACTTTATAAAGAGCAAGTGCAGATAAAAAGTTGTATGAGTAAACTGTAATTTAAAAAACATTATTGATGAACAGACATAATGATAATTAATATCAAGAGTTTATGATGTAATAGTTCTCATATTTAAATTTAAAGCGACCAAATAAATGATTAAATAACTTCTCGTTAATTTTATATATATATTTTAGCTACTTTTTGCAGATATAGAGGTACTTGTACTCTACCTCTCTCTTAGAAAATCTACAACATGCTTAAAGTCTGCAACACAGTACTCTCTTCTCATTTCCATCAAGACACTATCTGATGCTGACTGAACTGGTACGTGAAGAAATGAATAAACCCTAGGGTGGGATAAAATCACAGCCATCTCCTGAAAGAGACAGAGCACTTAGGTTGAGAAGATGTGATGTATTAAGATTTCATTAAAGCAATATTAGTATATATTAAAATATTTCACGAAAGTTCTTTTAAAAAGTCAACAAAATAAAATTGAACATCAATACCCAAACTAAAAAGCAGCAGTTATAAGCAGATCATAGGTTTCAACCCTTTAAGACCATAATGACTCCCCAAGCATTCAATAGTATTTTCTCGATTTAATTAGTTGTTTACTAAATTCAAGTTTTAAACCTAAGTCATGGTATCACTAGAGTGGCCATTTTTCTTGTGTTTACTTCTTGTCGTCTTTCCATTTGGCCGATTTTGTATTTTATAGATTTTTTTTTTTGTAAAACCACTGGAAAAAAGGCATTTCTAACAGTGCAAAACCCCATTTAAAGTTATAAAATTAACCAAAATTAAAGTATTTATTCTAATGCTAACCTAATCCATGATTTTGGTTGAAAAATTGATGTACTTTAGTGTTCTATGAATAAGAACACATAAAAAAGATACTTTTATAATTAATGTTCTCGACAGCAGTATATTTTGTTCGAGACAAAAGCTACTATTTGTTTTTTAAAACTAAGTAATTATCTTTCTTCAATATATAAAAAATTACTTAAAAGTGATATAAGTATGTAGGGCATTCAATTACAATTAATTAATATTAGAAATGTGTGGGTTTTAAATACATAATAAAAGAAAAGAGTAATTTTGCTGCATAGGTACTAATAGAAATTGATGGGAAAAGGATAATTTTGGTTAACATGAAAAATTATTCGTCTTAAAGAGTTAAAAACAAAATTGTTTGCTTCCTTCTCACCCACATATTTGTAAAATACTATAATAATATACATAAAATTCCTTAAGTTTTAAAGTAATAAAATAACTTTTTTTTATTTTCTGAGAAATGCAGTATTGGTAAAAAAAACAACATTAAAACCAAGTATAACAAGGCTATGAATGGAATGTTACCTCTAAGTGTTCCAGTATATAAGGAGGGTTTGTCATTCCTAATCTCATCATGGCACCTTCTGGGATCACTTCCACTAGTTTCCATAGCAACTGTGGTAAACTAACACCAATGTCACGGCCATATGCTCCTAAGTCCTCAGACGTCAACCACAGTTCTACCACACCCTCTACAGAAAATACAAAGAACTTAATAAGACCTTTATCCTCAATATAACCTTACTAGACTCTTTTTAAAAAAGCAGTTTTAATTGTTTACATTTGTTGTTTGACACTGAATTAACCATGCATGCAGTTGTCAGCTAGAGCAACTTGAGGGCTGTAGTTTACTGCCATGTGTATCCATAAGGCACTGTTTCCTAAACAGTGTGCTAGAGATTATAATCTTAAGAACTTGTTAAACCTGTGGCAAAGGAATATCCACAGTGATTTCTAGTAGAAACTTATTCTGCAAGCATTTTGACATAACAATGAATATGAACTAATTTCTATTATTAATGTGACTTCAAAATAATGGACTGTTTCTTTTGTTTCAACAATGAAATTGATAATGGAAAAAAATTGTTTTATGTAATTGGCTCATTTTTCTTACTGGACAAAGTTTTGGTAATTTTAAAAATGTCATTATAATTTGCTAAATACATATTATGTAAGACCTTGTAGCTTAAACCCAGTGGAGAAATGCCAAAGTACCACCTTGCAGGTTATGGTATCAGTAGAAAAGGTTTTTCAAAACTAAAGGTTTGTTAAGCTACTTTTGCTGAACACTATCAGCCATTTTCAACTTACTGTAAAATCTCATGAACAAAGCCAACAAACAAACCTGAAAATGATTGTTTAGCCCTCTCAACAATCTCCTCTGGAGGGTAACTACCAAGATCCCCTCTTGCATGTTTTGTTTTACAATATGTGCACTGATTTAGACATCTGTGGAAGTTGGTAAAAAAATTTTATATTTGAACTGCAACAAACTTAATTCTGTCTCTAACATTTAGTCATCAATAAGCTATTATATAAGTTAACTCATTATTTTTAGAAAACATTTCTTAAGTTAATGAAAGTAATCCATTACAAATGTAACATTTTGTAATGGCAAATTAAATTATATTTAATTAGCAGTTATTGTAATAGTAGACAGTAAGTTAAAAAAATAATTCTATAAACCAATGTTACTTAAGAGCCTGATTAGGTTAAAAGTTTTGAATGAAAACTAAAAAGACAACATGAAACAAAAATTAAGAATAAAAAAGAAAATGATGTATTACAACGTATAGGGAAGTAACTTTAAGATTTTTTTCCCCTCTTGACTTTTCAAATGCCACTTACCCTGTGTTGATAGCAATGATCTCAATAAGTGGGTTTTTTCTGATTTTGGGAAGACTGAGTGATGCACCGCCAGACTTCCTGCCTGAAGTTTTTTTCTGTCCAAGTAGTCGAACAGAATTGCCTGTAACACGCAATAAGCAATTCGATAACATTTGTTCTGCTGCTGACAATGCTCCACTATTAAGAAAAAACTTTTTAAAGGAATAATCAGCCAATACTTTACAACCCTGGACTCACCTTTCAGTGTCTCCTCCACAACTTCAACAACCCTGTCTATCTGCTGAACACCAACAACACTCAGTCCCTAAAGGAAATTCAATTAATATTTTATAATCACATTTATTGTTACATTAAGATAAAAAAAAAAATTTAAGAGATTTTAAATACAATTTAAAATAAATGAATCACCCTAATTGCAGATGAAGCAGAAATGTCTGCCTTTTATAGATACAATAAATAAAGGAACATGTAAAACCAACATAGTATACAGCCTTCAGTTATTTCCCCTTGCCCATTATATTTTAGGCACCAAAACCTAGTTTTAAAATGGTCTTTAGTTAACAAATTTTAATCTAAGAAATTCTGCAATTTTTTTTATTTATTTTTTTGATAAATCATTTTATTGTTATTTGTTATTTTTAAATAAATTACAATAAACAGAGAAAAAACTAAAACTTCATCAAAAGTAGCCTAAAAATATTTTAACACTGACAAACAGAGTATTTTGGCACCTGCATATAATCTGACTTCTGCTGACCCTGAGGCACACACCCTGCTAGGACTAACAATTTATTTTTTGCTTTAGCATCTTGAATGAAGTTTCTAAAATGATCCTCTGCTGGATTTTTCACTGTGCAGCTATTTAACAACCACAAATCAGCTTTTTCTTTATCATCTGAGAACACAATTTAAATCTCTGTGTAAATCATTTTTAAGAAACTCTTAATAAACGGTGTGTACATTAAATGACCTAATCTACCAACAGCTCACTGCTTTTCAGATATGTCAATGATTTTCAAAAAACCAAATGTAAAGTTAATAGAAGGTGCATTATCTCAATGTGATCAATATACTTAGATGCCATTTCTTACCTGTTATTTGGTATCCATAGGCTGCCAACTGACCAGCCATGTATTCACTGTCTGAATTGTTATGTGAGCAGCCCCATGTCTTTAAATAAATAGACTGTGTACCTGCAATAAATATATTATTATAAGCAGATTTACACCAGTCATAGACATCCAACTTAATATCTACAATAATGGACAAACTGTGAATAATTGGAAATTTTAAGTTTTTTAAAATAATTTTTTCTGAGACTAGCTATTTATAGATTACCAGGGACATAGCTATCTCTTTGTTCGTTATCCCCCACAGCATTCTCATCACACGGAGATTCATTGTTATTTGAGCCTTTTAGCTGTGTTCTTGTAGAACGTGGATGTGGAACTATATGTTCTCTTAACAGACGACTTTCTCCACTTGATAAAGCAATGTCTTCTATATCTTCTATGTCTTGGTCACATGCTTTCAGTGAATTTTGTGAAGGCATTTTTCTGAAAGACAGAAAATGTATATTAACTTTTATAAATATAACTTAAAATGGTAAAAAAACAAATCTATATTGAAATGTACTGTAAGAAGTCATGGGCTAAAAGTAAATGTATATTAATACCTTGCCAGAGTAAAGGCTAAAAAGGTTAATATCAAGTTGGCCAAAAATTCAAAGAATAATAATATCACATTTAATGAGTGATTTTTTAAATGATTAATGCAAAACAGTTATTGAAAAAAATCATCTTCTAATGAGTTCTTGATCTAGATCAGCCTAGATTAAGTTAACTTAAGATGTAATTAGATGTCAATTAGTAATGTTACACACGCACAATTAATAAATAGATCTAGATTAGATCTATATCTAGATGAGAATGTGAATCTCTTTAGTAAAACTAGTCTAGTATGCTATAGGCTAATTTAATAGTATAGAAAGACTACTATAGACTATAAAGTTTTCTCATGTGCATTAATTGCTACAGTAGTAAACTCACTAAACTGCTAATATCTCGAGGCTTTTAAATTAATGTAAATACTAATAAATAACCTAGGCTTATAGACTAGAATGCTTTACTAGATATGCTATAACTATACTATGAACCCTCAACCCCTGAAGACCTGCCCAAAGCACAACTGCTTGACCGCACGGTACAGATAACTTTGTAAGAAAAATAAGGCTAGGCTAAATAGGAACACTGATCCCATAAAAGGATAATTTGAGCCCATTACACAGCATTTTAAAATTTAATGGTGAGCCTATTTAATTTTGGCCCATTGCGCATCTATTAATTTTTTTAATTATGTCATTGCATTTTGCATATTCAGCTGGCTAGACTAATGCTGAGGGAAGAAGCTTCTTCCAAATAGTCAATTGTAGCTTAAATTAACTGTGCTTGTTACATTACAAAAACATATTATTTTTAGGCTCTATTTCAAAATAACATAACTGTGTAATAGTCAGTGTGAAGTAGTAAGATCTAGTAGAATTGTATTTAATTTAACATAGGGCCTATAGACATGTTACTGTAGAATCTCAATCTAGCTGCCTAGCACTTGACTGTCGTTAGTTAATGGTTATTCTATAATAATACTGCCTAATCTAATTAATCTAATAGTATAGTAAAGTGGTAATTTATCGTTTTAGGTACATAAAATCGTCCGCGACTAGTAATGTGAAAAACAGGTGACTCCCTAAATTGTAATAATTATTTCACATTTTGAGGAGGATTTAGATCTATGTTTTGAAAAATACATAAATGTTTCCTTGTTTCATTTATGTGCCTGTTTTTAAACAACTGAATTAAAACTTTTTAGTAATAAATGAAGACTAGCGATGTTTCCAACAGATGCAACCATGCTTATTTACTATAGCAGCCATCTTGTTTACTTTTTTTATAGTAAACTTATAGCGCAAGATTCAGGGGAAGCCACTCTAACTTACAGATGGCTGCTTTTTATATAGCAAATCCTGCTTGCAAACACTGCTGTTTAAAGTGAATTTCTTGCCTATATTGATGTATTTAGCCATTGATTTAGGTTTATTATTCATTTATCTATAATATTTGACACAAATATAACACAATATAGTAAGATATACTTCTATTAAATTAAAGCCTTGACGATGAGGTAACTTTATCGTACATTACTAGCCACAGGCGATTTTACATACCTAAAGCCTAAAACTATAGTATAGATTACCAGTAAAGTATAGTATTATTAGTTAGTTAGCCTATAGTAATAGTTTAGTTAAGTTTCAGTAGAGCCAGAATGAGAATAAAAACATCTACTCAGTACTCCCTCTAATCACTGACTAACAAAGTAACAACTAACTACTCTAACTCTAGCTGAGTTGCTGATGATTATTGATACAGACAGTACAGTAAAAAAACAGCATTGATACTGAAATTTAGTGTTTACTGAATACTAATTACTAGTGATCAATACTGAGTTAGACAGTAGTGAGTAGATCAGCAGAGTGTAGTGAGTGTGTAGTGTGTAGATCTCTGTACTCAAGTGTACTCAGTGGTGAGTACAGTACAGAACAGTGTGTGTACAGTGTACTGGTTGAACTAGATCTAGATTCTAGATCTAGATCTAGATCTACATCATAGGAGTACATGACGATCGTGTCAACTACTAATTTAATTTACTACTAAGTAGTAATCTAGATCTAGAATCTAGATCTAGATTCCAGATGTATAGAAAATGAAAAAGAATAAGACAGACACCTTTCTTTTGTAAATAAAGCCGAAATGCACGATTTGTAAGGTCACACTAATAACCGTAACAAGAAAAACAAACAGAAATCTAGATCTAATAAACAAAAACGTTTCTAACAACAAGCTATTAGTTCTAGGCCTACATATTACTACAATTGAATTATGCGTTAAAAAAATTAATACAATTGTCTTTCGATAGGCCCCTATATAATAATTACACTCCCAATATTAATATAAGTAAAAAAAGTGTGGGTCGCTATATTATGCCTTGAATTCCCCTTTAAATTGAATGAGCAACTCACGCTTTTCTTTATAATTGTTTAGATAGGCCTAGTGCCGTTTGTGTCAAAAATTGCGGTACGGTTGTTTTTTGTTGTTTTTATTTATTTTTTGACGTTCTATTATCTATACCTCACCCTATCGTCACATAATCGTCACAAACAGTAAGACCCTTTTTATGTCACATACATCGCATATTATCGGGTTGACCTAGGTCTAGATGTGAAGTTTGAGAAAGAAATCGCTTCGGTTGTTAGTGAAATTTCGTTCGCAAGTTTCGAACCATGATCTAGTAAAAAGACAATAGAATGACAGAGGAATGACGTTTTTACTCCAAGTTGCAATTTTAACAACCAACATTAACAGAATATTTTTTTTTTATTTAACAGTATGCAAGAGGTAGGCCTGTGCATTCAAACGGCAGTACGTGTTCGCAGTGTTCCTTTCAGACTTTTTTCTCCGGGGGGGGGGGGGACGACACTTGATATTTTCGGGGGGACGCGGACAACATTTTCGGGGGGGGGGGGCGGACACTGGTAAAAGTATATGTTTCCTATATAAATTCCATTTCGTTCGGGCGCCCACCCCCCCCCCCCCCCCCGCGAAAAGATGCCTGGAAGAAACTGCGTGTTTGTGTTGAAGAACTCCGACGTGGTCTACAACTTATTTCAATAGAATGCGCACTATGACCGTAAATAATACTATTATTTACTGTCGCATTACGCATTATATTATTATTAATTATTATTATTATTATTATTATTAGGACTTCTTTTACAACGTATTTTTCCATTATTTAAAAATCCATATTTTATTTTCTGCATCAGCGTAAGGTTAGTATGGAGTGGGGGTAAAGACATTTAACCCAGAGGCGTAGCGACCCTTCCCGGCGACCGGGGACACACTTTCAATTTGGCGCCCCCCTCAGGACTAACCTTTCAATTTGCCACCCCCCCCCCCCCCCTTTCAAACTTTCCATTTGCACTCCCCCTCGAACTTTCAATTTGCACCCCCCCCCCCCCCCCATATATTTTTTTATATTTATAATGCAAAACTGCAGCTAAAATGAGATTTTAATTTGTTTTTCCAACCCATTTTGGCGCCCCTTAAGGTCGGCGCCCGGGGACATATGTACCCCCCCCCCTTCGCTACGCCTCTGATTTAGCCCTCAATAAATCAAGTATTATTATACTTTTAAAATATTTAATTTAATTTTCTCGAGACATGTACGTGCCCTTAATCACCGTCACATTCCAGGGGGTTGAGGGAGGGTTCCAGATTTTGGTGACGATGTGTGGGGGAGAGGGAGGGGATGTTCTGAAGGTGAAAAGAAGGATTTTTGCGTTTTAAGAAGTGAAGCTACAAAACGAATTTTTATCGTTATTTCGCGTTTTAAACAATACTTTGTGTAAATTGTAATAAAAATTGATTCAAGTAGGCCTACTCAACGCTCAACGAACTCAGTAGATATATAGCAAAAGATCACTGCTTTTTAAAAAAAACTTCAAATCTGAAGTGGGTGGTAGGCTAAGCCTCGAGAGTTGTAATGCTCTAACACTCAACACGTGTGAGCAGAACTACCGCTAACAGAGCAATAAAGACTAAATATTTTAATCCTGATGCTTATAATTTACTCAATAAACATTTATAAACATAACTGTATTTAACACAACTGCAACCAGTTGCGGAGGTTGGTCATGGCGGGGGGGGGGGGGTCCAATTTTTCCCAAATAGACTATATGCTTATATATGTGTGTGTCCTATAAACATGAGTGCGTGTGTGTGTGTATCCTATATACATGAGTGCATGTGTGTGATTAGGTGGGGATTAGGGAGGCGCCAAGATTATTTAAGTTTTCAAATGAATGCGCAGTTGCAAAAAAATTTGGAAACTGCTGCTGTAAAAATACAAGTTTTCAAGCATATAAACTGGACTTGTATGGAAATATTCGGGATCAATGGGGGGTCTTTAAAAAAAAAAGACGAGACACGCTTTAAAACACAGCTGGCGTTCACCTGTAACATCAATCCCAGGGGACAAAAACAGATTAACGTAAGTTTGATCCAAAAAACTATGTTGAAGGTATTAGCAATAAAGTCATCGATCGCACGATCGTGATACATAAATACACAGGTAAAGAGAAGAGCGTGTAGACAAACAGGTAAGAGGAGAGACATTCAAGAACAGGTAGACAGGTAGGCGGTGATTGGGACAAAAGGAAGGTAACAAACTTAAGAATTTACGTAGTCATAAGGGTACTTTTCCGTTAGTAATAGTAACTGTGGAACATTACCCTTTGTCAAGCTTTATATCGTTAGCCATAACCTAGTCCTACTGGTTAAAACAACTTTAATGGGTTTACGGTAGGCTACCTGGTGAGTGAGGTAAAAATAATAATTACTGAGATTACTTCATTTAATATTATATATGACAATTCTCAATCAAATGCGTGTCTTACTTGCTGTCCTTCTTCGTTAGCAAGTTTGCACTTAAAGTTGAATTACGTACGAAACTAGACTAAACTTAAAAGCTTTAGCCTATATTATTTTTATTCGCGTTTTGTAAGATTGTGTGAATTAGATAATTATAACCACGGTAAACATTTGTTATGCCTCTGTGGCCTGCTACATTGTGAAAATTTCAAAATAGAACTGGGAACGGTTACAATTTTTAATTTACCATTGAGTGCCACGTTGCTAAGGAGTATTGATAGAACATCGCAACTGGCGGTAACTATCGGCAAAACGACGGCGACCTGTGACCAAGTCTACAGATGTGAACTCGTTATCTTTTCAATTTCAAACTCACTCATGGATTAAGTTAAAACTTGAATTAAAGTCGAAAATAAGAAAAACAGTCCTATATCAGTTAGCTAAACTGCACCATAGTACTGTGCAATGTTATATGCCTGCACATTATTAAAATGATGAATTCGTGCATTTATATATATTAAAAAAAACAATTCTCAAACTGATTTTATAATGGGTCACCCATTTTTTTGACGTCCACGATGAAGACGAGAGGTTATGAAAAAGTCGATTTTTGCTGATATTTTTTGCTGGGAGGTGGGGCGGTCTTGATATTTTATTGAAGCATCTTATATCAAGTTAGTGCGTTGGTATTTTTTTTTAAACACAATTTCACTGGTAGGCCTATGTAACCCTTTATCATAAAGTTTTTGTGCGCTTGTAGTCTAATCATCCACAGCCAGTATAATATTAATAGGCGTAATCATGTTATCAATAACCCCATCAGTTGAAACGTGACCGGGGGAATCGCCATAGGCAGTGAAATCAAAATACAATTAACGTGAAAAGAAATAATTTAGACGCGGTGTTCCAAAGTCATCATACTGAAATGTCCTACCACACGGCCCTACTGCACCAGTTAAATAACCGCATTGGCTTCAGACTCAGAGGTGCCCACACGGGCGAGCCTCCACCCCCCGCCACCCCACTACAGTTCCGCCACTGCCTTCAACGTAGCCTGAGACGACGTTTCGAGCAGGCCTAATTTACGAGCACTCTGTGAGACAGATAGTTATGTTGCTACACACTCGTCCATATGTCTGGCACCAATCCATCCACACCTCCCATTACACCCCCTTCTCTCCAGACCTTCCTGAACCGCAGGTGGATCCAAAAACCGAATGTGCACGTAAATCATCGGTGAACGCGCGTAAGGTAAAGTTGAAACGTTCACAAATATTTACCAAAACACCACAACTGTTTAGGTAATGAGATTGATTATGCATGCACGGCTAAGCTCATTTTCGTTTTAATTAAATAAGGGTGAATTTAGAGTTGAAAAGTATGTCTTTTTTAATTGGAGGAGTTAGAGAAATCGACTGATTTCTTACTACAGTCTTAATAATTATCTGTTCATATCATGGAACCGAAAGTTTTGCAAACAATAAACACATGTTTTTATAATGATTGTGCCTTTTCAAGACAGTATAGTTGAAAAGCTCTTTAATACTGATTGCAGGTACCCAATTACCTGGATTTTTAAAAAAATACGGATAGCCGACGCCTCAAAAGCTATACAGTGTAGATCTTGAACGATAGGGGCGGAACTCGCTCCATTGTTATTCTGTTAGGTCGTATTGTCTTAACCTTGAACAAATTCTATCCGTGTTACAATCAACGGGGTAATGGGGAGGGAAGATTCTTGACAACGCATGCGCAGTAAATCTGAGTTGTTGATTGCTGAATGTCTTCTCACTTTTGCGACTGATTTTCACTGAGATGTAGGTCTAAAGGTGGGGGAAAATACCGTCCCAACTACACTATTACGTCTTCGTTCTGTCAAGCGTTTTATGATACCTCGCTTATTCGAACGCAGAACGCGCTGAAGTAAGTTTTATTCCGTTTATTAGATGTGCCTTTATGAGAACTTTTTTATTTGCTTACAATACATCTTGAGTGCGCGCTTCGATAAAACTATGGAACAGATTTACTATTTGCATAAATATTAAAGACATTCTTCTAATTCCAAGTCAGTGACACAGCTGCGTTCGGTTCTAGCTTAAATACCTACTACAGTTTTCGTTGAAATAATGTTGGTTGTTAACGGTATTAGGAATAAAAGTGGTAATATTGGTACCGTATGAATTGATATAATAGTAAAATCAGTGAAATGCTGGTATTCAACCGGTAAGAGGGTCTGCGCCGCTTCTTTACCGGGAATATAGATTCTAGTATAGCTTTACTAGAGGTAATAATATCATTAAGGTCTGATGACTAAGGGTCAATTCAATGCCCAAAGTTTACAGCCTTATTAGAATAATAATGGGTTTTACCAGGTCCGATGACCTCTTGTCTCTGGCAAGGGTTTACGGCCGGTGAATAAAATAGCAGGTCCGATGACTACGGGTCAACTCAATGCCCGCAGTTTACGGCCTGTAGTAAAATAGAATGATGCTGTGTATAATATAATATCTACTGCTCCGTGGCTGACACACGTGCAGGATAAAAGTAGTACAAAAGGTAACTGAAATATCTACTCAACTGCCACGTGGAATTACGTCACAGGCAGGAATAGTTTAGGTCAAATAAGTATTTAAATGCCCTGTGTGCTAAGACACGGACAGTGTAAAGTTTAGTTACGTAGATCAGGTAAGTTATCAACTGTCACATGGACTAAGCCACGAACAGGGTAACAGTGTACAGTAACAGTATGTAAGCAATAATGCATAACAGCAAGATAATATATATGATATTTATTGAAACTAGTTTTACAATGCTAATCAACTATGCATATGAAAATTGGTAAAGTAAACGTAAGAAATAATTAAGTAAAACCAAACCCAAAAAACACGTGGAGGTCGGGCCGACGGCCCCAACGCCGCGTGCGACACCACCAGCTGAGCTCAGTCCTGGAAGAGTGCGAGAATCCTTTGTTGCATCCCCTTATATGCATTAAAACATTGGCGGTGTGTCACGTGGACAATCTAGCCAATCAGAGAGGGGCCTGTGAGGGGGACGAAATATAAGAATGTACGTCAACTTAGTTGTAGAGGGGGGGGGAGTAATAGAGCAGGTAGAGGGTGGTGTAAGAAAAACATGGAGCTAGGCCTAAACGGTTTTACCGTCACACCCCCTTTCCTCGCTAAAATTTCGTGGTAACGCAATTTTTAGCGGACCAGAAATAAAACAATATCTTTTTATGTGCCTTTCAAAGTATGGTTAAACAAAAAAAGTAAATGTACATTGTCTTTAGACGAAAAGTGAATAACATTGAAACATAGGCCATTGACATGAAAAATGTGTATACAGTTGCCATGATAGGCGAGTACAACATCAATTACAACATTGTGATATGCCATAAAAGGGCATAGTAAACAAACATTTTGTTGTGGATGTAAAGTGTAATAAGACAACAGTGAATAATGACATTTTTTTCAGTATAAGTTTACATTGTATTCAGGAAATTAACTAACGCTAAGTTCTGTTTTAGAAGTATGACAACCAGGTACGCAGTAATTGACTGTGCTGTTAGTTGGGGACGATAAGTCTGATTCGGTCCGCAAGGGCGAGAACCAGTTTTTGGTGCTAAGGGTGATAATTGTAACTTGCTCTGTTGATTATCTACCCCTTGTATAGCTGCGACAGGTAATTCAGGACCGAGAGCGATCCTCCTCTTGTCGGCGAATTTTTTTCCATTAGCGAGGGGCTGGTGAGGTTTAGTATGTAGACCTATGGTGGGTAGAACCATGGGGCCGATAAGGTTGACAGTGGTTGGTTTGTTGTTTTGTCTCCTGGGCTCTTGACGTGCTGTGTAATTAAGGTCGACTGGAGCATCCGGTGCTGTGTTTATTGATGATTCAGTCGGGGCAGGGGAAGTAATTTTAACGAAGTCGCTTTTATGGCTCAGTGTAGCATCATGAGTGTTATCTTCTGCCTGTGGCAGGGTTGGTGTGTAGGGAGTAGCGGGTGTTGGTTTAGGTCCTAATATGGTCATGTTTTTCAGCTGCTCAAGCATTGCCTGCTCGGCCATCTTTAAGCGTGATTCCGTTTCGGTCCTTCTATTTATACGTCCCTTCCAAATAATAATTCTTTCAGCTATTGACACGCTGGTATTTTCTAAAACTTCGTCTTCTTGTTTTTCGATTGATTTGATACTATCCCATTCCGATCTTTCAAAATTATTGAAATTGATCTCGATAGCCACTTTAATTGCTTGTAATTTAATTTCTTCCTCCCACTGTGGCTCATTTAATCTTTCTTCCTCGTCTAATCTTCTACGTCCGTCTTCTTCCTGCAAGTCCGCTAAGTCCTCTATGTATCTTTGTCTAACAAATGCACTGAGTGCCGCCCCTTCGTAGCCATAGTCAATGGCGTACCTGATAAGGGCGGGGATGCTAGTGGAGCCACTCATTATGCAGCCTGGCTAGGACGTTGACACTGGTAACGTGACACGCGTGTGCTCAAGCCGTGTACCGGGTTACGCCTAACAATAAACTAACTAGAAGAAAAGTATTCGACAGACTAACAGAAGTAGGCCTATTCTACAAATAATAGACTACTAAGTTAACTACAAGAATTGGAGACCAGTTTTAAAATTAAAACTAAAGGAATCAATGTAGTAAGTCAGAGTCAAAATCTAAAACTTGACACTTAGCTACAATTCCAGTGGTCTTGCCCTTCTTGTGCAGCCGTCAGTTGTACAGAATACTTCTTGAGCAGGTAGCAATAACACACAGAAATATTTTTTCCAAAAATTCAAAGTAAACAATAGCAGTAAAATTCAAATAGATATGTGAAACAGCAGGATTTATTCAATTACGAGTGGCTAACTCGTGTCTAGTATTTAGTTTGACGAGCCCCCATGTTAACGGTATTAGATAAATGTAGTAATATTATTACCGTGTTAATTGTAATAATCAGTAAAATGCTGGTATTCAACCGGTAAGAGGGTCTGTGCCGCTTCTTTACCGGGAATATAGTAAAATTAAATGTAATTTTCAGTATGTATTCAACTGTCACGTGCACTAAGTCACGGACAGGGTAAAGTAATAATAAGTTTGAGCAGCTAATGCAGTAATATTAATAAGTATAATAAGTGAACTTAATAGTGGCAAGCTGAAGGTCTGATGCCTACGCTACAATTCAATGTGCGCAGTTTACAGCCTTAAAGTAATAACAACCTGGTCCGATGACCTCTTGACTCTGGCAAGGGTTTACGGCCGGTGTATAAAATACAATATCAGGTCCGATGACTACGGGTCAACTCAATGCCCGCAGTTTACGGCCTGTAGTAAAATACAAATAACTATAAGTTACTTAAAAACACAAAGTTACTGCAATAGTACAATTTAATTTATTATACTTTTAAAACTTAAACATACGAATCATACTTATTTATATGTATTACAAACCATACAGTTATTATAGAATGAATGAAGTAAATAACACAAAACCATGCACGTAGGAGTAGGGCCGACGGCCCAAACGCCGCGTGCGACACCACCAGCTGAGCTCAGTCCTGGAAGAGTGCGAGAATCCTTTGTTGCATCCCCTTATATGCATTAAAACATTGGCGGTGTGTCACGTGGACAATCTAGCCAATCAGAGAGGGGCCTGTGAGGGGGACGAAATATAAGAATGTACGTCAACTTAGTTGTAGAGGGGGGGGGGGAGTAATAGAGCAGGTAGAGGGTGGTGTAAGAAAAACATGGAGCTAGGCCTAAACGGTTTTACCGTCACATTGGTTGGACTTCAATTCTAATTGTCCTATAAGCATTAAAACCAATACAATATACATAATCTTTTGGACAATTATATTGCCTACCACCTTGTCTTCTAAAGACACAGTAGACATATAAAAAGACAATAGTAGCCTATCAGTATTAGTGTTTAGGCCTATCATTGCTGAATATGGATTGATTCTTTTGCCACACTTTGTCATGATTTTCAGTTGTTAAGACACAATACCCGATCATAACTAGATCTATATCCTAAGGCACATTACGTTAACTTGATGGCCACAATACCACCTCATAATTTCTTCCTATATCGCATTACATACGCTTGTTGCACATAGATCACAGTGACCCGCCTAATGACTTAACACCACGCCGTAGCCTACAATCTTAGGTCTAATAAACACCTCCCGACACACAAGCACACGTATTCACACACACACATGTAATCACTAACACACACACACACACACACACACATACCTTAAGGATTTCGAGACCTGGCCTCAACCCGCCTCTCCATACAATGCTCCCCCACCTCTGCTGTACCGCATACCTATAACACATTGCAATCCCCCCCCTCCCCTCCCCTCTTCGTTCTACAGCCGACATCATCCCATCACTAAGCTTACATGCAAAGCTCGTTAATGCTCTCGCTCTGTCACAGGCCGAAAGTTCATTGATTGTTGACCTCATCACCAGTCTGTCGGACCATGGCCGTCATTAAGTTCACGTGTAACAACACCATGGCTAACGGGACGCTGCAACTGGTCATCAACTTACCGGAACAACCCGCGGGGGCCAATTCCACAACTGTACGTAAGTATAACATTTATTGCTTGTTTTTACTAGGGCACTCGGGGAGGGGGTGCACCTCTTTACTGCTTACTTTTACTGGAGGAGGTAGGGGCAAAAAAAACATAGTCTTACAGTACATGGACGATCTCTAAATTACGAAACTATCGACGAAATTACAGATGTTGTGATAGTATAACGTATTCCGATCGTGTACTCTTGCGTTTAAGTTTAAAGTTTTGAAAACAAAACAAAGTCGAGGGTGTCTTTTGTTTTGATTGAGCTAAATCGTAGTTAGCCTATTCATAGTGTCCCCGAGTTCACTGAAGTCCGTGAGTTTATCCATCTTTGATGACCGGAGTCAGGGAATGTAAAGGCGACCGTGCTTGATGCTGACCACTCAACACATGTGCATGCCGAGGCAAAAAAAAAAGTTTTTCTTTATCTGCCCTTCAAACAGCCAGTCTTGAAAGTGTACCAAACGTTTTATAAGAACACGCTCATTTATTTAAAGACTGTCTTATTTAACTGTTTTCGTAGATACCTTAGTACTCTTACTCTCGATGGTTACCCGATCTCTTCGACAACCAGGGCCGACGCTATTTATAAGGCGAACTAGGCGGTCGCCTAGGGCGCTGTCCGTAGGGGGGGGGGGGGCGCAAAAAATGTGAAATCGCAATTATTAAAAAGTACCTAGGTCTAATTATTTATAACTTTGATTAGATTACATTTACTATATACAAAGGCGTAGCGATTCATTTAGGTTTCCAAGACGAACTATCAACTTTCTTCGGGGTTTCGGGGGGGGGGGGCTTTTTAATAAACTTTAAACGTTGCCTAGGGCGCTAAATAACCTAGCGCCGGCACTGTCGACAACTCACATGATATAATTGTATTTATTTGTAACAATCTAAGTTGATGAAAAAAGTTCTAAAAACGTATTTTTTAAATAGAAGATTCTATGGGCGCCATGCGGTTCACCATAGCAGTGGTCTTGGTGTACGGAGTTGGTGTGATTGGTTTGTTGGGAATTTCTGCTAGAAGAAACCGGAGGCTTGAGTTAATGGACAAAGAAGTCAACAAATTCATCAAAAGTAAACTTTCTAAATACGAGGAAAGAAATAACAGGTAGGGAAATATTTAACTAGATTTTTATTTTTTACATCTTTATTTACGGCTAAATTGTTGGCCTAACAGTAACAGTATTTATTGACTTTGACATTATATGGCATGGCACGTTTATCCTCTCGGTATTTAGTTGATACTTCGCAGAAATATTACTTTTCTTTACAATTTAAAAAAAAAGGATTTAGTAGGTACACATTACTTATAATGTTTGGAGGATACATTTGGCGTCGGCGGATTAAGATGAGGCTTCTTTGGCTTAAGCCCCCGATGTCTAGCTATTCAAGATATAAAGAGTCCTTCTGATCAGTATTTTTCGAACTTTTTTCTCCGGGGTAGGGGCACTTGAAACTTTTGGACGAGTGGAGGGGAGGCGGGGCGGACTAAATTTTCCGGTAGAGAGGTGGCGGACACTGGGGTGGATGTGTTTTGAGAGCCTTAAAGAGACACTGCTTGTGATTATTTGCAGATAATTTTCTACTTGGCAATACTTGGCATCTTGCATAAGCTTTATCTATCCTGGTAGCAATACATAGACACAGCAAAATAAAGACTCAATAATCTAGTCAATATTTAAATGTTCATGGCATTAAATATCTCAACATTTCATAATACCATGTGTTAATTATTTCATCTTTATAGGAAATCCAAAAAGACCGTATCAAAGCTTATATCTTCATTACATTCAATCATACAAACTGATGAAACCGGAAGTCGTACCATGCCCAAACTTAAACTTCCGTTTTCCAACAAGCTACGGCCACTACTGGGCAGGGCCAATTCATGGTCAGAAACAACGTCTCGAGTCCCAGACACCAGGCCGTCTTTGGCTGTTGGCCCAGCGAAGAGCTGCCTGAAAGAAACTGTAGAAATACATCCGTGTATTCCACTCTGTCAGACTGGCCCGAATGTAGTGTTACATTCTCGAGATGCTAGCAGTGATTATAGAATAGTGGAGGAGCTGGAAAGTGGAGAGTAGAGAGTATTGCAAGTTAGAGAGTGGAGAAATTTTGAGAATAAAGAAATAGATAGCGATTATATTATATATTTATATAGAGACTGTACATTGAAAAGTTCGATCATCTTACTAGCGTAAGGACAATATAATGTTGGCACAAATAGAGAATGTACATTTAAAAAGTCGAAACAGCTTGTGTGTGGACAATGGCAGTTGGTACAAAAAGAGACTGGACTGTTGAAAAGTTGAAATAGCTAGCCTAGTTTGTAAACATTATAAAAAAAATTAGTACAATACTTCAATACGCTAGAGACTGGACGATTGAAACGTTGGTACAGTTGTAGTGTGGGAAATTAAAAACTTGGCACATGTATATATTAGAAATAGTAATTAGAATATAATAAGTTCTGTAAACGGAACAATTAAACAGTTGATATAGTTTAAGTAAAAACTATAAATGTGGTACTTGCAAAATGTGTACTTGCAAATAAAAAAAAATTATAATGACGACAGAAAATTCGGTAATATTGTTAAACAAGCTACTAGACAATTGGGGAAATTGCTTATTTGTTGTGTAAGTGTAAGCTTGAAAACAGGAGAGGACTAGGGACTAGAATGCGTTTATAATTATACATTAGGATAAATAAATATTAATATGGTGTCTTTAACTTTAATACTTTGTGAGCCCATGAGCTGGCATTGGAGTGGCTGTACCCAACTTGTGTAGTGTTGCTTGTTTAGTGAACCTACACATCGCTTATTTTAAGTGCACCATAGTCTGCATCATTTTTATAGCATACCAAAGTAGCCAACCTATATCTTTGTTTTTAAAAAGTTTTAATCATTGCCCCATGTGTTCCTTTCTCTTTTCACGACAAATTACTTTACCGGATTACACATTATACTGGAGAGTAAAAAAATAAAATAAATGATTACCTTTATTTAACATTTTATTAATATACAGTACACAGTGTAGTACATGGGCAGTGCGCACATGTAATTAATGTTAACTGTAATCAATACATTAATTAAGCACGAATTTTATTTTTATTATTGTTTAACTTAAGACATTTTAGTTTTTATTTATACTGCTAGCTTAATTAAATTAATTAGAAGCTGAGAAATATTTTTTTTTCAGTTTTTTAATCAGGCTGATAACAAAAAGTTTTAGTAAATGGGAGACAACACCAGGACAAAAGAATAGAAACAACAAAATGATATTTAATGACAGATCAGTATGAACATTACAGGGACCCCCCCCCCCCTCCCACGGTCGCCCCTGCTTCTGGCCATCGGTAGACACAATGTCAACCTTTGACCTCGCAGCTGACAATGTAGCACAGTAAACTAAGCAGTCAAAAGAAACCGAGTTGCACACCCTATTTTAGTCTAGCTCTTATGCGATTTTACTTTCTCCATTTAATTACTATGTATACAATTGATGTTCATGTCTTTGAAACTGTGTAAAACTTCCAAATAAATTATTATTACTATTTTAAATGTTTAAAATAAAATAAATTAAAAAAAAAACTCTGGGAGGACTGCTATAGATATAGATCTAGATGTTTGAAAGGGAAGAATGTTTGATTTGATGTGTCTCATTTTACTCAACATAACATTCCGGTCAGTGTTTCTATCCTACTTACTTTGAGTACCCATGAGTTGCACCACGACTGTAAATCACTATAGATACAAGCAGTGGCGTACCACAGACAGAGTTTCTTCCAGGCATCCCTTCCGGGGGTGGGTGGGCTTTGCCCCCTTCCCACCCGAACGAAATAAAATTTATATAATTTATATAAAAAATATATACTTTTAACAGTGTCCGCCCCCCCCCCCCCCCCCGAAGAAAGTCTACCGCCCCCCCCCCCCCCCCCCCACGGAGAAAAAAGTCTGGAAGAAACACTGACCACAGAAATACGAGTTATACCATTCCCCCCCCTAGATGTTTACTCATAGCAGAGGCGTAGTAAAGGGAGGGCGAGTGGGGCGGCCTCGGGCGCCGACCCTAAGGGGGCGCCAAACTGGGTAGGACAAAAACTAAAAACCTCATTATGAGCTACATTACTCAATGATGCACAGTCAAAGTTCAGGAAATAGTTTATTACCTATCCCTCCTGGTTGATTTAACTGCTATCTGCGCCCCCCCCCACCACCAAAAAGGGTGCGGGGGCGCTTTTTTGCCTACGAGAGTAACTATATTTTTATACACGAAAGGGGGCGGGCGGAAGTTTGATAGCTCGCCCCGTCGCCGGAATGAGTCGCTACGCCTCTGACTCGTAGGCCCGTAATTATATACTAAATTCCTTATTACTGTCTGGAGCCATTTGTACACAATTGCGTGTAGCGCAGACGATCGGACGTTCACCGTCTCATCGCTGATAGAAATTACCAGCTAACTACAACAACAAAAAATACCTACTACTATTACATTTTAGATCATGACTTATAAATTAGGTTACATTTTTTACCCAGTGATCGCAAGAGGTATGAAATAAAGGGAATTAAGCAATGCAAAAATATTGAATCAATGATTTATTAGTTATGAAACTTGAGTTTTCTAAAACAAAAATTACTGTCTGTATGCCTTTCCTGAAACTAAATAAGACATAGATCTAGCACCATGGTTGCTTTCCTTTTAATCTGTTATTAAAACTAAAATCTAAACAGGAGAATCAAAAAAAAAAAAAGTAAAATAAAGCCCAATGCACTAGTCAGCAGCAGCATAGAGACCAGCATGGAACAAACTCGAATATTGTTACCCAATTAGTCTACATACAAACCAGTGGGGTAGGCAGGTTGTGTTAGAGGTGTTACATTTTAGAAAACCCACGCCAAAAAATAGCACCATGAAATAGACTTAGCTAACAATTTACTGTTAACTATTTTGGTAACAACGAGCTGGACTGCTAACCCGTAAGTCTCGAGTTCGAATCCGGGTTAATATCAGTAGACCGTCCACCCAACTCTGATGGGTAACTAACTCACGTTAGGGAAAGTAACGGCGGCTGCGCATAGTGGCGACCACACTATCTCTTCATATGCTGAGGTTACAGAAACAAGTGAACTCTACTTCACTTGCACTATAGACCGTCAGGTTTGAAAAGGGAAGTTTTTTATTTGGTAACAACTAAATACGGCGCTAATGTTACAATTTTATGTCTAGCGCATAAAAAGAACAGCTAACAACTGCAATGGCAATTAACATCTGGTGTTTACACATTCTTCTCTGTGTCACATATGGCTCACGTCTGCTGATGAAGCACACCAGGAAGTCACCTAGTGCGGTCACCACCTTCCCGATTATACAATCCCATGTGAACACGTAATGTTCGTCGACTTTTAAATCTTGAGTGTGGTTTGATGCATAAACCATATGACAGATTTACAGTGTCCAAAATAGAAATAAACATAAAACAGTCATAAGTGAATTGAAAATGAAATAGCTAATTGGATTGAATATTTTTTAGCTTAGCTTTTTCTGTTGTTTTTTTTTATAGCCTACTGGGCGCGTTTTACACCAATATCTTTTATAGTTGTATAGTTGGCTTCTGTCCAGTTTCTTCCAGGTATCTCTTCGGGGGGGGGGGGGAAGGGGGGGAAGAGAGTCGACCGCCCCCCCCCCCCCCGAACGAAATGGAATTTATATAGAAATATACTTTTAACAGTGTCCGCCCCCCCCCTGAAATGTCAAGCCCCCCCCCCCCCCCCGAGAAAAAAGTCTGGAAGAAACACTGCTTCTGTCAGGCCTTATCTATGAATTGTAACGTTACGTGTTGCATTTATTACAATTATTAAAATATATTTAAAACCATTAACTTTCTATAGCGCCATTACCCTCAACCCCAAGTTCCGCTATAGTGTTAGCATCCTCACAAGTTATTGACCGCAACACGTAAGTTCCCGTATTGTCCGTCATCGCACGCAACCGATTAATTCTTGTAGCATACGTCATCTCTGGCACACCTTACACACAGAAAAATTACATTTCGTAAAGTAACTATTTTGAGCTAGCGACGCCTCTACAGCGACAGGTCAACTGACCTACACCCACGGAGGTGGAATCGATTTTCCTCGACGCGCCTATTCCTACAGATTGGGGTCAGTGACATAACCAGGAATGGATCATGGGGAGGGGAGGGGTCATTTTTTCCCGATAGGTGTGTCTAGAGCTGACCACCGCCCCCCCCCCCCCCCCCATTCCACATCTCTACGTACGCGATTGAATTTGAAACGCTCTAAAATGCGGTGTTGTGCGTGTTAGTTTTTTTTTTTTTTTTACATCAAATATTCCAATTATATTATTACTATTACATTTGTGTCTGGCAACTTTTGCCTTAGTACAATTCTGCCTATCGCTATATCTGTAGCAAGCTTTAGTCTACAATAGTAGTAAGCAATATAAACAGAATATAACGATTATTTGCTAGGATAAAATGTAGCCTACAAACTGATAACAGCTGAACATTTAGGTATTGCATAGTTATCTAAGCATTTTTTAAGTACCAAGAATATCAACATTTTAAAAATATTGCTTTCCTACTTTATATGTGTAGGCTTATAGACATGTTGGCTTACTGTGAGTAAACTGAAAACCATAGGCCTACCGGGTGAGTGAAAGATGCTTAGTGATAACCTGGACAACCGATTCGTTTTGGTTGGGTCCCATACTGAAAGTGATCTTCGGCCTCCTTAAAATAATGATAGACTATTTTTTAATATTACCTAGATGATTTTTATATGTAACACGTACACAAGGATAATATTTCGTCATTAGGCGGGGGCCTGAAAAATTAAAACTCTGGGGACCTATCGTACAACCCGGTCAGCCTCTTCCCTGGGATCAAAGTCATAAATACAGAGGAGCTTGAATGAAAATATCACAAAATTATAATACAATTTAAATGCTATTGGCTAATGCTAAAATTGTACTAGAATTTGTAGATCAAAAATGTATAACAACCATTGTTTAAAAACAAAGTAAAAAAACTAGTTTTACATAAATACTTCTTCCGGGTGACCCAGTTCTCGATTAAATGAGTTTTGTCATCTGTCGCATATTCATTCGCTTCGGATATTAGCATGAACTAAACAGCAGTTTTAGCCATATAAGGTTGGGCCGGATGAATCACTGTATTGAGGTGCAGTAGGCGAAAAGTTAAATTTTATCTCACATCAAGTTAACACATCCGGAATTTAAAGGTATTTACTAAATAAAGTTTAGATCTGTTGTTCTAATAATATTTATTATAGATCTAGATCTATTAGCCTAACTAAAAACTAGTGAATCTAGAGATCTAGTCTACATGTTTTTAAAAAAAGACAAGGGCTCAATGCTTAGACTTCTCAATTCTCATAGTAGTCTACATAATCTCAACTCTCAAGGAAGTTAAGTTACTAGAAAATCTAAGTAATTCTAGATCTAGATCTAGACTCTACTAAGTTAGTTACAACTTACAAGATTCTAGATCTTCTAGATTCTAAGTATTTTTAACTATTAAGTAAGACCACTGTAGATCTCTAGATTATTCTAGATTTAGATTCAAGTGAGATAGAGTGAAAGAGTGAGTATACTGAAAATCTTAGTGTATTATTAAATAATAAATTAAGCTTAATAACTTAAGAAAGTTTAATTTGTAACTGCTTAACCTACTAGATATCTAGATCTAGATCTATAGACTATAGGCCCCTACTAAGAAATTACATTCTAAAATATTAATCTAAAACAAATTACTCAAATAGCCTCAATCTAAGATTCTAAGCTGTTAAGTTTTAGCGCAATGCCCATTTAAATAAAAAAATTGATTTATGTTTAAAATGTAAACTAATAATAGTGAACTCTTGTTTCTTTGTTATAGGTAGTTCCACATAAATCATCAAAAATGTCGAGCAGAAAAACCAAAGGCAAAACAACCAAGAAGCGTGCTCAGCGTGCAACATCAAATGTTTTCGCAATGTTTGATCAAGCACAGATTCAGGAGTTTAAAGAAGCTTTTAACATGATAGATCAAAATAGGGATGGGTTTATAGATAAAGAAGATTTACATGATATGCTTGCATCATTAGGTCAGTGAATTGATTTGTTGTAAATGCCGCTTTGCCATGTGTGCATGTTTGTAATAATATATTTAGTTAATGGCTGTGTCTATGTAGATGTAAGAGATTCCTTATGAAATACTTAAAAGCAATAAGGATTAGGATTTATGTGGGACGGGGTGTCCTAGCGGTAGTGAGCAAGACTACTAACCCAAAAGTCGAGTTCAAATCTGTTCACTTCAGAAAAAAGTCCCTGGGTCCACCCAGCTTTTATGGGTACCTAACTTAGGGAAAGTTAAGGAGGCTGGGCATAGTGTTGACCAGACTATCTCATCATATGCCAAGGTCACAGAAACAGGTAAACTCTACTTTACTTGTCCCACAGACCAGCAGGTTGAAAAAGGGAACTTTACTTTTACTTTTTGTTAAGATTTATAGTATTAATAACCTAAAAGTTTAAACTGGGGAAAATGCGTTAAATACTATGATTGATTACTACTTTTGTTGTATAAAATTAAAATTGATATTAATCCTTTGAAAAAAACACTTATCTATACATTCAGTAGAAGCTTGAATGTAAAATTTGACTTTTATTAATGGTATGTGTTGTATAATTTTATATAGGCAAAGACCCCACAGATGCTTACTTAGATGATATGATGTCTGCTGCCCCTGGTCCTATTAATTTTACTATGTTCCTTACCATGTTTGGTGACAAGCTAAATGGCACTGATCCAGAGGATGTCATCAAAAATGCCTTTGCCTGTTTTGATGAAGAGGGAACAGGTACCTTTGTTTGTTCCAATAGTGTTTTTAATTTAAAGTTCTAGGAAATTTTAAGAGAAGAAGAAATGACATCTATTTGTGGACATGTTATACTTTACAAAATTTAAAGATAAGTTTCTCATATCCCATAAACACATTACATTGAATACAATTTTGAAATATTTAACGTTTTTGTGATAAAAGGTTTTTTTTTGTCCTAGGATTTATTTCAGAAGACAGATTGAGAGAACTGCTGACTACAATGGGTGACAGGTTTACAGATGAAGAGGTAAGTCACATTGTATATTTCTGTTATTATAATTAAAAGCCTCTAAGAGGTTATCCATACGAAAAGGAGAGAGGGATCACACTAGCCCATGTTGATGTCCACTCATTTAATCAACATGAAGTCCTGTAATTAAATACTCTTAATAAAAATTGTTAATTTAACGTAGTTAAATAAAGCAGCACAGCATGTCATTAAGTTGATTAAGTAACAGAATCTGTTTTTATAAAATTATGTAAGTAATGTAGGAAACAGAAATAGAGGTCATGAATAGTAGGTGGTGTAAGGACTAACTATATGTTATGAGACTACAAAATATATTTTTTTCAACTTAAACTTTCATGCAAATAAATAAATCATAAATAATCTGCATCAATTTTCTGGTTGACTTGGAAATAAAATCATGAAAATAAAACAACCACTCGTCATGGTTACTTCTTTTAAAACATTTTACAAATTTTTCTGAACAAATTCTTCATTCAATACTTTAACCCTTATAGCCCCTGTCATCTCCTTATCCATTTCTTTGTCTCAGACCAGTAACAAACAATTAAACTTTGTGATTCTGTTGCAACATGTACAATCAACTCTAAATACAGATAATGAAATAATGATTTCAATTGATGATTTTATTGTTGCATTTGTTATATAAATTTTCTTCATATTTTTTAATAGCATTCAAATAATTTTAATATTTGCCATAAACAATTAGTCTAAACAAAAATACTTCCACTTTTTTTTTCTCTCCATGACAAAGAATAATCTCTGGGTATGATGAACAGATAGTAAAAAAAATATTCCGGGCCTAGGAAATACAGAGCAAAAAATACTTCTAGTCTGTGTAACTAAGGGCTAATAAAAATTACTGAAAATAATAAATCACTATCTAAATTATTTTCATGGCACTATTTAAGTAATAAATTATTAGACGCATAGCAAATAAACTTATACTTATACATAGTAGTTTTAATACAAATTAATAAATTAATGTATTGGAAACAATTTTAAGAGAACTATCACAAATAAATTTTTCAGTTTGATGTTGTGTATACTAATGATCCATAATAGCAAATGTAAAAATAATAGGTGTAAATTTAATGTATGAAACCTTGTGGAATTGTTTATAATAGCTATACTATGTATTTTTTTTTGCATCAAATTATAAATGTTTATATTTTAATCAATCCCCAGGTTGATGATATGTATAGAGATGCGCCAATAAAGAAAGGCAATTTCAACTATTTAGAGTTCACTCGAATCTTGAAGTATGGTAAAACCGAAGATGAAGCCAAGTAACCTTATTTAACTCATGGTTCTTCCTAATAGAGCATATTTATCTCGCTCCTTCTGTTGAGGCTTTTAATTCTTTGTAAACACAAAAGAGTATGTCTATATTTTACCCGCTTTAAAATGAAAAATTAATTTGTTGCATATGGTGTAACAATTGTTGAAATCAAAGATTTAATTCTTTGAGAGCATTATTCTGTGCATAGTCTTATAACTTTTGATATTTGGATACAAATCTGTCAATCTTATTTGAATTAAGTTCACATTTTCTACACAAAAGCAATACAACTTACACTATAAATCAAATATAATAAATAAGTGGCTGAATAGATCAGGTAAAGCAAAGAATAAAGCTATGTTTGTTGAGAAGTTAATGTTTACCATGCAAACATTCCACCAACTCTGAGGACCATTGTTTATATTCTTTGTTGTTTTATATGACATTCTCTCTTCAAGAACTTTGCCTATAGAAGTATCTTGTGGGACCATGGCTCTTTAAGCAAGGGTCTATTTTTTGTGTAAAATTTTTCAATTGTAACAGCAATTTAGCTCTGTCTTGTAGTGATAAAAGCTGCTTAACTCCATGTGGGTCAACTTCTTGGTCATTTTGCCATGTTATCTACTCAGATTTAGTTTTAATTGGTTCAGTTCAGTAGACAGTTTTGTTATGGCCTCAGATTATTTTTGTTGCTGACCCTTATATTCAAACCTTTTACGGTCTTGTAATCATGTATGTCATTTTCTATTGATAATAAACATTATTAACCTTGTGATTTGGTTGCTTCATATATCAGTAAGCATGTACAATGTGCAGGTGACATTTAAAAAAAAACCATTGTAATTTAATAGCACTAGAACATCAGCTTTTGTTCGGTCATATTATTTTATGAGCATTTATAAATAATATTATGAAGTGTAAAGATTTAATTTCAAAAATCAAGTTAGCTTTTGAGTTCATGTGTATGCTAATAAAAACACTTGCAGGTATATATAGATATAATATATATATACTGGTGATATGTAGTGAATTGCATCTGCCTGGTTTGCTGAATGAAAAGGAAAAAAGTGTTGTATGAGTAGCCTTACACTTTCAAACAATATTTAAATTTTAACTTATATATTTTATGAATTAACGTAATATAAGTTGTGAGAACGTGAACATGTATTTAGTTTGAGCTACATTGCTGTTCACTTGTAACTAATATTGTGTAGGGTTTATTTTTAGCAAGTGCTCTTTTACCTGCTAAGTGCTATACAATTGACAACCAGCCTATTTGAACAAGGGAAAAAGGTTGTGCTTTTCTAAAGTCACCATCATACAATGGATCATCTATTTTGACTTTAAAACTTCAGTCACTATCAAAGCAATTTTTAGGAAATAAATATTTGTTGTAACTTGCAACTTAAAGAGTTGCTTACTGTAATACATAGCACTTATTTTCCAATATTATCATTTTTGATCAGTACCTTTTTATTTTGTACAAAAAAATAATTGCTGATACCACTATAGTATAAACACACACAAACGTAGGCTATATAAATAGAAAACAGCATGCATAGTTTGAAAACTTTATTATACAAAATTTGTTTAATGTGTATATACACCCCATAAATTAACATTTTTAGCAAATTAATTTTTGCTAGAAAAAGTTTTAAAAAGGAATAATCTTTTAAAACTGAGCTGAAATAAATTATAATTAGTTAAGCTTAAAAAAGTAAAATTATTTAACTAGAATATTTGCTAACACCCTCTGTAGTCCTTGTTGGCATTTACAGTATATAATTAAACTATATCATAACAAAAGGTTGTGCCAAAGTTGAAATAAAGATTAAAATTCATTTAAAATTCAATTTAAAAAAATCAGTTTATTAATCTCACTGACTTAGGTCAAGAAAAAAAACATACTGAAAAAAAGACAATTTAAGGAAATTTTCCAATTGCTTAAAAAATATAACAAAAAAAAATCTTTTTCTGCATTTTTAAATTAAGCCCAATATTTATTTTAAATGCAATAGCTTTTGTTTATGTAGAGAAAAAACAAGAAGATTCTTTTATCATGATCACTGAAGCAATTTGGCAATATGAATTCATTTCATGGACATTCAAATTGTATGATTTAATTAAAGCACAAAATGCTCACTCTGAAGAAAACTTTTTTTTATTTCTCTAGATTCTCACAATTTCACAGTAACAGGCTATAGAACTATGTTTTTTTAAAACAAATATAATCAAAACTTTACAACCATTACCATAACTACCAGTAGAAAGAACTCGACAAGAAATTTGCAGCTTTAGAAAACCATCCAGCTGATTTCTTCTTATCCTCCTCTGTTGGTTTTTTGACAGCTTTATCATCAATGATAGTTGTATCAGAGTCATCAGACAAATAATCAGGTAAATCTTCTTGTTCAGGGACAGCTTGATGGGTACTTGTATTAAAACTTACTAAACTCTGAAAGTGAAAGGAAAATTAGCTATAAAATAAAATAAAAACATGGAAGCTAAACTCATTTGAAAAAAAATAAAATCATGAGACATTAATGAAGAATACAAGTAGATCTAATTCAGTTAGAAGAAAATGAGGTAAAAAATATAACTATTTCATAATGGCACATACAGTTTTGTGAATAACAAAGTAGTACTTACCTCTTCACCTTTATCGTTTCTCACAACCTGCTGTGCAGTCATTGTCATGGATTTTGCTATTATAGATGCCAACATCTAAAAATGGTACAAAAGCATGTTACTGAAATATTTTTTATTCAAGTTCTAGATAACTAAATAATAACAACAGCATACCTCTGGTTTGATGTCAGCTTTAGTCCGTAAAATACACCTCTTTTTGCTCAGATCAAATGTTATGCTTATGACACCTCTAACTTTGAGCAACAATCGGGCACACACATCTCTGTCACTCTGTACATAAAACCATCATTTATTTTATTATGATAATCCACTAAGTGACGTGCATACCAACAGTTTATTTAATATTTTAAGTGCTTTAGGAAAAGTAAGACCACTATCAAAATAAAATTTGCATTGCACCATTTGCTCTTTAAGGAAGTGAATCACCAAAAATCTGTACTACAAAGTAGATGCACTTTTTTATGGTTTTATTTTTTTTTAGTAAAAACAAAAATATGACTAATTGTGATACAAATGTCAATGGATTTACATATATTTAAAAAGCGAGTCTCTGTACTTTACCTTATCGTGGAGTCCTTTGATTTGAAGAATAATGGACTTGGCTTTATTGTGGCCATTTAGACTGGTGTTTTTCTCATTTGAACTTGATCTTAGTTTTAAAAAAAATTAAACTTATAATTCTGTTTTAAAGCTTTTAAGCCAAAATTGTAAATGGATATACTTTAGGAATACATAGAAAAATTGCTGAAGAAATTTACTTTTTATATCTAAAAATATAAACTTTACCTAGCATTGTTGGTGGAATCTGCAAGAGGTTTAGATTTTGTTTTTTGCAATGAAATTTCATTAAATTTTTCTAGCAGAAGCTGAGCAAGATGATAAACCCTGCTGTTCTTTTCACAACTGAAAATAAAAGAAACATATTTTTAAAAATCATTTGAAAAAAAGCTTTGAAATAAAATAAATAATTAATACAGGCATACTTAAAAACAACAAAGAACTGCCTATCAGTAAATTAAACATAAGTAAATTTGTAAAACTGTGTTAAGTGTATGTCAAAAATTAACAGGGGAGGAGTTAAGGGGGAGAATTTCATTACTTAAATGTTAGAACATTACTTATATTTACCTGTCAATGACAACATTTAACTGATCCAACATGCCAACATGGTTTTTAAGAATTGTACATGCCTCTTGACATTCACTTAGCAGTAGCAATGTCTGAAAAATGTTATGGCAAGAACATCAAATTTTTTAAAACAAAAAATTCTCGACACCTGGAACCATTATAAACAGATCCAGAATTTGTAGTGTACTTAACAGTTCCTAAAATATTTGCATTGTTCAGAGACATTATTCATAAAAAAAAAATTTCTGTGGGTACCCAGGTCACAGGGGGCAAATGAAGTAAAGTTTATCTGTTTCAATGACTGCGGCATTCACTGGGATATTGCCGTCAGCACTATGCCCAGTCACCTTGGTTTCCCTTACATGAGTCAAGTACCCATCAGAGCTGGGTGGACTCAGATTGTCCTACAAACTAGAGCCCAGGATCAAAACTTGATATTTTGGGTTATAAGTCTCAATATTAAATGTGGCTAATTTGATACCATTGAACTTTGGGGGGGGGGGGGGGGAGAGAGAGAGAAATGGCATTCCTAAAATGGACTTGAAAATACTTAATATATTAATCTCTTAATATTGCCTTAGTTGATAATTCAATAGAACATTTTTTTCTCAGTTACCTGCAGTGCTTCCTCCACTATTGATTGATTCATATTCGACAATACAATTACAAGACCACCAATGCATGTCGCATCCTAAACGATACAATTATCAATTATGAGCATTTATGTGTCGACCATATTTTTCATCGGTCACATAGGCTTATATATATGGCAGATTTTTAAAAGATGGTAATAATCAGGCTAAATCTATGCATTGTAACTATTTCTGACTTTCTGGAACCACAATAGGAAGGAATGTTACTGTTAATACTTAATTTTCTAGTATTTGGCCAAGTAATTTACTGCAGTGAAACTTACTTTGGCTAAAAGAGTCCTCCTTCTTGGATCCAATGCCATTGTTTTCATGGCTGCAACAGCATCTGCAGTAACCATCTTAATTGAATCTAGCGAAAAAATGCAAAGGCCTAGGCCTATTATTATTATTACTTTAAAGATCAAAGTGCTGTTGTATCAGAGAGAAGTGACTTTTTTCTGGACATTGTTAATTATTTATGTAAGATATTTCCCAAATTGTCATTGTTAATGATGTATTTAAGATATTTCATATTTGTCTTTTGAAAATTATGAAATTGCAATAAGCACAGTGGCATCACTAGGTCGGGTGTCACCCTGTGCGGCATCTCATCCCTTGTCTGAATTGTCAATTTGTAGGCCTACTTAAAATATTTCTACCTCTAAGCCCTAAGCATATTTATTCTATGTTTAGCTATTTTTTGTCTTGGTGTCAACCCCCCCCCCCTCCCTCAAATGGTGTCACCCGGTGCTGTCCGCACCCCCCCCCCCCAGCCACCGCCTCGCGATGCCTCTGCTCTGAATAGGCAGCAAGAGTGACTAGATTGGGGGCACAAAAAAATGGATTAGCTTCAGACTAAAATCATACTCATAGATCTTTTACTAATTTTTATTTTAGCCTACGTGCTTTACTCTTTCTTTACTAGAACTCTAGTCTTTACTCTTGTCTTTACCCCTAAATCTACTGAGTCTACTCTTTGTCAGTCTTTAGTTAAAAGTTAAATCTAAGTCTAGCGCTAGATCTAGATTTTTTCTAGAACTACTGAAGAACTAGATCTAGATTAGGGGTCATCCATAAATGACATCACACTCGTAGGGGGGAGGGGGGTCCGTAATTTTGTGACGATGTGTGATGAGGGGGAGGGGGGGGGGGGGGGGGGGTCAGATGTTGCGACGTCACGTTTTTGCATTATAAAAAAGCAATGTTAGAAAACGAATTTTAGACGTTATTTCGCGTTTTAGATAACTGTTGTAATAAATTGTAATAGTTTAGACAAGATTTTGGAAAATATCGATGTTTAAAAAAAATTCAACTGCAATTTTGAGGGGGGGTTGTAGGTTGAGGTGTGACGTCATTTTAGGGGGGGGGTCTGGCTTTTTGTGACGACGTGTGACGGAGGGGAGGTAAAAATCGTCAAAAAAAGCGTGACGTCATTTATGGATGACCCCTTAGACGATTAGACGATTAGTGATGATTAGTTTTTAGTTTTTTAGATCTAGAATCTAGTTTTTAGAATCGGCCCTAATTTTACTAGACTAATTTTTACCAGAGTGAAAGGGGTAACCTTTGTTCTTTTCTAATTCTATACAAGTTATATCTCTATATTAAAATTTTCTGAAGTAATCTAGTCTAGATCTAGATCGAGTTCTAGACAAGTAGAAATATAAAAATCTTGACATCCAGATTCTTAAACAGAAAATCAAAACATTCATATACACCGCTTTACTTAAATAGAAGATTCTCATTGGTTAACTTACCTGGAGTGGAAGTCAGCACAAAATTTACCAAAGTGGGCCTACTAAAAAGCAAAAATTAGAGTTAGCCTCGTAAACGGAACTAGAATCTAGATATCTAGATCTATTTGTCACTAGATCTAGATCTATATGACATAAGGACAAGGGGGTCGTAGTTTTGTGACGATGTGTGATGAGGGGGAGGGTGGGTTCAAATAGTATGACGTGACGATTTTGCAATTAAAAAAGTAATGTAAGTTACTAATTACTACTGTTGGAAACTGAATTTTAGCCACTAAATTTTGCGTTTTAAAACACTGTTTTAATGAATTGTTAAAAAAAGGGGGGGGGGTTATCGTCCTTAACGAGTCATTATAGTGTTTTAAAGAAATATTTTCAGTGGCAGCGTTGGTAGTGTCGAATTCACAAATTATGAATAGCTGAAAAGTAGAAAAAACAACAACCAAATAGCGGCGTATGATATGCCGCGGGTCGGCTCGTATATATTATTATTTTTATTTGGCCATGCAAAGTCAGGAGAAATGCTAAACATTAAAATGTTTCACTGGAAAATGTAATTGTAAACTATCATGGCGGACAAGAAATGGCTGTGGACCTTTCTCATTCTTTTAACTCTTGGATTACGTAGTGTTTGTGGGAGTAAGTAGATCTATAGATTTAGAAAATATAAATTTGCTTTTTGTTTTATACAAACTGAGGAATATTTCAACTAGAACTTTATTTCTAAAATCAATTTTAGGCAACTTTTAAAGTACACAACTGACTACGACCGAGTTGGTTGACGAAATCCGAAATCGCATCGGAGATGACTTCGCTCATTATTTTAAATATTTTATTGTTGATATGGATAAAATAAAAGTGTTTTTGGGGGTACGGGTAATCTATCGTTTTGGGTACGTAAAATCGCCCGCGACTAGATCTAGTAATGTGAAAAACAGGTGACTCCTTACATTTTAATAATTATTTCACATTTTGAGGAGGATTTATGTTTTGAAAAATAAAAAAATGTTTCCTTGTTTCATTTATGTACCTGTTTTTAAACAATTGAATTAAAACTTTTCAGTAATAAATGAACACCAGCGATGTTTCCAACAGATGCAACCATGCTCATTTACTATACTATAGCAGCCATCTTGTTAAAGTTTTATTTTTATAGACTTATAGCGCGAGATTCAGGCGGAAGTCACTCTCTTTTACAAATGGCTGCATAATAAACCAAAATCAATAGCTAAATATATCAATATAGGCCAGAAATTAATTTTAAACAGCAATGTTTTCGAGCAAGAATTGCTATATAATAGTATATAAACAGAGGCAATCTGTAAGTTACAGTGGTTTCCTCTGAATCTCTAACTATAATTATACAAAAAAAAACTTAAGCAAGATGGCTGCTAAAGGCTAAAGTAAATAAGCTTGATTGCATCTGATGAAAACATTGTTAGTCTTTACTTTTTACTGAAAAGTTTTAATATAATTGTTTAAAAACAGAAACATTAATGAAACTTTGAAACATTTTTTTAACTTTCAAAACATAAATCCTCCTTAAAATGTGAAATAATTTCTAAATTGTAGGCCCCTAATGAGTCACCTGTTTTTCTCATTACTAGTCTCTGCAGATTTTACATACCTAAAATGATAGATTACAGTACTACTATAGACTGGGGCCTAACACTAGTGTTGTAATGTGAGCGCTTCGATTGTGTTTAATAAAATATGTTGAGGGTTTGAGAGTATGTGTAGTGGTATTAATAAAAGATTCTGAATGTGTGATAAAGGAAATAAGGATGTGACGTAGGAGAGTATATTTTGGTTTTTAGGAACAGAGTTCAAGTCAGTCTTAGTCTTGTTCTAGTCATGTTAGGATGTAGAAGTCTTCGTCCTGTGTCTGCCGTTGATTTAGTCGTCAAGTATAAAGTTTATGTAATAAAATATTGAAACATAGCAAAGTCGTTCTGTTCTCTACATTGCATTGTCGTACTTCGTTGGTCCACGTTCAGCATCGACCCTGTCCAAGCGCTTACTTTACAACAACCAGTAACTAATAACTACTGTAATAACTAATTTGACTAAATTACTAAATCTTACTTTTAATACTTTTTTAAACTTTAATAAATTAATTATTAATAGTTAGGCTAATAGTGATAAATTAAATAATGGTTTAATTAATAATTTTGTTTAAAAGTACTTTAAAACTATCTGATGATTTTAGATACAGGTGTCCGATAATAGACTCTTCTATTGTTGGGTTGTTAGTAGTATTCAAAAACCTCTTCCATAAATTAGATGTGTTGGGTTGTTAGTAGTATTCAAAAAGTATTGTAATCTCGACTTATTTTAAGGTTAGAAATTAGGGTTAGGAGTATGGTAGGACTAGGGTTGGGGTTAGGGACAGGGTTAACATTGACATTATCCAGCAATGTGTGTATTTAGTTAACTACTAGTAACCCAACACCTCTTTTTCATAGAAGATTCTATTATCGGACACTGGTATAAAAATTCCCCCAAACTATCATTAATCATTACTGCCAAGTATCAACTTTAAAAAAATGATCAACTGGGTTGAGTAGGCCTAACTTTTGTAAGCCTCTTAGTCATACACACTTAACTGACTTAACACTAGGACTAGTCAACAGTCAGCCAGCACTCAACATTTTTTAATTGACTTCAACGGTTGATGAGGAGAGTCCTTCCAATGATTTATTGTTGACATGGATAAAAATCATGTTTTTTTTTTAAATTAAAAAAAAAAACAACATATGCCTGAAAATAATTCAGACATTTAATATTTTTAGAATAACTGTTATAAAAATTGCACATCCAGAGAACTTGAAAATAAATTTTTGAGTTTAAGGCTATATTTCTATTTAGTTTCATCAAGCGTAAGTTATAACCTGCAGTATCTCTTTTGGCTGTACAAGAATTCTATGGGATGGAGTGGTTAAATGGTAGACACACGACTGCTAACCCAAAAATCTCAAGTTCGAATGTGGGTTCAAGAACCTAGAATGTCCCTGAGTCTACCCAGCTGTAATGGGTATCTAACTTATGTTAGAGAAAGTAAAGGTGGCTGGGCATAGTGCTGGCCACACCATGCCTTCATATGCAGAGCTCACAGAAACAGGTGAACTCTACTTCACTTGCCCCAATACAGCTACTCCCAGTCTGTAATCATTTCATCATGCAAAATATGACTGGGATGCTTTTACTGTAATATTTTATAATACTTTTATATAAGAAGAAGTATTATGGTTTAAGTTTAGTTTAGGTTCATATCAACTACATAGATGATCAATTATGCACTCTGACTAATAACTTAGTTTGGTTTACCATAGTGTTAATTTTCCCAGTCTTTTAAACATTGTGGGTTTATTTTATTGAAGAAAAGAGATAGTAAAAAAAAAAGTAAAGTTCCCTTTCAAACCTGACGGTTTATGGGGCAAGTGAAGTAGAGTTCACTTGTTTCTGTGACCTCGGCATATGAAGAGATAGTGTGGGCAGCACTCTTCCCAGCTGCCTTTACTTTCCCTAACGTGAGTTAGGTACCCATCAGAGCTGGGTGGACTCAGGGACGGTCTACTGACTTGTACCCGGATTCGAACTCAAGACCTACGGGTTAGCAGTCCAGCTCTCCACCGTGAGGCCACTCCGTCCCAGAAAAGAGATACATATCTATTATAATGTTGAATTTGACACCCATTTTATTTTAAAATAATTGCTTTTCTGCTTTATGTAGTGCACCATGTTCAAACAATTTATGGGTGGGAGCCCCTACTGTGTTAAATCTAACTTATTTTTTTCATAGTTTTACACTAAAGTTTCAATGAATTTTAAATTTCACAATTTAGATATTCTTTTGAGATACATTAATAACTATAAGGAATGTTTTAAAAAGTTAAAATATAAAATAAAGAATCCTGTGTGTGTTAAAAATAGCTGAGGGTATGAATCAGGCTTTTGTATCTTAGTGCTAATTTTAGATGGTGTTTGAGTGGATAGATGGAGTATTTATATTATCTGGTTGCATTACTTTTAAAAAAAAATTTAGAATATATATTCCAATTGCAAATTATTATTTTGTGTATTAAAATATTGTATTTTTAAACATTGATATGCATCACCTACAACATATAAAAATATCACTTATTAAAATTGTTTGCAAAGTTATAATTAGGCTATGGCATAAAAATTGATACAGCAGAATCCACATATGATCAGAGTTTCTTCCAGGCATCTCTTCGGGGGGGCGAAGCCCCCCTGAAAATTTTTTACCGCCCCCCCGAACGAAATGAAATTTATATAATTTATATAGAAAATATATACTTTTAACAGTGTCCGCCCCCCCGAAGAAAGTTTACCGCCCCCCCGAAGATTTCAAGTGCCCCCCCGGAGAAAAAAGTCTGGAAGAAACACTGCATATGATTTTCATCCTGTACACATAAACTTGGCTTGGCTGCTGAAGAACCTTTAACTTAAATTTTAATAAAAAGCAGAAATTAAATTTGAGAAGTTTTGTATTTCATTAGCTGATTCTCTAAATCATGTTCTCAATCGTATCTGTGTTCCTTGAAATTCTTCGGGAATGAGTTGTGCAGGTGGCTCATGGTTGACATGACAGGTCACATTATGAAGGCTGTTTGGTGTAATGACTGTCCAATTTGGGACAATTTAGCTTGAGCTCTCAAATACCACATAGGTCAAGTGGGAAAGTTCACTTAGTTTTACTAACAAAGAAGTGTAAGCTAAGAGCTAGGATGGTAGCAATAAAAATGCTGGTTTAGTTATGCTCACTGATAATAATTACACGTTTTTAGCTTAATTTTATAATTAACAAATTGTAGACATTTATACAATTATACTTTTCAACATGCTCTTTAAAACATTTTTTTTATTATTTAAGTACAATATTGTAAGCAGATTTTTTTTTGCAGTTTGAAACTAAATCTTAGTGCAGCAGACAATGTAACCATTCAAACTAAGTCTTTATTCAAGACATACTGTTTTTGATATCTCCAAAATCTTATTTATGTGACGTATTTTTAAAATCTGATGGTCCAAGGGAGAGGTGAAGAGTTTACCTGCTTCAGTGACCCTCTTCATATAAAGGGATAGCTTGGTCATCTTGTACTGTTTTTAGTTTCAATTAAAAAGTAGACATTACTAAGCATTACTTGATGTTCAGGATTTTAAGACCTTCAGTTTTGTGTACAAATTACTTCTTAAGTTACACTGTATCTATTTGTCTATGAATGGATTTGTGTTTAAATCTTATAACTTATTTGTTTTAACAATAAGGCACACAATTTAAAAATATGTACAATATGCCATTCTGCAATTGCTCTTCTGAAAAGTGTCTTTGATGACAATGCTGGATTATCTCTTTATCACACAAATTACATTCTTAAATTAGTCAATGTCATTAAAAGTTAAGTATTATATATAATAACAAAATAAAAGATAATTAAGTAAGTTTCAGTTGAGCTGATGTTCATGAATATGTTAATCTTAGAGCAAAAAATGTTTAGCTGAAACTGGTGTATACTTCTTTCAGAACTGTCAAAATGGAAAGAATACCAAAACATAATAATTGTTTTTAGAACTTAAACTTAAATATCAACTTATTGTTACATTTTTACAAGTAGAAAATGAAAATTATCCAAAGACTTTAACATCCTTTAAATGCACTTTAAAATAATACAATTTTACTTTTTCTTTCCTTGTAATGTATAGGTGTTGGTCTTTCATGAAATCTCTTGAATAGATTTTAGCAACAGATACTTTTGCTATTATATCTATTTAAAGAAAATTTACTTATTTTCAGTTCATTTAAAACTTTGTTATTATTATCATGAAGGTTTAATTTTTAAAATTCTATTTTAGCTTTAAAGTTTCTTAAGCTTTACTGATGACTGGAAGAGGTAAAAAAAAAGATAAAGCTCCGAACACAATCTGCATTTGACAAAGACATACATAAATGAATGGTTTACTTATTTACTATGCTTAATTTATGGGGTGTTTTTTTTTTCAGAATGTGAGAGAGGATTTTTTGGTTGGAAATGTAAATTAAGTTGTAAAAATTGTATTGATGAGGAATGTGATGAGAAAACTCTGACCTGCAATTCTGGGTGTAAAACTGGCTACTATGGTGATCATTGTTTGTTTGGTAAGAAAAAGTTTTTGATAATTTAAAAAAAAAATATCAAGAAACAACTAAATTATCCAGTTAACTTTATCTGCATCATCCTTTGTGTATAGCTAGTTTTATGTTTTGACAAACGTTAAATACCGTTTTATTTTATTTTGAAATCTAGAGAACCAATGTCAATATGATTCTAGTGGGATTACTTACACTGGCCATCTGAATGTCGCGCAAAACAAGACAAGCTGCGTGGCTTGGAACCTAGTTCAAAACTTTAATGACTTGGAATTTGAGTACGACGATGACCCTGGGAATTTCTGCAGAAATCCAAAGTTGGCTACAGGTCGACTGAATAAACTTTGGTGTTACACTTCACCAGAAGGGGCAAACGATTTATGTGACATCAAGCTCTGTGGTAAGGTTGATTATATTTATTAGTCTCTTTGCTAATACTCTTAAAACCAAAAAATTTATTCTTTATTAGTTATGTTGATATAAATTTATTTTAATTCAAATTAAATAGAACCTACATATTATCAACTTCTAAAAATTAATTTTAAAATAAATTGTACATTTACATTTTTATCTTCTATTTGTAATTGCTCTAACATATTAATACAATAAAAAAATTGTTTTGACAACTTAACAATTGTGTCCTTTGATAACAATTTTTTTTCTCCCTGAATAACTTGGTTCACTTGTTTGGTTGTAACAGAAGTAAGTGTCATCTAAAATTGTGGTGACAGTACTACAGCACAACCATTTTTAAGTTTAAGTTTCTTAATTACATTTTTTTCTGAACCAAATTTCAGACTGTCCTACCCATCTTTTTGGAGAAGGTTGTAAGAGACAGTGCCATTGCAATGAAAACTCAACCTGTGACAGAAATGGGTTTTGCTCTGATGGTTGCGCTGATGGTTGGGTTGGAGCTCAGTGTAGCAGAAGTAAGTAGAGCTTTGAATACCAATTAGTCCTAGTTAAGCCTGGGATACTAATGTAAGTTGGAGTACTTATAAGGTCATATGCTGGGCAAGTTAGCATGAGAAATCTAGCATTTCTTGCATTCCACCAGATTCATACATCTCCATTGCTGTAGTTCACCACCTGGTTTACATATGGGGAAGGGGGCTGTTTAGTATTGAGCCATTTGTCACATACACGTTATTTTACATCTTCATTAAAAATAGGTAATTTTTAGTATGTTTTATGACAGCAATCGAACCTAAACATTCTTTTATCTAGGCAATAATATTATAATTCTGAGTAATTTTCTTTAAAAAACTAAGCCTTTAGAATTTAATGTTTTTTAATAAAAAGTTTGACGATATGGGCTTGTAAAGGATTTGAAAAAATAATTTGGAATGTCTTTTATTATTTCAGAGTGCCATCCAGGATTCTATGGTAATAAATGTAAAAAAGAGTGTGTGAACTGTGTAGATAAACAATGTAACCATGAGACTGGAAAGTGTAATAAAGGATGTAAAGCTGGCTACATGGGGGACAGGTGTCAGTTAGGTAAACAACTTCACACTGCTGTGTGGTTCACTTGTTTCATCGCTGTATTTTCTTAGTCTACTTTGGAATTGTCTGATTTACACATTGCATACTTTTTGTTTAATGGATATTTTCTGAGACATCAGTATATTTAATAAGTATCTCAGTCCTAAAAAGGTTTGTGCTAAGTGATAACTGAAAGAGTTCTGTCAACAGAGTGTGACAAGACTTATGGTCCAAACTGTGCCAATAAATGTGGCCACTGTAGGGATGATGACATCTGCGACCGTTTCACTGGCCGCTGCCTGCGTGGCTGCAGCCCAGGTTACATCAGTTCAGACAATGGCACATCTTTGTGTGACTTAAGTAAGTTGGCTTGTTATCACTATAATTGCATTTATTATCTCTTTTAAATACCATGTGATAGTTCTCTTAACCATTAATGTCCCATTCATTCTACCAAAACTCCACCCATGACGGCCCAATGTAAGGAGCATAACTCTGTATGATCAAGTGAATAGTTTCACAAAATCTTTTTTTTTGTCTAAATGAAATTAAAAATTAAGATAAAAACTACTGCTTAATGTTGGGAATAAACCTGGCTTTCCAACAGTATTAAATAGAATATATTATATTCGGTACAAGTACAGAATAAAAATAAAAAATGTCGGAGAAAATTCAAAACAGGTCATTTTCGGTAGTCAACTTTATTTATTTTTGTCTAAACAACTATGCATCAAATTTAAGAGTTAAATATCAATTTGATTATCTTTAAGATATATAATTCATAAAATACATGCCTAGATACGTTTAGAGGCATTATTTTATTTTATTTTTAATATTAAATCAACTAAAATTTGGACAGATGAGTCTAAAATTTCGAGATGGAAAGAAACTATTATTTTTTATCTTTCAAAAGCGCCATTGAAATTAGAAGACCGGAAAAGGTTGCTGAAAGTATCCGACTTCCTGTTTAGTTAAAAATTAGGATTTGTAGGCCAAATTTTAATGAAACAAATTTGATTTTTCTATGCGTATTGTAAGCGGGCGGCAGCGGGCGTTACGGGACATTAACGGTGTCTGGCGGCAGCGGGCGTTACGGGACATTAATGGTTAAAATGCAATTGTTGATGTTAAAAATTTTAAGTTTTTCTACTATAAATCAAATTGCTTCAATTTTTTTTCTTAAATTTATACACCATGTAACTAAAACCTTACCATTCAACTAAACAAGCAGTGCATCATAATTAAGAATATTTTTTTTCTAATAAGTGCCTATTTTTCTATTATATCATGTATTTTGAGATACACTATTTTTATAGCACAGAGTTCACCATAACCTGTAGCCATAACACATTTCCTGAAGATAGATTGGCTAACACAGAGCTATCAACTAATTGCTTTAATTGCTTTAATATTCTGGCTGATCCTAGAAACTCTATTAAACAATCCAGCTATTTCACTCAGCTACCCCAATTGATCATAGTTTGTGTAATGGACTTGTTTCTCTCCATAGGGTGCAAGAACAGCTATGGATTAAACTGTATAAATAAATGTGGAGCTTGCCTTCAGGACTCACAGTGTGACGTAGTCACTGGTGTTTGCTCTCATGGTTGTCAGGATGGTTACACTAGTGACAAATGTGACACCAGTAAGTATCTAGATCATCAGTACAGTGGGATACACTAGCTAGATCATCAGTACAGTGGGGATACACTATCTAGATCATCAGTACAATGGGGATACACTATCTAAATCATCAGTACAGTGGGGATCCACTATCTAGATCATCAGTACAATGGGGATACACTATCTAGATCATCAGTACAGTGGGGATACACTATCTAGATCATCAGTACAGTGGGGATACACTATCTAGATCATCAGTACAATGGGGATACACTAGCTAAATCATCAGTACAATGGGGATACACTAGCTAGATCATCAATACAATGGGTGTACACAAATGTAATGAAAAATGTGACTGCAGTATATAGATCATCAGTACAATGGATTAAAACCCCACTGTATAGACAACAATAATATTTTATCTAATTGAAAAAACTCAGAAATACAGGGTTAATATTTTGTGTGTAAACTTATGTTATGATACTTGACTAATGCTTTAAGTTTGGAAGAAAGGTAGTCATTTTATCTTTTACAAAAAAAATTGATATTTTGATGTAGAAAATGGATTGCATTTAGATCTAGTTGTATTTTAAAAGCTATGATGGGTTTTTCCTCTACCTTTAACCACTGTAAAGTAATCTCTACTTGATACCTTTCCATTTAATGTTACAATAAGTGTTATAATTTTGTACACAGTTGTAAATTGACTTTGCCTCATGTTCCAAATGGTTTATGCCTGCAATTGTTTTTTCCACAGTATATCTAAAGTTTAATGATTGTTTTTACCCTAACTATTTATTGTACTTTCAGCTTGTCCAGACTTCTACTATGGCAAGAACTGCTCACAGAAATGTGGACTGTGTAAAAATAATTCTAGCTGTGATCCATTCACTGGTCGCTGCTGGTCAGGATGTTTGGAGGGTCATACAGGCTTTGAGTGCATCCAAAGTAAGTGGATGTCTTGACTTACTTGACTTACTTCTCTTTGCTCCTTATGGAACATAGGGCCTCCACAATTTCCCTCCATTTCTTCCGATCCCCGGCTATTAATTTTGTCATCTCCCAAGACATCCCTGTTGGCTTCAGTTCTTCAAGAAGACTCCGCCTCCAGGTCTGTCTTGGGCGCCCTCTCTTCCGCTTTCCCTGGGGGTTCCACTCAAGCGCTTGGCGTGTAACATTTGGGTGAGCCTTTGGCAGTGTGTGACCCACCCAGCGCCATTTCCTCCTTATTTGCACGCCCAAAGGCTCCTGCCTAGCTTTCCTCCATATTTCTGTGTTCGGCACTTTGTCCTGCCATCTCAGTTTCAATATCTGTCTGAAGGTCTGTATCTTTGCTGTGCTTGCTTTGGAGACTCTCCATGTCTCTGCTCCATACAGCAGAACTGCCTTGACATTTGAGTTAAATATCCTAATTTTTGTGGTAATGGAGATGGCTGAACTTTTCCATATGGGTCACAGAACTGTGAAAGCGCAGCAGGCTCTATTAACTCTAGCCTCTGTGCCTCCCGTTTTGCTGATCTTGCTGCCAAGGTAGACAAACTCTTGCACATCATTTACCTGACTTCCGTCTATTTTCACTGGGGCCTCCTGGTTATTGTTAATGTGATGAGAATTAACAATAACCATAAGTGGATGTCTTGCATCTCTAAATTTAAATGTTATATGTCTGAATAATTTTAGATTTTTGTAAGTTAGATGGATTTTATGAATGAAATACATTTTTTTTTTTTACTTTAAGAAATGAAAGAAGAAAGCAGCATAGCATTTTTATCTATTGGTGCTGGTCTGGGAGGTGCTGCAGGCTTCATCATTTTAATTCTTATATTTTGTTTGATATACAGGCAAGTACAGTCATTTAAAGTTACTTTGATTTTTCATGAATTAGAAAATATTTTTGTCATTATTTTTCTAAATGTGGTGATCTAAGATTGTTCTCATACTTGGCCTGTTTAATTGAGGCAAAAAAGTAGTAAAGATTGTAAATATTGTATCTGTCTGTTACAGGCATCGGCGTCACAAAACTTTGCATGTTCCTAGACATAAAATGAGTGAAATTGAAGATGTGATGACTAGAGAAGAAAGCTGTCAGCTCTTGGAGGACTCAAGAGTTGGTAAGTAAAACAGATGAGAACAGTGGATTTTTCTTTGTCAAGTTGAACTGAATCAGTAATATGGTAATCAAACTTATTCCTATTTAGAATACTGACACAGCTTATTTGGACACTTCACTTGCTAATTTGCCAGCTGCCAACTTTCTTTTAAGGGGACACACTGCTTTGCCAAAATTCTTACTATTAATATACATAGTAGATTTACAATTTATGAAGTCTCATTCAACTGACATTAACTTTTTACATAATATTTTCTGTAAAGATGTTTGCTAGATGCTTGTTTCTGATCCTAGTCCAACCATCTTGTCAACAGGAAGTGAACCTCCATCTTGCTATAAAGAAGATGATGATAAAACAAATGGTATACAGGAGCCAATTTATGTCAATGTTAACAGCAGGAAACAGACTAGCCCTGTCCTTCTGTCTGATCTACACAGCTATATACTCAAACACAAGGAGCATAGCTGGGAAGGTTTTAAACGAGAGTTTGAGGTGAGTCTAAATTTAAAAAAAAGTAAAGTAAGGTCACCTTTGTGATTTTGTGTCAGCTCATTTTCCAGAACTTTCCCTGGCTTTGGTTAGGTACTCAACATTTTTATATGGATTTAGGACAACTTGTGAACTTAAACCCAGGAATGAAACTTGAGATAACTAGGTTAAAAATCTTTTTATTTATTCAAATCTAGGATCACAACTATGAAAGTGTTTGATGAAATTCCATCAAACCATCAGAATTCTTAAAAAAAAAAACTGTTGTAGCCTGTAATTGCACTTGTTTTTGTTTCCCAGGAATTACCAATGGGACTTCTGGCACAATGTGAAATCGCAAGGCGACCTGAAAATAAAGTAAAGAATAGATATGGAAATATAGTTGCTTGTAAGTTTTACTAAGTCATAATGACATCCAAAAGTATTGAAAACTAAATTATTTTTTATATGTACTGATAGTTTATAAAGAAATGTGTTACAATGTGTAATTCACAAGGCCCCCCCCAAAAAAACTTGATACCAAATTAAAACAATGACCCTGCTTGATGTGAGACAAGCTTATTAAACAAATGTGCCCTGAAGTTATTTAACAAATCCTGAATACAACCATTTTGTTTTTTAAATGTATTCAGAAAGACATTTACATACTAACTTTTAACAGCCTAGTCCTGAAATAAAACCATGTTTTGGGGGAAAAAAAAATTCATTTGTCTGCAATGTTTTAGCATGCACAAGCTTACACTAACCACATAGTTCAGAGTGTGTCTTTGATTGCATGGGTTGAAACATTCTTCAGCTTAACTTAAAAATTTTGCTAGTGAACTAGAAAGATTTCTCCCCATTCTAGATGCCAAGAACCTGACTTGGTAAATATATTTTTCAAAGCAAATGTTTATTGTTTTTGCTCCATCCCCTTAGATTTCTATCTTGTTTGTTGTAGTATTAGCTTTAAATTGTATTTTTTGTAGATGACCATTCACGTGTGATACTTGACCCTCTGCCTAATGAACCTTTCTCAGACTATGTGAATGCAAATTTTATGGATGTGAGTATTAACTCTGCTAGGGAATGTTTACTCTTAAACTAACTCCATTTCTTAAAAATCCCTTATGAAAAAAAAATGTACCTTGTTCTATGTCATCATTTGATTTCTCTATTTCAGGGTTATGCTAAACCAAGAGCATATATTGCTTCTCAAGGTAATCTATACACACACCAAAGTTATATGAGATAGGATTGTACAAATATTTTCTGCATAAGAGAAAAATTGTCACGCTTCTGTTGATTGGATGAAAAAGAAATTAAAGCTCTATCTTAAAGTACTGCATCATGATCAACAGATGAATAATGTTTTTCTTCTTAGGTCCGAATAAAATCATGATCAGAGACTTCTGGAGGATGGTCTGGCAACACAAGGTTTCTAAAATTGTTATGTTGACCAATCTGATGGAAGCTTGCAAGGTATATATAGATTTACATTTTATATAACACTTTAAACTGATTGGTAGCATTCTCTGCAGATTTAGCTCCTAATTGTAGCATTACATTAGACTTTTTCACCTAGCTGTATCCAGAGACAGAAAAGATTTAAATGTTGATGATAAAAAGTATGTGCTAGATATAAAAAGTATGTGCTAGATGGTATATGGATAGTGAGAGCCGTTATTTAATGTCTGTGATAAAAACACTAACTAGATGACACATGGAAACTGAGTGTCTGGTACCAATGTTGTTTTTGTTGTGTACTCAACCAGAAAAAGTGTGAGCAGTACTGGCCAGATGAAGGCAGTCAGAAATATGGCGAATTGACAGTTTTACTTGTCAATGTGACCAAGTATTCAGATTTCATCATAAGAACCTTTGAACTCTCTAAGGTTAGTGTTGTTTGTTTTTTTGTTTTGTTTTTTTAAGCATTAATAAAAATTGTTTTATTTAATCAGTTTTCAACAAATGCATTTATTTATTTCATCCTTTGCTCTCTAGGAAATGGAAAATAGTCGAATTGTCAAGCAGTTCCATTTTACCACTTGGTCTGACCATGGTGCTCCAACTTACCCCACCACACTGCTCTCATTCAGGAGAAAGGTCATAAACTTTAAACCAGATGATAGTGCACCCATTCTGTCTCACTGCAGGTTAGTTTGTTGGGCCTTTACTACATTCTGAGACATGTTTTAAGCAATTAACGCTTTAGGTAGTAGTTCTTACCTTTATCTTTCTGTTTAACCCCTACACTGTCTATGATAATTATGTTTTGTCTTAAATTTCAAGTCCCATTAAGTTCTAACTTCTAAAGCAGATGATAGGTATATTTCATTGCAATTACAGCTGTAGTGCATTGTGTCATAGTGATACCTTATGCATTGCAATAACACACTATGGCATTCTACGTTTATAGAAATGATGGGTTGCATTATAGCATTGAATTCTCTGAGATTTTGTATTAAATTAAATATTTAACTTGTTTGTTGAGAAAGTCTTAATGAAGTATTAGGTTATTAAAATAAATGAGAGTAAATAAACAAAAAAAACATCACTTTTTTGTTAGTTTACCCTTAGTGTCATGAAGACAGAGTGCAATAAAAGGGTTAAGAAAATGCTACAGGTAATTTCATAGCTTTAAACTACTTCTATTCAGAATTTTGGTCTTTTCTTTTGCTCTGTTTGATCTAGCGCTGGCATTGGGCGAACTGGCACTTTCATAGCTCTAAACTACTTGCTGGAGCAGGCTGTAGCTGAGAACCAGGTGGATGTTCTCAGATGTGCACAACTGATGAGAGCTAATCGAGTGAATATGATACAAACATTGGTAGGTCTAAACATTGGTTGGTCTAAACATTTATACAAACATTGGTTGGTCTAAACATTTGGTCCCTGCTTAAATGCTTTTCCCTCCACTGCTGGCTTTACATTTCGTTTTAAGTATAAAATTTGTTACTAGACTTCCTACTTTATATATTTATTAAATCAGTTGCTTTTTTTCTGTACTTTGAATAGGAACAATATGTTTTTGTATATGAAGCTGTACTAGAGGCCCTTCTGGCTGGTAATACAACAATACCTCGCTCCAGTTTTCATAGTACATATGAAGAGATGCTGACCCCTGATGGAGACGAAATACCTCGTATGGAGAAACAGCATGATGTGAGTATTCAAGAAGGAATAATAATCACAAGAGTAGACATGTCTACACCTAAGATGTGTAACATCAGTAGGTAGAGGCATACGAGGCTGTAGAGATGTAAGATCAGTAGTAAGGGGCATATTAATATTAATAATAATAAGAAGCAGGTACATGTTTAAGGCTTAAAATCCAACAAAATTAGTGACATCACCCTTGAAAGCTTTTTTAAACCTTCTGTATGATAATTTAGTTTTACTGAATGAATTCAACAGGTTCTACAACTTTTGTCTCCTACCATTGAAAGAGATGAGTGTTCCACAGCTTTTCAAGAAGAAAATATGGCTAAAAATAGATTTAAAAACATTTTACCAGGTGAACTTTTTTATCTGTCGTCTTAGCTTTTAGGACCATTCTTCACGTATCTTAATTTTCACTCTCGCCTTTAATTAGTCTGTCTGCATACAATTCTTACAAACAGCCAGTTATCTGAATTATCCTGGTAATGGTCATTTTATAAACTCATCTCTAGCCAACCGTACACGCCCATATTTATACACACCAGTTGAAGGCTGTAATGAATACATCAATGCTGTTTATTTATCTGTGAGTATCACCTATTTAGATCAAATATAAACATTTTCCTAATAATATGTTTCCCTAAGACGTTGAATACTTGCTTTGTTAATGTTAACATTTTCTTTATTTTGAAACCACGATAAGTTTTTTAAAAATGGATTACATGTTTATGACTATTAATATGTTATTAATGATAATTACGTTGCTTTGAATATGTTTGAGAAAATTAGGACAAACTGATTAAATTTTGATGGATGTATGAATATTTGACAGGGGTATACACAGAAAGATCAGTTCATTGTAACTCAGATGCCTCTACCAACAACAGTTGCAGATTTTTGGAGAATGTTGTATGATACTTCATCAGACACTATAGTAATGCTGAATGAGTTTGATAGAAATGATAAGGTAAATAAAAAACTGAAATCTTTTACAATAGGTGTTGGAAAAAAAGTCTGCATTAATTTATTTAGACAAACATTTTGAAAAAAAAAATTAGATTAAACTTATCTAGACATAAACATTTTTTCTTACTATCTGGTACTAGTCATGTGCCTTGTATTGGCCAGAGGAATATGGTTACAGTGAAGAACATGGTCCTTTGAATGTTGAGTTGCTGTCTTCATCAGAAGTTGACCCTGATGTCACAGTGAGAGTTTTTAAGCTCAGTCACACAGAGAAGGTAAAACCAATTCATATTGTTGCTTTCTTTTTCAAATACTTTTTTTAAAGAGTTACTTATGCAAAAATTTGTCATTTGTGTGGGATAAAACATTTAAACTCATTAGATTTTAAGTTTGTTAAAACTATTACTTTTAAATTGAAAGGGCGAAGAGCGAGCTATCAAACAGTTCATGTTTAAATCATGGCCAGACTACCAGACCACACCAAACTCTGTCACTCCATTACTTCGCCTGTACCGGCAAGTTACTGATTGGTTAAAACAGAATAGTAAAGGGCCTGTAACTGTGCATTGCATGTAGGTTTCTGGTTTAAAATCCTCATTGTTTTATTCTAACCTAATTAGTGGATACTTTCTTCAAATGTTATGCAGAAACATTTAAACAATCACTATAAGTTAATAAACTTAATTTTTTTAATTTAACTCAAAATTTTCTATTGTCTGTGTAATAAAACTGTTCACCTATATACTCAACAACTTGTAATTATCTTGAATCAGGAATGGAGCCAGTAAAAGTGGAGTGTTTGTTGCCTCTTGTTTACTTTTGGAGCGCTTAGAACTGGATTATGAAGTTGATGTGTATCAGACTGTCAAACAGATAAGAATCAACCGACCTCAGCTGATAGAAAATTTGGTAAGGAAATTAGTCAACCATCTTTCATAGTAAAAGTTCTTTATTCAAGTATCTTAACCTAGAATAGGGATGTAATAACTATGTATTTACAAGCTTAAAACTGGTCAATTTTTTTGACTTTGTATGGAGAGTGATTGATAACAATAGAGTAAACTTTTTTTGTTTTTAGTTAAGGGCAAGAAAGATTTCCTTCCAAATAGGAGGACATTAGTCATAAGCAATTTTTTTATATTTTGCATTTCATTCTCATTCATTATTCTTAGTATTTCTTTAATCTTCCTTTTATTTTCTTCATGTCTAGGAGCAGTATAAGTTTTTATATCAAGTAGTGCAAGAATATATGGACCAAGAATAGGGCTGGCAACTTTTGGATACGTCAAATATTTGCTGTTCATGTACATGCTTTATCAATGAAGTTGTACAAGAATGTACTGACTGAGGGTAAAACAGGCCACACTTGCTGCATTGGTAGGAACCTATTAAGTGATGAGCTGACGTGTTTATCCAGGTCACAAGTGACAGGTCAGAAAGATCTAAGATAGTGGCCTCCTGATTCTAGTTAAACCAAAATGGATTAGTCTTAACTTTTTTTATTATTTAAAACTACACCTTTTTTTTTTCAATTTTCAAATGTTTTTATAAAATGAACACAATGGGACCTCACCGGTTAAAGTCAAACATTGACAGATTTTTTTTTTTTAAGTTGGACTAAATAGTAGAGTGTAGAAATTAATATTTATAATTTTTTAATTGATGTAGACTCACATAAATTTTATGTAGATATGACTAAAATGGTTCTTAGTAGAAAGAGGTTTTAATGTAGATTTCAACAGATCACATTTAGCTATAATCAAAATCCCAGAGGGTATTTACAAATTGAAAGGTCTTCCAAATGTGTCATAAAAAGGTAATGAGCAGAGATGATGCAACTGTACAATCAGTACTTAATTTTAATTGTTAGCCATTGTCCTCTACCAGTTGTTGTTGTTTTTTTTCTTCAGTAGATTATTAAAGATATTGATATTTTTTAAACAATTTGTTTTGAATAGCTCATTACTTTGAGAAAGAAATAATTTAGTCTTTCGTTTATTAAACGAAATTCCCATCATTTAAATGATTTTTATAAATAGCTCATTACATCAAACATCATTTTTGCCAACAAGGGCAGATAAAATTAGTGTTTTAACATTCCACATAGTAAGATCATTCCCATTTGTTTTTCATGAGATCAGCTATTTCCATTTCTTTAGTGTGCTGGTATTCATGATACTTTTCTAATTATTTTTTTTTTTTACATTTCTTTCTCTGCTCAAATGAGGTTGTGATGAAGATTGGCATGTCCAGATATTTTGCTGTGATATTCAGCCTGCCAACTGATTCAGTTTTTTTTGTTTTTTTTTTGAGTTACTGGACGCTTAGCACCCACACACTTCCCTTCTCAGATGTTATGTATATATCTGTTTCATTTACTTGTGCAAGTCCAAAAGCTTTCTATATAGTAATATAATGTATGATATATTTATACCGGTATATTTGTTAATTTTTGTATGGAGCAGTTTTGTCCTGCATAATCACTAACAATAATTTGAAACATGCGTTGTCACAATATGAGAAATCAAATAAATTGCTACATCTTTTTGGTACTTAAAATTGCTGGAAGGAAAGCTAATAAATATTTTTCATGTTTAAAACATTAGAGCATTTTTTTTTTACTAAACTATACTTGAAACATTCTCATATTTTTTGCAGTTGTTTTTTAATGTGATATCAAATTTTTATTCTGAGAGTTGTGTACAAAACAAAGTTCCATTATCTATACTGGACACAGTTTTCTTCTTTTCTTTCTTGTGTAAAAAAAATTCTTTTTGCATTTATGTAAAATATGTTTATTTTAGTCAGTCATGTAGAAAAATTAACATTTGTATTACATTCATTAAAGTTTTCCATTTTGTTTTCCTGGATTTTATAAAACTCACATCAATTGTTCACTTTGTTTTGAGAAATGATTTTACGAATCATTATTTTCTAATATCTTGAATCTCTATATCTCAAATATACACTTCATTAGTCATTTGTAGTTTACTTTTTAATTTACTTTTTTATAAAATGATAGTTTTAAAATAAGATATTACCTTTCTTATGTTTGATATGCTATGTATTTATCATATGATTACAATTCAACAACAAAATAAAATAAAATAAAAAAACTGACATGACTATTGTACAAGTACCATCTCATTCTCCTCGTAATACATAAATAGTAGTATTTAACACATAAAACCCACATGCTCATATTAAAACACGGATCTGAAAGTCATCAAATCACATCAAGCACTATTAGATTTGTTCAAAAACAAAATAAAGAAAACACATTATGTAGGTGTATATATATATATATATATATATATATATATATATATATATATATATATATATATATATATATATATATATATATATATATATATATATATATATACACATACTTGCACACTTATACAAGAGATTCATATAAAAAATATATTTTAAATAAAAACATTGCAACTAGAGAAAAAATGTTCATTTAAAGGAATATATTTTGGGTAATATGTATAAATTCCAATGCTTATTAACATGCTTTTTATAGAACTACATTTTTAAAGAAAGATATGTTAGTTTTTTATTTTGTTGGGTCCATTATTTGTAATGCTTTAAGAAACATTTCTTTATTGTAAGATATTTTTTCAATAAAAACTTTATTATTATCTCTGTTAAGCACCTATTTTAGATCCTGTTTAATATTTTAACACTCTTATGCCATTATATTTACTATAGGCATAGCCAGTCCCAGGTAATCTTGTGGATGAGGGTTGAAATGTTCTTTTGTTCTCTTTTCTTTACTACATTGGACTGGTATTGTTTGTTGTGATTTTATAAATAGTAGTGAGAGACAAAACATTACAGATATTTATTCTTAAATCATCACTCACATTTTATTGACTAAGTTGTGAAAAGAAAATCCACACATTTTTTAAATGAAAGCTTTTATATTGTTGTGATATATAATGTTTAGCTTGCTTCCATTCCTTGTAGTGTCTGATGTACAATGATTTTGTACCAAAATATTATAGTGAATCTTGTAAAGCAATATTTTTCTATTAATGTCTTGCTGCATATATTTTTAGTAGAAAATTATAAGATTTCTGTAACAAAATAAATAAGATTGGAGAAATCTCAGTCGGTGTTTAGATGGTCACATTTGCTTGCCTACAGGCTACTATTTAATGTAAATACTGTAAGGCTGATGTTTGCTTAAAGGTGAAGGCAGAAGCTTCTGTGTTGTTCTTTTTACTCATGGACAAATTAAAATTAATTTCATTGTAAAAACATTCACTGGAGTTATATTTACTACTAGAAAACAAACTGTTTAGATTTTTAAACTAAACTTTTTTATGGTGCTTTTGTTATTTTTTTATTATGAACATTAGCATCCCATAAAATGGGCTGTATATGAATCAATGGTACAGTTGTAGACTAACTTAAGGTTGTATATGTTGTGAGTTGTACACCCATGCTTGTGTATAGAGCATCACCTTTAAAGCACACCTACTGCTTCAATAAAAATATTTTACTTTATTTGCATTTTGTTATTTTTTCATTTTAGGTTTTATTGTTGAAAACAAGAACATAGCACATCATTTTGATGAGGCATAGAAGCTATAGAGCTTTAATAGCCCATTTAAAACCTGGTAGTTTTAGGGTGTAGTTATAATGAATGTGTAGGTATTGTGACCATAATGAATGTGTGTGTGCATTATCCCAGTAATGAGTGAAAGAGGGATCACAATGTACTGACAACCCTTACTACAGCTGATTCTCAGGTCCTCCATTACAAGGGACCTTTAGCAATTAGGTATACCAAGTTAAAGAAAAACAAAAGTATTCTTTTCCATGTTTATTTGACTTGAGCATAATATGGGATTGTGTCATTAACAGCAGCTTTTATCAAGTTAGAGATAACTATCAGAGCTGGGTCTCTCTGGGTCACCACATGCTCTGTGGGACCGCGTGGTCTGGTGGTAGACTTGGCTGCTAACCTACAAGTCTCGAGCTTAAATCTCTGTCCAGGCTTGAATCTACAGGATGTCACTGAGTCCACCCAGCTCTAATGGTTAACTGACTCACGTTACGGAAATTAAGGTGGCTGGGCTTAGTGCTGACCAGACCATTACTTCATATGCCAAGATCAAGAAACATGAGCTTTACTTAATCTGCCTTCTGTACCATGATGCCCATTGCTGGTAAGGAAAAACTCATTTGCAAATACAGAGTAACCCAAAATAAACAGGTAAACCAATGAAGCCATTTTTTAACTACATTAGTTTATTTATTAACATTAGCATACAGAAAAAAAAAGTTGTGTGTTCTAAAATTTGAAATCATTGAAGTTTTGTGATGTGATAAATCTACCATGCATGATGCAGTTTAGTGTGTTTTATGACTGGAATGTGTAGAGAGATAACTCATGGAATACTTTGACAACATAATCACCTTTTTAAAAATTAAACCCTGAAATTAACTAAAGGGGAAGGAAATAGGGCTAGTGTGATATAATTATATGCCTTGAAACATGAAAATTGTTAGCCTTTAAAGTGAATGTTACATACTTTGTAACTTTAAAAAAATGGAAACGTAGCCGAATACTTCACTAGACTACTCACTAGGCTATGATCTAGCTGATATTAACTTTTAACAATATGGATCAAGGAAAATTATTTTGTAAGACATTTATTTTACAAAATATATACATGTTGCTTCAACCTAGTAACATGGGGAAAATTAATCAAAGTTTCAAGTATAACAAAATCTGGTTCAAAAAAATTAATATCTGATTAAAATCTTTTATAAAGTGTTTTTAACATGAAAAAATCTTGTAAAACTTCACTATAAAAAATTGTGTGTAACAGACTAAAACTTACCGTTTACTCTACACAATATTTCATCAGAAAAGTCCCTAATTTTGTCAAGTAAGCAGCAAAGTTATGTGTGCATCGCCATAAATTTATGTATGAAAATGCAAATTTTTGACTAGGATTGTTTTTTTTCTTTAAATGAGAATCTTCCCCCTGCCTACAGCCCAGCCCTCTTCCAATTGTGAGCAAAAAGCATTTCTAAAATGGCAAAAAACATGAGGGGCTAATCACTCTGGAATAATACATATATACATAATATCACAAAGACAAGTTTAGATGGCTCAAAATAAATACAATATTGCTTTTTTTTTCTTTGTTAAAATATTATGTGTCGACAATCCATGAGAATGAAATGACAAATTTTCAACAAATTAAATCAGAAATACACAATACCTTTTGTAACATGTCCCAATTTTAAGGTGCCAGCCCCAAGTTTTGAAACCAGATTTTAATCATTTGTGTTCAACATTAGTGAAATGCATATTCATTAGTATTAGTATACCTTGAGACTGAATAACAAAGAAAACAATTACATTAATGTTTATGATTACAGCTACAAGGGAGGCTAATTCAATGGAAGACTAAGGAAAAGACTGACAGTTCAGGTAACTTATGCCCATCACAGACTGATATATAATGAAGTCAAACTGGGGGTGGCAGAATAATACTGACAAAATACTGTAGTTTATCGGTTCAAGATATGTGCCTCATGAGTTGGCTATCTAACTACTGTAAACCTGCTGTGAACAACTAGATAGGCTTTCCAATAGTTTGACTTATGAAAGTAAGTGTATGAAAGAGAAACTGAAAAATTATAGAAATCTCTTATCAACATTCTAGAAACATAATAAAAATAATATTTTATTTCAAAACACAGTATTAAGCTCTAAATTGTATGTAAATGTAAGTTCTATGAATCAAGTACTTGTGGAGATAATTGTTCTTCTTCTAATAACCTCATAATAAACTTTGAAAAATGCTGGTTATTGTTTTTAGAATATTTAAAATGTCTTCCCACCAATCTAACACAGCTTCTCACACACAGCTTTTGACTGTGTTCAGAATTAGGTATTTTGTTCTCTGACAGTCTTTTACATGTCAATTTATGCTACAGACACGAAGTATGAAAAAAAAGAATACATTTAGAATGTCTCATATCTTTTTTACTTTTTTTAAGAAAACGTAGCCTGAATATTGTCAACATTGTAGTCAATGATAGATGCTTGACAACACAAATATAATTAATATTGTATTTAAATTGTAAATCATAATGTGAAGAATTGAAAATGTGAATCCACCTGTGAACTGTCTATGATCAAGACAAGAATTGAACCATTGCTAAAACAGTGAGCTCCAGGGGAAAAAGAAAGGTGAAGTCTCAAACAATCACATAAGGATTGAGGACAAAAAGCAGATATGACCAGACCTCAATATGATATGAAAAGCTTTGAATGAATGTAGCAGTACGAAGTGAAGTGAATTATTCAAATCTAAAATTCAATTATTTCTGTTTATAATATAATGTGCAAGTTTAATATTCCTGAATTTAATATAGAGAAAATCACAAAATATATCCTGTTATCTATAAAATCTGTTTATAAACTAAATTTGCGCTAATTGAAAATATCCCTAATGCTGTATAACTTCAACGCAAATCTAGGCAGCATGACCAAAATTTCACTTATTCCCAGTGACTGTGAGTGATTCACTTGACTCGTATATCAAGCTGGTATAGTATACACTAACATAAGGGATTTATAACACCACACCCTTCTTTTAATTAGTATACACAAAAATATCCTGGTCAACATACACAAAAATGTCCATGAGCAATTGATGAAATGGAATAAGTTAGTTGGAGTTGATGCTTTGGCTGACATGAGAGTACTGGCCATAGAAGCCAAGACAGACCAGGGGAAGTAGAGCAGACAGTTCAATGTTTGGCACAGTCCAGCAAATTTCTTGGGAGACTTATCTAGCAGACTTGGCTTGTGATGTTTGGGTTGGCTTACTCTTGAGTCGTCTAATTAGAGGGTTGCGATAAACCCAATGTTCTCCTACCTCATGGAAGTACTGATGAAAAAAAAGTCACAAGCTCAGAAGGTATTTTTTAATATCTAAAAACTATCAGACCTACCATTTTAATATAATGTTTTTCTCCAGATTTGATACAATAAATATAATTTAGAAGATACTGGACCAACCTGAGTCTCCCATTTCTTGCCTAGATCTTTTCTTTCCTTAGCCTCATCCCTCTGTCTCTGTTCTAACTTGTGTTTTTCATCAGTGGCTTCATCAACACGCTTCTCTTTCAGGTAAAAAGTCACATTGCTCCACAGTCTTGTACAGACAGTTATATTATTTAGCAGAATAAAACATCAAATGAATCATAAGGGAAAAGGAAACTTAAGTTCAAACTGCTGTAAAAGTTGAAAAATTAATCATAATCTATTTTTAAATCAGAAATTTTTTTTTTTTACAGATTTGTTGATTTGTAAAGTCGCATTCTATATTTCTTATTGTTAATATTAGAATTGACAGTTCATCTTCGAGACATTATTCACTCTCCTTGTAAATTTTTTAAAATCAATTAAATTGTAAAAAAAAAAACTTACTTTCTAGATTCTAGTTCTTCTTGTTGTTCACGTGGTCTAACTATCTTTTTAATTATAGGCAAAGACTTGGTGTCAACGAATGACTCGTTTTTCTAAGATGAGCATAAACGTAAAAACATTAATTAAAGTTCAGTGGCAGATATGTGCAGATTTCTTAAACTAGTCACACACTGCAGTCAGCCATTAAAAAAACATCTTACAATGTACTATAAATATCTTACCCCTGAAGCCCACTTTGCATACATGACATCATTCCATTCCCCTTCAATATTAACAAAAGGTTTTTTCTCATTTGGTTCAAATATTTGGGCAGTGACTTTGTGTTTTTTACTCCCATAAAATGGCTGGAAAAAAAATAAAATAAACAAATTGTCAGTAGATCAAATAATTGATATTGTAATCACACACTTTATTGTTTAGTTTTTTCAATTAATTTAATTTTTCAATGAATTTAATATTTCAATGACAATTTAAAAAACAACCACACTTTTTTTCAGAATAAATAAGAACTAAAAATCAGACACCAACCTTGGTATGAAATTCAACTAAAGCTGAGAATCCAGTCTTGGCACAATTGATATTGATTTTACCACCCAGTTCAACCCATGGAACAGTCAAAATAGATCTTAACAATAAAATACACATTTTAGTTATAGAGATCTGAATAACACACATAGTTTTTTCCACTTGTATGGTTTAAATATTTGAACAACACAAATTTTACTTCTAGATGTATCTTTCAAAGGTCTAAACAATAAAATTCAAGAAAATTTGACTTCTACTGTTATCTTTTGTATAGCTTTAAAATCAGAGAGAAATAGAATACAGATTACAAAAAATGTATTAGATTTACATTTTGTTAATTAATGTACAATGTTCAGCTTGTACTAGTATTTGATTTAATTAACAGGTATTTAATCAGGTTTAGGTATTTGTCATTTAGTGTGTTCACATGAACTGTCTGACCCTTTTAAAAACTTTGAAAGTTTTGATAACATATTTACTTAAAAAGTAGATAACTTTCCTGTAGCCTACTGTCTAATATGACAAAACAAAATCATTTACCTTCCGTAGGCACTGGGAAATGATAAAGTATAATCTTCATCATAGTCTATCACAGACAGAACACATTCTCCTATCATGTGAACACCAATGGAGAGACCCAAAAACTTGGACTTGGTCCATATGTAGCCGTCAAGTGAGATACGTTTGTTGTAGTTTTCACAGTAGAATGCTGAGACTAAGGGAGCAAAAACAAAGTTGAAATTTAGGGAGATAAAATGTCTACATTCATTAACATTTTCTTAGTTTTATAGATATAACAATATCAAGATAAAATGTTCAAGATAACTGACAATTTCAACACATTTGCAACATAATGTTTCCAAAAAACTGTAAAATCAGTTATCCTAATATGTGCGCACTTCTCTCTCACTTTGTCCGCAACATTTTTGAGGCGGTGTGATCAGTTATGTTCAGCGATATATGGAGAATTTAAAGATACGGACTTTTGTTCGGAAAAGGGTTTGTGGTTGTGATAAGAACGCAATAAACAATGATGTCAGATGTCGTATGTTTAAACTACGGAAAGTACACAAATCTAATTGCGTCATCTTCCAATTTTAGAATATGAAGAAGTGAACTATTTTATTCAAATTTGATTTAGATCTATAGATCAACTTAACAAGACGTACGCTATGAAATGTACACAATTTTCTCGGCCAAAAGTAATACAAATTACTTAAAAAACAACATAAATACCATTGAACAGCTGGTTTTTTAACAGAATCATTTAAGTCTCTTAATCAGTGTGTGTATTTGATATGGTTTTGTGTTGACTAATAAAGTATATAATTTGGTTTTAATTTTTCTAATAGGTATTGGTAACTTATTTTATTTTAAATGTGTAGGATTTTTAGCTATTTAGTTATTTCTTTGCTTTGTCGCTAATATCGTTCAACATATAGTAAAGCACATTGCATTTTGACCAATAACTATTTTATAAAATATTTTTCTCAAACAACTTTAACATTAAAATATACAGGCCTATGATTAACGTGTAAAGCGTACCGATGGCTAGATCTAGTAGATATAGAAAACAGAAACAGAAGATAGAAGGTTGCTTACTGGGTGGGTGATGTGAGACTTGTTCAGCAATAAAAACCAAATTGTCTTTAGATGCCCAAGGAATAGGACCATCCGAAGCGGGATCCTGAAGTTAATTTCAAACGTTTCAAGAAACTGAGTCAATTCACTAAGTTACAAAGTTAATCACTACTGATTGTGCAATAAAGTCAGTCATTACTGTTGATGTATCCAAGTCAGTCATATTCTTCTGTTACCTTTTCATCAACAATATCTGGGACATGCCAGTGGCATTTAAAAGTTTCTCCCAGAATTGGGTTGTAAGGTTTCTTGGCTATTTCGCTAGGTCTGCCAGCATGAAAAGCTCCCATATACCACTGAACTACTTGTACCATCCTGTCCTTAGGGTTGGTTAAATCGGCTATCCTGTGAACCAGTTTTCAAAATGTCTTTTAGCTATTCTAAGTATTAAACTACAAGTAAACATGTTGTCTTTGTTGCAAAATATATACATGAAAATGTATGTGCTAATTTCACTACTTGTTTAAAAAAAAGAAACAACAATGTGCTAATATCATTGCTTGCTATAAAGAAAAATCTTATTACAATCTAAAAAAACAAATATGCTATTCTCATTACTTGTTTAAAAACAAAACATGCTTATATCATTACTTGCTAAATGCATCAGGATGAGCAAAAAAGTCAGCAAACATTTCCAGCAGTGATCTCCTCTCTAAGATAAAGGTGGGAAGGACAACCTTGGTGAGATCCATTCCAATTCTTACTTGAGAGAGTAAGTGGCCAATAATGCTGCCATGCTGCTCCATAGATCCTACTGCAGAATTGAAACAAAAGGAGGGTAAAAAATCATAATGTAAAGGGGGGAGGGGGGGGGGGGAGAGCTAACTACCTAAATCATAATTCAAGATTTTAAAAAAAAATTAATGTTATTACACTAAATTACAATTTCTTTTTAGACATGATTTTTAATTGACTCATAGTTATAAAGAATACTTTTTAAATTAAAAAGATAAATGATAGCAAATTAACTTAGATTTTATATTAAAAACATGTAAATAAGGGATAGACTTACAGTCTTCATTATCCCTGGTATCATAAAGTTCTGTCAAAATAAAACAATTAATATAACTAAAGGCATAAATAAGAACCAAGCCAAAGCTAGGGACTAAAAACAAAAATTACAGTGTTAAATGAGAAATATTTCAATTCAAGAAGAAATACTGCATGAGAAATTAGCATCAGTGAGGTCAATACCTACCATCAAAATAATCTTCTGCAGCAGATATAACTGGAACTTGCACAAGACTTTCAGGGTCAACACAAGATGAGTACCTAGCTTGAGGATCTGGTTTTCTGTGGAGTCAACATGTTAGAGTAAGATGGGAATTTCAATTATTTCACATATTATTTGATGCTAGATAGTTTGTAGCACAGACTTACTTGGGTGATTTTTGTTCTTCGGCATCATAGAACTCCTCGTCTTCACTAGATGAATAGGATGTTACTGGGATAGACTCTCCCACTGTTACAGTAAGCGTATCATCTGTTTCAAAGTTAGACAACTCAAATTATTACAACCAGGGTAAAACCAACTCATATTTGCTAAACCATGTGCTTGAAGGTTAAAAAAACATGAATATATCAGTTGGACAAAGTAGAAAATGGTTAAAAATATATTTTAAGAAATTTGATTAAATTATTGGTAAAGTTTAAAATGAACAGCTTTATAGGTTTAGATAGAACAAATACCAAACAACTTGATTAAGATTATAATCTGGCAATACATTAATTCAATTTTTACTCAAATACACCAAATAAATAATTTGCATAAATATTTTTTTAAAATGTAACGCACTTTCCAACACAAAAAGGAAAAAATCAAAACAGAATTTAAAAAAAAGAAAAAGCAAATGAAGAAAGTGTAAATAAAATACTTCTAGTTGTTTGTGGCGATGCCTTATAAAACAACCCACACTGGTTATTGAGGTTGCCTGGAATACAACAAGACATCATGTACCACTGACCATTGTTATAACCAAAATATATGATGGCATCCAATAATTAAGAAAATCTATAAAGGCGCCTGATTATATTACCTAAAGCTGAAGCTTAAAGAGTGCCATTTTTAATTTGCGCAGTTTAAGAATATTAAAATAATTAAGCAAGAGTGTAGCTGGGCAATTATGTGCACATAAGAACTATGAGACTACATATTTATTTATATATATATATATTTATATATATATAATATATTTGATAGTTATTATAATAAGACAGTAAACTTGTTCACCTTCATAAAGGATTACATCAGAAATATGAATACTTTTAAAGTTAAACTAAATAGCTGTCAATTAAACTATTTGTGCAACAGGTTTAGTTCAACCTTAAGCTGCACAACATATGATATTTAACCATAGGTTGGCTTAAGAAAAAAAGTATGTGATCAAGAAGTAGAGACATGACAGCTAAAATTAAAGTACGCATTTTAAATCTCAGCTCCAGCAGGATAGTTGTCACCAAGACATAATGGCCACTAAACTGAAGTCAGGAAAGTAGAGGCAGGTAAGCATTTCATTGTTCACACGCTTCACATTCTAGGCCACAGTTATTGATATCAATTCTACTTCATCTGCTCTAAGGATATTAAATCTTGAATGGACACTTTATTTCCTTATTTTTTTCAAAATAAAAGAAATTGTTAAAAATTGATCTTTACAAAAATAACGCATTTTCAAAAGTATCATATATTCTTTAGAAAGCTGCTTAATAAGGAATAACCTAAATACAACACATAACAATATACTTGCAGAAATACTGATGAAGTAAGAAAATTGACAGACATCAATATGAATTCCAAAGAAGGGAAACATACAATTTACTAATGCAGATTTATCATTATATTTAGTTTAGGGTTTCATTGACTTGTAGTGTAATACTGCAGAGGGATTCATGCACATGCATACGTCTTCATGTCTCAAAACATTTACTTTCCAACAAATCTTCTTTAGTTAACTTTAACAAAGTATTTTTGATAAAAGGCTGCAGTCTGCTATCTTAAAGAATTGAGTTGTTTCCTAACTTATTTCAGCACTCCAGTTAGTAATAAAGTGATACATTTATGAAGTGGAGCAAAGAAAATGCCAACAGTAGTACCAGTACAAGCAAGATTGGGTAGAGAAATGCTGGTCTGTGCAGATAACTGTGGGTGAGCAGTTTTGCAGGCCTGACTCACATTCTCCGATGACAAAGAGGGCATCACTGATAATCAAGGGAGATAAGTCAAAAATTTTAACCTTGTATTTTATTACCTTACTAATATATTTTAAATAAAAGAAATAAAAGAAACAAGGAAAGACCTCACAATATTCTTTTTGTAAAATTAATGATAATGCCAAAAGGAAATCATATTTTTTAATAACTGTATGAGGTAAAGCCATTATCTCATAAAAAAACAAATATCTAATTTTTATTACTTACAGTTTAAATCTAATTAACATAAGCTGAAATTGTAATAGTTACTTGCATGATGTTCTATATTACTTGCAAGGTGAAAGTTTGAATCCTCTAATTTTTTTAATGTTATAAAAAATTAACATATCTTTCCAAATTATCTTAGAATAAATGGGTAAAACAGGGGAGGGGCTGTGAAAATAGTACAACTGTACTCTTCATCTCATTAATATTTGTTCATATGGTAGTCTTGTATAAAGCAAAGGCTGTACTTCTCTAAATAATACACAACTTTTCCTTTTTTCAAAATATGAACACATTTCTAAAATAAAGAATTTTACAAATTTTAACTCTAGATTATTTTCTTGGTGCTGAAGTTAGTAAAAAAAAGTAGAAGGTATATGGGCACAGTTTCAGAGTGATGGTGGGTTTCCACTGGGCCATCACAGCAGCCAAGTAGGCCAGCCCAGAAGCACATTGAGCCAACACACAAGCAAGTCTCTGGTGAAAGCACCAGAGAATTTCAAAAAAGGTAACCAAACAAACTATTTTTAAAAAGGCTCTTAAAAATATATCACTGATAAAATTGGGTAAAAACAAGCATCAGCTCAGTGGGCTTACAGGGAAAAAGAGAACCTGGAAATAATTTATTACTTCAACTAATGTTTAATATGAACATGTAAAGATAAACTAATCTGAAAACCTTAACATTCAATAAATATTTATCAAAAAAACTTTTAATTTGCAATGACTTTAATAATTCATTTAACCAAGGTTTCATTGCTGTTTTGAAATAAAAACTTCATAGTATTATTTTTAATTGTTTTTTTTTAAATTAGAAATATACATATATATATAAACATTCTTCTCTTGACCTGCTAAAAGATTAGTAGAAAGCTCACCTTGTCTAGGAGTAGGTGAATAATGTCCATAATTAGCATCATCAGTTATCAAAGGAGGATCATGGAGTGCCCCATTAACAACAGGCTCTTTGAGATTTTCCTATTCACAAGAGTGAAGCATTAATTGTGAACTTAAAATTTCATTAGGCATGTCTATATCAATTTTCTCATATTTAAAACTATACTTTAAATAATGCTGCATAATGATTAAAACCTTACCTTTGCTATCTGAAGTTGAACTATGGAATGCTTGATAGCTTCAATCATTGCCTTAAAAATAAATTGTATCACTAAAAAAAAATGTTCTATAAAAATTAATCTTTTAACCCAACAATAATTAGCTGAAACAGTGCATTTATACAATCTTGTCAAATGTAACTATTAATTGACAATTACATCTGTGTTTCATGTACTCTGATATAACAAGGGAGCAACCACATTTAGTTAAAACAGTTTATTTCAGATTCTATATGTGTTGGTTCCCAAAGGCATATTAATAATAAAAATAGATTTCTAATTATTTAACTGTAAATAAAAAACCTTCTATTATTAACTTACATCAGCCGTAACTTTAATGACATTATAACGTTCCTTGTCAGATTCATTAGGACATTCTAATATTTTCTTTTCCAAGGCCTATTAAAGAATAAAAAATATATTCAACACAAATTTCAGATGACAAGTTCAAAACATTATCAACAATGTCAAAAAAAGGTACCTCATTTTGTTCAATCAGAAGCTGCAAATAAGCATCAGTTTCCATTAATTTCTTTTCAAAATCCTCTAAAGTACTTGAAGGCTGGCCATCAGCAGTCCTCTGTAATTATAAATATCAATAGCTGTAAAAAAAAACAACTTCGTATTCTATCTGTAATAACCTTATTAAATTTTATTCATTTTCTAAAATGCTATTCTACATTCCTGACAGACAAAAACAAAAAATATGTTAGGGTTACTACTGTTACCTGTCCACTAATGTGACATATGGCACTTTCCAAGGCTTCAATCCATCTTTCACGCTCATCTTCATCTCTTGCTGGAATGGTTTGAAATAATGGTTTTAAAAACTTAAGCTGGTGCCTTTACATAATATGGCAGCTGATATAACAAGTGGTATAAAATGAAAATTGTAAAAAAAAATGTTTTAGTAGAAGCCGACCTTGGAAATGAAAGGTTTTGTGATCAACTGTAATTGTAAATGTACTGTCATCCTCATCATCAATTCCAATAATAGCTCCCTTAAAAGTAACAATATTAAGTAATAAAAATACAAATTTTGATATCGTTTTAAACAGTAACTGTAATTTTATTTAAATTAACATTTATGATTTCTTCTTCTTACCATTAGTGTTACAAAAAGACATTAAAAAAGTTAGATCAAGTTTATCAAAATTAAATTTTTTTCCTTACTATAGCTTTAGACATAGATTCTACAATGTGGCAAAAAAAAATTAATAAATTAGCATTTTGGATTACATTTTTACACATCATAATGAATTTTTTTATCTTAATGAACAATGCCTTACCTTTAAACGGACACATCCACGTCTGGAACCCTTAACCATTTTTTCTTTAGACTGAAATACCAATGTTGGCATATTTTTAGCATCTTTTTTAATTTAAATTGTTTTTTTTACATTAGTGACATCTTTTGAAATTTAGATTTTATACAGGCAGTGAAGAGAATAAAAGGTAAGACCCGTGAACAACCTTAAATAATTTAAGTGCTAAATGAAAATTCCTTTTGATACTTTGAAAATACAGCATTAAATTAATTAATTATCAAACAGTTTTAATTATTTTACTGATTCTTTATTATAACAAGGTTAATACTTGATTAATTCATATCCTTATGTTTATTGTTTTTCATTCAACAAAGTCAAAGGAATGGACTGTCACTATAATAAAATGGGTAAAATCTTAGTTTAGCGTAGTAAATTCCAACGTAGCTAGTAATGTGCGATGAAGGTAACTAATGAATATTTCTTTCATTTGGCCATATTTATGTCATATTTTACATAGTATAACAGATAATTGAATAACAAATCACAATCCATTACCAAACCAGTCATAAATATCCTGGAATAAACTTTAAACTACCCCGTTTGAGACAACAATGAGGAAATACAAGCTGCGGCCATGTTTTGAAAACAATAAATTGTCTATTCGTATGTCTTTTGTGTTGATTTTGTGGTTTAATATGATTGTTTTGTATTGTTTTAATATATGCCTGGGGGTCGTCCATAAATGACGTCACATTCGTAGGGGGGGTCCGTAATTTTGTGACGTTGTGTGATGAGGGGGAGAGGGGGGGGGGGGTTCAGATGGTGCGACGTCACACTTTTGCATTTTAAAAAAGCAATGTTAGAAAACGAATTTTATACGTTATTTTGCGTTTTAGAAAACTGTTTTAATACATTGTAATAACAATTGATTAAAATACTCTATTTTGACAGAGTTCAGACAAGATTTTGGAAAAATATAGCTGTTTAAAAACAATTCAACTGCAATTTTGAGGGGGGGGGGATTTGTAGGCTGAGGTGTGACGTCATTTTAGGGGGGGGGGGGTCTGGCTTTTTGTGACGACGTGTGACGGAGGGGAGGGGGGAGCTTAAAAAAGCGTGACGTCATTTATGAATGACCCTCTGTATAGTAATTTTTCTTTTTTTTTTTAAATATAGTTGACATAAATGACTAATAGACCTTTTCAGACTTAATAGTGTGCATCCAAGACCACAACAATTGTTGGGAGGTCGAACTTTTGAACACTTTATTTGCAGTAAGCAAATCAATATTAGATCGCTCATAAATGACGTCGCTCTTAAGATAGTAATGACAGCGTGCATTATTAAAGAGCAAACATATGAACATATTGTTTCATATAGAAATTGTGATTTGTGGTGGGGAGAGGTTGAGTAGAACTCAGCGATGTGATTTTGGAGACGGGTCAGGTTTTTTTTTCGTGAAAACAGGGGATGGTTGTGGGAGAAAGACCAGCTGTAGAAGTATGAAGCGTCATTCATTGGTGATCCATTTTCTCAGTGGGGACGATAGAACTATTAAGAAGGGTCAAAAAATGTAAAAAGCTTGCCGAGTCGCATTTCTTGAACCCCTCCTTTTTCATTCCCCCACTTAGCACATCGTCACCGAGTTAACGCTCGCACGTGACGTCATGTACCGGTACCGCCGACCGTTAGGCTAATTTTATAGAAAAAAACAAGCACTGCCTTTTTGACACTTATGCGAGATTTAATTTGATTACATATGTTGGTGTTCAATTAAACAGCCCCTAACATATCTATCACTCGTCCATTTAAACATACGTGGTTATTTCTGCAAGCTTGCTGTCTTGAGACTTTCGGCCCTTTAAAAATGTATTAAGCTCTCACCGTATAGAACTAGACTACACATATTAAGCTCCAAAAGAAGCTTGGTGAAACCAGGATGGCCGTCCGATTTTGTAGCTGCTCTGCGCTTTATAAAAAGCACAATAAACGATAAGATGACACTTATATTAAAGTAAATTATAGTTCTGAATCATGATACATTAAAAGTGATATTCTGAAATTAAGAGCCAGACAGTCAACATGATATTTCAATTTGAGCCCAAGAAAATAAATTTCCTTAAACAATGGAACGTTACTAAATTTTCGCGCAGTTTCGCGAAATTGAATTAAAGTATTTACGACATCTTACAAAGCGCGATAGCCTACTGGTGCTCTAACGCGGCCCATGCTAATGGCCGTATTCCTAACGCCCCGCATTCGACGCGGCTTATTCATCGGCAGGCATTTGGTGGCAAGCCTTTTTGACGGGGATAATGTGTTGAGGCCGTTTTGCCAAATGTCTTAAACTAGCAGGCTTGCAACATTTGTGATGATTCGTTTTGAGCAAGGTATACGTATACTAATGCTTATTTATCGTTATTTTGATCGAACAAAGCATTATAGAGGTTCTCCATCAACCACCTAGGTATTTTTCCCCGTTCACCTACTTTCATGAGACCGACACGTCATAAATTGCGGAGCCGCCAGAGTTGACGTCACAAATTTTCACTCACTCCCGTAGCAAATCATATGTGACATCATTTATGGACAACCCCATATTACTCACTTGGGTACTTGATATTGACATTTTGACAACAAAGGATAACCTAAATGTGTCTGGCAGGTGAAGACTTGCGATCGACCAAAATGACAACACACACTTTAAGGGGTGGACTGGTTCATTGTTTTAGATGATGTTTTACGAGGGAAGCTGGTGGAAAATACATTTTGTCTCTCTGTATATATAAATGATGACAAACATTTAATGCTGTCAAAATTATGGTTAGAGATCTTAGATAAGGCAGAGTGAAGCGTAATTTTTTTACATTATGACTTGTTGTGACATTGACAACAAAAATATGACGGTGGTTGGGGTTTAATTAAGGTAAAGAGAAGTAAAAAAAATGTCATAAGTTACGATTGAAAAGAAAAACCTGAAATGAAAATAGTGAACATTCAAACAATAAGAAAAAACTCAAACTATATAGTAATAGTAAGATCTAATAAACATTAGTTTTAAAAAAAACGTGATTTAATACATGGATACAGGTTGCATCTCACAATGCTTCTAGAATTAATAAAGTTGTTTGTTAGGAAATTCAGTTTTTAAAGAGCAGAATTTAAAAAAAATGCTTTGTAATACGGACTATACAACAAGACAATCATATTTAAGTACATTTTCATACGAATAGAAATGAAAGGGAAGCTACTCTAAATTACTTTTTCTTAAGATGGCTGCTGTTTTTAATAGCAAATTTACTATCTCGAACAGGGTTGATAAAAATTAATTTCAGGATATTTAAATTGATTTAACCATTAGGGCCTAATAGTGATTTATTATTTAATTATTTATAATATTTTATCAAAATATACGAAAATATACTCATATTTAACGACATATTCATTAATTCACTCTCTCCTACATTACTAGTTTTGGCCGAATTTACGACGCTAAACTAAGATTTTACCATAAAATGTTACTAATGTGCAGTGTAGGGCGTAGGGCCTGTAGGGGTTGTACACATTCAGTGTTCAGAGATCTAAATAACAACTATAAGTTAGCACAAAATGCAAAATGCCTTTGGTCTATGAAATAGGATTCAAAGGTACATCTATGATCGTTGTATTATAGCCACTAATCGCTAAGAAGCAGGATTTTTAATAGCAAAAGCCTTTTTTTAAATTGCCCCGCCCCCTTTCTTCTATTCTTTTTCAAGATGATCTCATCATTCGACTATTCATCACAAAAATCTCTAAGCATATAAAATGTACACTTAATTATAATGATAAAATAAAGACGTATTACTGTATAATATGACAAAATGCCTGATGAATCATCCAAAACAAACCAGCGATATTGCCAGCCTTTCATAACATTAGTCCATTTACTAAGAGGTCCTTCCATTTTGATCGCCATGTTTATTATCGTTCTTTAAAAAAATTAAAAACTCAAAGCATAACGTATTGAGAATAATTTTGAACCTAAGCAATTTCATACAGATTCAATTCCATTTATTTTGTTATTTTCATCATTGAAATAAATCTAGTTATCATTAGATATTTTCAAAGTAAAAATTGATAACACGTTCTAGATTTTTAAAAATATTAGGGTCTATTAGCTTATTTAGTGTTATGGGGGGGGGGGGGGGGGGGGAGAAGGGGACGTACGAAAGGATCGTCTATAAAATAAATGAGGTCAATTTCAGATGTAGGGGAAGGGGGGGGGATGTTCAAAAGTGAGATTTTTTTTATATGTCTGACCGCGAATTTTTTTTTTAACGAAAGTATGCAGTTTGTTACTTAAAATTACAACACATAAATGACATTGTGTACGTTTGCTGCCATTATGTTTACATATTTTTATTTTCTTTAATAATCAAAAGCTTTACAATTGTTTAAAAAAAATATAGATCTAGATTCTATGTCCTAAAATTAATAAGTCTATAATATTATGGGTTTGGTAGTCGTCGCACCTGATAATATATCACAACCCCTTCTTCCCAATGCCATTTTTTGCTTTTTAAGCAATCTTTCCTTTCTAATTAAAAAATAGTAAAAGCTAGGGGCAAGATACGGTAGCCCATAGATCTAGATCCTAGTAATGCAAAAGGGCTATTTAACAGATAATATAATTAGACTCTTTATAAATCTAGATTGTTCTTTTTCTTTGGCAGGACTAGCTGATGCCTAGGCCTAGGGCCTAGCGTTTCCTTTTTCTGTAAACCTAGGCTAATTTTAATTGGCTCATTATTAACATGAAATCCCGATGCTTAAAATAGTAACCAATCATTTCTTGGAGTTTGTTTTTCAAGTTCTGTTTACAAATGGTCTCCACATCGCACGTTTATGAGAGAAAAACAATTTTGATTTTATTATTATTTGCAAGTTAAACACAAACAATGGATAGGATAGGAAAAATAGACGATACTGCATATTTCGGTCCATATAAAGCTACTCGTTTGGTAAATAATGGACGTTCTCTGATAGATTTTTACCTTATTAATTTGATCTAGAAATCTAGAGTCTAGAGCTCTGCAGTCTGCAGTAGACTGCAGTGAGTGTTACTGTGTTGTTAACTAGAGTAAAGTACCTTTAATAAACACCGATACACAAAAAAATGCGACGTGTTCGCTATGAGGGCACCTCTTTTCATTAATAATTCACCTAGAAAAAAAACCGAATGGACCATAATACTCTTTATTGAGGCTATAGGCCTAACTATAGGAGAATAATAAATAATAGGCTGATAACTGAAAATTTTACCACATCCAATTTCCAATGTGTGATTTAAATTTTAAAACCATTCATTTAAATTTGTATTGTTATATCATATGTAGCCACACCTCCACATATGTAGATCTATCATTTAAAGTAAAGTCCAATGAATCTCAATAAGTGAATCAATTTTTTATCAAGCAATGTGATTAGCTTGCCTAGCTAATCAAGTATTTTGTTCACCCAAATTCTACCAAGCTTTTGCAGGTTCCTTCTTAACGCATTACTTAATACTTAACCTTTTTGGAGATACAAAACGGCAAAACTCACCAGTTTCATATGCGCATTGACTGAACCCTTCTATCATCTGCACTGACAAAATCCTAACATGAATAATACAAGATGGGTGTTTGTTTTGACCTCCCTCAAACTCTGAGGCGGACTCACAGAACTCTAGACATTTGATCAGTGGCATAGCTAGGATTTTTGGGCCCCTAAGCAAAAAGTGTTAGTGGGCCCCTCAGAGGCGTAGCGACCGGGGACAAACTTTCAATTTGCACCCCCCCCCCCCCCCCCAGACTTTCGATTTGCACCTCCCTTCAGACTTTCGATTTGCACCCCCCTCAAACTTTTGAAAAAGGGCCCCTATTTGCCTTGGGCCCCTAAGGTAGCTATGCCACTGCATTTGATCAAACCCAGTTTAAAACCACTGATCTATGCCAAGTCTAGTTTGCCTCCTTTCTCTTTTTGAGTATTAATATGTTGACTTGATTTTTTAAAACATTTTTTAAGAATTGTTTGTTCTGTTTCAGTGGAATGATGTTATTACTACTTTTCGACAATATTTACCATGTGGTCGACATAGGAGGTATATGAAAACGTTTGATAATTGTTTTTCCGGCTCTTCAGCAACAGAATGGCTTCTGCAATATTTGAAGAATAATCCAAACTTTAATGAAGATGTTTCTAGGTATTTATTGTTATTTGCATAATTTTAACTCAACAGCAATCCTTTTTTATTTTATAAGTCAGTAGAATGGGCATATCACAAAACATTATTTTGGGGTAGTCAATAGATTATTATCTTTGAACTTGCTAAGTTATCTCTTTATTTATTACAGTCATAGTTAAGTTAAAAGGTTATTCAACTTTTATTTACTTTAAAATTATGCTAAATTTTTGTAAGATTAGCAACAGTATGGTGGCTATTGTGGGATGACATGGCCAGTGGTAGAGCTTAAGATTGCTTACTCGAAAAGTCTCGAGTTCAATTCCTGGTTCTCTGAGTCCACCCAGCTCTGTTTGGTACCTAACTCATGTTACGGAAAGTAAAGGCAGCTAGGCCAAGTGCTAACCACACTGTTCATTAATTTGCCAAACTTGCAGAAACAGGTGGACTCTACTTCACTTGCCCAAAGTTGCCCCATGGACTGTCAGGTTCAAAAAGGGAACTTTACTTATAGTGGCTATTTAGAAAACTTATTTTTAATACTTTGTGATGTAAATCTATATGTTCAGGTTTTTTAATCTTTTTTTAATGCAGAGATAAAGCCCTATCTTTGTTGAATAAGCTTTACAAGGCAGGTATTTTTCAAGAAGTTAAAGTTTCAAAAACAATGCGACACAAACCAGATGTTCAAGAAAATAGACTCTATAGGTATGTTTTTTCCTCTATTCATATTTGTCCCAGATGTATGAAATGTTGATTTTTAACCCTTTATTTACGGAATTATGTTCTGAATGAGATTTTTACTTAAACAATGTGTTACTATATTGCTTTTGGCACATTAAAAGCATATGTCGAAGGAAATTTCGTTTCATAAATTTTTAATGGCCCAAACAGATATTGGTACTTATAAGTACCGTCAGTAAACTAGGACATTTTTTTTCAAAAAAAATTTTTTTACAAAACAGGAACAAACGATACAATTTATTAACTAATAACATGGCAATCATTATAACAATCACTTTTTGTAATTTTCACACATAAATACAGCACAAAAGTATATTTTGAGTACGATTTTTACTGGATTTTCTATCGGAACACATCTTAGACCTCAAACACAGCAAAAGTAGTTGACATGTCATGCTCCCTCAATCTTGTCTGTGGTATTTCTAGTGTTGCAGCGGTTGCCGGAATGAATATGCTTTTGCTGGAAGCTTCCAATAACTAGTACAATGAGCCGCATAAACAAACAAAAGCCTAGTCATTCAGCACACAACTACTAGAAATACTAATATAATTGTAGCCTACTATAATGTTATGACAAGTCTACACTACAGTGCAAAGTTCATAAATAGAAGTGAGCTCAATGTGTTTTGGAAGAAGTAGTGGATTACTCTTTTCTGTTTACTGATTAAAAATTACCTTATAGATCTATACTATATGCAGAAGTATGGACTATTACTAGTCTACAGGTTTACATTATGTAAATGCTAGTTGTTGTAGGCAAGACAGTTCATTGCAGTAAATATAACTAACAAATTAAATCTTACAACCTGAACTAGGCTTTGGTATACAAATGAAGTATACTAAACCTTATAAACGAGCCTGCAACTGATACCTTTATTCTTGTTATTTTTTTACTACTAGAAATGAACATGTAATTACAATATTTCTTAGGTAAACCATATGATAACCTTCTTATAAATGTGTAAATATCATTTTTTGAGTACATTTCGATAAGTAATTATCAAGACAATATTTATGTAACTCCACCTAACAAATCTGCAATTTTCTAAAAATCCTAAAAAAAATGACCGTGTGCCCTGACGGTACTTATAAGTCCACTTGTAAACATCGATCTAATACAAAGACAATTTGATTAAAATTGTATAACTAGAAGTTAAACGCGTTTGCCTGACTATTGAAGGTGCCAATAAAAAATATTTGGGGTTGAAAACTTGAAAAATAAGGTAAAACAAAAGGAAATCAGGAAGGGGTGTGAGAAATGTACAGAAAAATTGTGAACTACCGATATAGCAAGACATTGAAAAAGCGCCACACCATTAATTTTTTTAAAAACATTGATACCTCCGACTACCGGCGACTCGGGGGAGATAATACTATAAAATACATCAATAATTTTTAAAATTCGTATTTAATTTAATATAATACAGGCACTTAATTAAAGTGGTACTTATAAGTACCGTCAGTAGATAAAGGGTTAAATAGGCGTACTTACCTCTTTTTATAATTATTTTTATCAGAATTTTTAAAAATATCTTTCAGTGACTGTAAAATATTTTTGAATAATCAATTTTTTTTTGTCTGTTTGTTGTTATTATTATCTAAGTTTCGACATTAATATGGCATTTTTTGTTTTCATCAGATTCCTTCCAATATCTCCTTCAAAAGTAAAAATTTCGAGACTGCCTTTGGCTCCCAGAAATGATGCTGGTATTAACCATTCATTACCTACTAGTAACTTTGTTCAGGATAAGATAAGCAAGGACAGACAGGCAAACAGTTGCAGGGATAGCAAAGTGAATGAATCTAAAGGACTCTCAGTGTTGACACGAAAGATCTCTTTCTTAAGGAAAGACAAGAGTCAGAAAGATAATGAAAGACCTGAAAGTTATCCCCCATGTCATCTTATCGCCAGAGTATTGACAACCAAGGAAATTAAAGATACATGGAAAACTATTTTTGTCCAGAGGTAGGTGGCAAGCTTAAGTTTAAAATAGAATTCTGTTTACATATTTTCACTAAAAAAAAAGAAATTGCTTCAAAACTTTTCTGTTACTTATACTATTTCAAAATGTCTTGTAACATATTTATTAAAAAGTAAATTTAAACTTGGCTCAAGCTCATTTTGTTTAAGTTATTGAAAAATTTCCTCTTCCAAAACTATTTTGCTCAAGTAAAGCAATGTTTAAGTTATTGTTATTTTGTTCATACTTTAAATAGCAGTTTTAATATTATAAATTGTCCCAACATATGTAAGAGCATCAACAAGAAATAAAAGATAGTATTGAATGCTAGACATATTTTTAACAGATTGAAGAAAACGATTGGTGTTAGCAGACTTGGTGATATTGTTCATCTAGACAGTATTGATGGCTACAATGTGATGCACAACTGTATTTACCTCAACAAAAGTGGAATAGTTACAAACATTGATGCTAAAGATCAGCTTCCTCATTGGGTCATGTCAGCCATGAAATGCTTAGCACGCTGTAAGTTATTGAAATTATTTTGCCTCACTTATTTTTTTTTAATTTCAAGTAGTAAGTTATGTTGAACATGCTGGTCTTGCCTTCTAAAGAATCTTCTGTACATACTTCAAGGGCCAGAACCACCAGAGCCTGGTCTTCCAAGCTACCTGGGCTTTGAAAAAGATGTTTTTACAGTTGTTAAGGATTACTTCCTAGGTCTTGAAGAGCCACTTGTCCCCTACAGCTTGTATGAAGTCTTCACTAATGTTTTTGGTAAGACTTTAACATCTTTAATTATCTTGCATGTTGTTTTTTTTCTTCTTGTACTTATAGTGAGTGTTTGTATATTTAAAAATCAATAAATTTCCACTCTATTCACATTTTTCTATTTTTTTTTCATTTAAATTTTTTTATTCTAATGTATAATGTTTTAACTTTAAAAGTGTCCTATTCATTTTCAGTGATGGCTGGAAATAATCAACCTAGACATTCATCACCTCATCATACACAGGAAGAATCTGGTGGACCAAGTAGTTTGTGGACATCAGCATCACTAGAAAATATCATTCTTAATCTAACAAAAAAATATTGCCTACTTGACAATACTGAACAACATTATGGCACTCTTGAAGACCTGAGATCAAAAAGCATCCAGCACCCTCACTTTGGCACTCAGGAAGATCTTAGATTTGTCAGTCATATTGACAAAACATTTGTCACCTACAACAATCAAAGTGCTTTCCCAAGTACTGATGGAATGGACCAGCTGGGACATAGTCAAAGCTACAGAAAGCTGAATAAATTTAAGGCCTCTGCACCTTTGCATCATAAGAGCTGTAAAACATTGTCCAGAACAACTCAATCTGCTAGAGAAGCAGATTCTGACATCCAAACGGATACAACTGCTCTGATGAGAAAGTATGGTTCTGCTCCTAACTTGAAAGTCTCAAGATATGAAACAGCTTTTGGGCCAGATAACCGTACAGTGACTAGAGTTTTTTACCAGAATGGGATGACGACTGACTTTGGCCATGATGAAGAAGAAGAAGATAGCTCACATGAAGAAGAATGTAACAGACTCAAAGAGGAGTATTGTGCTGAGTATAAAAGCTTAACTCCAGGGAAGCTGATAACCAAGTGCCAATCCTCTCTGGATCTCAGTGCATGTTCTGTTAGAAAGGAAACACACAACAATAGCCAGAGGCATAGCACCAGCTTTAGTGGCAGCCTTAACAAAAGCAGAGAACACAATTCAAGCTTTGTTGCTACCTCAGCAAGTAATGATGTTTCAAAGCATACATCTCACTTTGATGATCAAGTTATTTATGAGCACGATCAAATAAGGGAGACAACCGAAGCACAATTTGATCAAGTTAAAGAACCAAAGTCACCCCTAAATATGTCAACCACCAACCCAGCATATAATAAAACCCATGATTTTAATAAATCATCCTCCAGTCCTAGATTGAAAGAAGAAAATGGGGACCAATATGCAAAGTCTTTGCCATATTCCCCTGTCAAGAGGGCTTCCTCGTTTCAGTGTAATACTCAGTTAGTAGAAGCATATGGTCCTGGCTACAGACCACCAAGGGAATGCTATAACAGACAGAACTCATCACCAGCCATCAACAGTCATAATGAAGCTAAATTGAAAATCCACTCCCCCAATAATTCTGTAAATCCTGGATTAGCTTATAAGCCTGTTCTGGATGATTCTAGGCAAGACATAACAGCTAGCCATGTTTCGATTGGACACCCAAAGACCCCAGTCTCTTCCAAGTATGATCCCCAATCATGTTTGACAGATGATTACACCCCTGGCATTAGTCTGTCTCACATTACTCCACTTTACAGCACCAGGGGAAAGATGTATGAGAGGTCTGGCAGGGAAAGCACTTTCATTAACTGTAAGTGAATTTTATTACTTTTTATAGTTGTTGGATAGTTCAACTAGTATCAGCAGCTGCCTCAGAAAATTTGGTCTAAAAAATTATTTGTTAACACAAACAAAACTTATTAATTTAATCTCAATTTGGTGAAAACATCTTTTTGCTTAAATTTTCATAGATTGAGCATTCGGTTCTAACTAATGTGATGGCAAACATCTTCATTTGACATCTAACTATACTGAACAAACTTTTTGTATAGTCCCACAGACTCGACTGTCAGAGGAAAGAGCCAAGAACTCATTGCAAATGATAAGCCTACTTTTGCCTCCTGCTAATCGCAGGAAGCTGCATCTGTTATTTAAAATGATGATCAAAATGACTTCTAATCCAAATCTCTGCTTGGACCCTTCTCAGACCACACGCAGCTTGGTAAATATCAACTATGGTTGTTTTAGCCAAATATTTTAGATATTTCAAATTATTGGTTTACAAACTAAACTTGGAGTCACTGCAACTCCCTATAAAAAACAAAAAACTTCTTGGTGTCTTCCCCAACCTCTCTCAACACAAACAGTTTCAGTTGTAATTCATGGAACACTTAGTGGTCTAAATTTCCTAAGAGTGAATTGCTAGTGGCCGTATAATTTGAAAAAAAAAAGATGGAAAATGACAAGATTTAATACTTGGATAGGATAGCTAATACATAGCAACAGTCATCATTAACTGTTTCAGACATGTTATTTTTAACATTCGAATTATTTATTTAGTTATATTGATAACATACTCTAAGTCTAACCTTCTTGTGTAAAGTTGAAGATAATGTTCTTAAAATATTTTTTTTTATTCAGGTTTTGGGCACATTTTACCAAGCTATAATTAGATCAGAGGAGGAGTGTGACTTAGATGAGTTAGTAGTGCTGCAACTTGTCTCTTTCATGCTGGATTTTTATGCAGACATCTTTGCACCACCCCCAGACATTAAAACTCAAGTCAGTGAGAGGCTCAAAATAATGCAAAAACCACAGGTACAATGTTTTTCTTATGCATTTTTTTTTTAAATTTGATAACTGTTTTTTTATAAATTGTTTTCACTAAAGTGGTTTATTTAGAAAGAATAATACCTTCTTTACTGACTTTCACTGTTGTAAAACTGTATTTTTTAAATTTGTGGAGATTTTGTTCATTCTTGAGTACAGATTGATACAATTTAACTTGACTATTTCCAGAGATGATACAATTTGAGCTTGTTAATGTTGATCAAAATATCCACTTCATGCTGTCTGAAAATCTTAAATTTATTTCTTTGACTTGTAATGTTACAGCAATTTTAATTGTTCCCAACAGATTGTTTATTCTCCTAGACCCGAGCGGACTGTGAGATTTTGCCAGCAAACTAGTGTTACTGACTTTGAAAATCAAAGGTCATCTACATCTCAGTCTGCCCTAAAAGATTTGCTTGAAGGGATTATCTCTGACAAGAACATGAGTAGCAAAGAAAAAGCTAAGCGTCTGAAACAGGTGATTTTTCTTTTTCATTTTTCTACTGACTTTGGTTTTAAATGTTAAAAATTATCTTTAAACAAAACTTACTTATACAGTTGATAAAATGATTAAATTTCAGATATTGCTTTATTTTAAAAGTTTTGTCACTTAATTTCAGTTTGAGAAAACGTACCCAACCATCTATGCCTTACGCTTTCCTAATCCAGAATCAGAGGCCAGCGTGTTACCACAAAAAGTGAAAAATAAACCATCTCTTAAGACTTTACCAATTAGCAGGCAAAAAGGCCTTCGTTTTTAATTTATATTTTTTAAGTTTTCAAATGTTAATCAAAACAATTACATATTCAGATTAGTTTTGTTTTTTCACCCCCATTAAATAGCCATTTATTTGAAACACATTGAAAAGGTGCTAATTTGAAGTTGATTAAAATTGTTAATGATTTTTATATTACACTATGCAACAGAATGTTTGTTGAGATATCATGTATTTTTTTTTTAGTCACTTTGTGAATGCCTTAATTTTTCAATGGCTTCACTGACTACTCTTTTGCTGAGCTTATTCTTTTTTTTTTAGTATCACATGTTAATGTGGAAAATTATTACCTCAATTTGATTTTTCTTAAAATACAAACAAAACTGTTAATAACTATAGTATCACATGGTGCCTTGTTGAAACTTCTATTTTTAGAATTCTATGCATTTTTTATTTACAATAATTGTCCACTATGTTTAGTGTTGCTTTGTAAATACATTTTATATAGTTAATATTGTTAATAGTGCATGTCGAAAATTGTAATTAAAAAACTTTACATTTTTAAGACTTTTTAACTTTATTTTATAGTCTATTGTATCCATAAGAACATATTTTTTTACAGATGCCATAATATGTACAGGCTATTTATTTCATGTTACATAAGCAACAAAAGAGATCAAATACTTTTTAAAAATGTAAAATTGTTTTTTTTTACTTTTATTGTTGGATGATTGTTTATAATATAGGCTTCTAACAACAATTTCTATTTTTCTTTTTGAGTCATTATGGACCTCAACTATTCCTATACTGGCACAACTGAAAATGGTTTAGGAAATTGGTTTAGTTAAGCTTCATCCTCATTCCACTTTTGTCCCAGTGTTATTCTGCTATGCAGTTGTTTTTTTTAATCACTATTCCATTTACACATTTTTTAATTACTTTCATTACATAACAATGTTTTTGGATTCTGCTAGGTTGGAACAGTGCTACGCTTCAATTATTGTAGATATGAATTTTGAAATATATTAAAACTGTTTACAAAATCAGAAATTAATATTCTTAGAAGGAATATTTGCAATTGCAATACGGTTTGTTTTTTTACCTAAAAATGGTTTAGTGATAGCTATAATATTCATTTTTCAAAGTATGTTTTCTGATTGGCTTTTTAAACCAAATTATTATTTATAACGTTTCACCTTTCTAGTTGTATTTAATCCATCATGGTTTCAATGTCAAGTTAAAAACTTGTAGTTTTACTTGTATGTAATTCTACCAATTTGACAGGTACCAAACACTGTTTTTCTTGTGATGATCATGTGAAGATATTCAGATGATCACTTGAGATTACAACCAAGCAGAATCCATTATTAGTAGGAAATATTTGCTATTTACAGCTTTTAACCAAGGTGTGTTTGAATATTTTACTACGTATATTTGTTATAATATGCCTGTAGTTAGATTAGTTAGCTTGCATTTATAATGCCACAAACATATTCTTGTTAATGATTAGAATTGATTTCTGCTTTAAGTGTCTCTATTTATCTAGTCACCTTAATCAAGCTTTGGCATTTTTCTTTGAATTAAAGTTTTTAGTAATTGAATCAAGAGTGTTATGTATTTGTTGCTGTCTCTCTTATACTACTACTGGAGTTATCCTCTTCAGTCAGAAATATCACAGTATGTTGTAGAATCAAGATTCTCTCTCAACTATGTTTATGTTGCAAACCCACTAGAACCAGGTTTCCATCAGGTTTTTACTTCCTCCACTGAGTCTAGTTTCTAAGTCTAGTCTAATACTAATTGTTAATTTCAGGTTATGATTATAAGCATCACTGTCATCAGTAACTACTAGCTGAATTCAGCTACTGCATTGTTTTTAAAGAAAATTACACAGCACCTAAAAAGCAAATAGTGTTACACTCGTATTTTCTATTTCTTTTGTGCAATAATTACAAACACAATTGTCATATACTGTGAATATTCTACAGACATTGCATTAATCTATCAATATTTTGAAACCGTATTTCTACCTCCAATTTGATTCTAACTAGAAAATTGATAGAAATATTAGAAAACAGTGAAATTATGTAAAAGACTTCTTTAATTATAATATGTACAGCAAGTATAATTTTGGACATTCACAAAATTCAATGTTTATATTTTCTTGGAAAATGAACTATGTACATAGTATGAAAGTTCATACCGTATCCAAATTTGTTACAAATATAATAACTTTGTTTTCAAAGATCAGAAATTAATAGTATCAGTGATTGCAGTGTAAAAAGCTGACATACTTGCAATGAAAAAAAAATATTTCAATTGTTTTTTTTTTTCAAATATTATTATTATTATGAACAAAACCAGTAAGCACTACACCAACATACCACAGAAAAAAAATTGTCTTAACAACTATTGGAAAAATTGCATTTGAATTTTTAGAAATAAATTAACCCTAATTTAATACAGTCAGATGCCTAACATTCCTATTTAACACTTATTTCCCCAAAATGTCCCCATCTGGTAAAATAATACTAGCATATTATTGTATTTACTATAACAGAATTCTTTAAATAGCAGAAAATCAATTATCGTGCAGGACCCTGTTAAATTCATTGTAAGCAGATTCTAAATCAAAGAGCATCTGTCTGACCTGTGTCTCATCTAATTCCTCTGAAGCCTGCATGTTGCCAAGTGTTTCCAACCTTCAGATCAAAGTTAACAATGGATTTAACTAACTGACATGTAGGGGGGGGGAGGGGGGGGAGGAGGAGAGAATAATGTATTTTTATACTAATTTAATAAATTAATTCTTTTTTATTCTTCATAACATTGATAAATACATTTAACTTAAAATACATAAACTTGATTTAAAAGCTAGAAATTAAATTCAGAGGGGGGGGGGGAAATCATAAAGAGTTGTCTAATAATAATCAAGAATTCAGACTCACCATTTACGCACTTTCTGTTTGCCCTCAAAGTCTGGAGGTAAGAGGCTGAGACGTGTCATGGTTTCTACAAGTTCTTGTAGGTCTGGGTGAATCTAACAAATTAATGGGGTAAAACATAAAAACAATAAATATATTGTGATCTACCAACCCCTTGAATAAATTAATTTTTTTTTACTTAAAATAGTGAAATAAAAGAACTCACTGCATCCATAGCTTTAATGTCTAGCCTCAGTTTGTCCATAACAGTGATAAAAAGCTGGAAGTAAAATAATTCTTAGACATTCAATTGTGTCAAATTCAACCCAAAACATTTATTCAACAATAGTATCATAAATAACAAAGCATGATATAGAATTTACAAAAAATATTTTATTTTTAGCATATTATCATTACAGTGCAACTAGTCTCACTGACAAATAGGACTAAAATATTTTTATTTACAATTTTTAAAATTAAAAACTTCAGCCAGCAACTTACAGAGACTATGTCTGCTATACATTTACTTGTATTTCCTTTGTCATCTTTAATAGTAATAGGCCTGTCTTCTTTGATTCTCTCTAGTGCTGCTGGACAATCCAGCTGAAAATTTCAGAAATTTTGTTCACCGCTGCTAGTCAGCATATGTACAAATATTGGAAATATTGCAAGCACCCGAAACAATGAATGAAACTAACTTTGATAAAGCAATTTATCTTTTTTTTTTCTATTTTACAATTACAAATCCAAAAGCACTGTTAATATTAGTGTCTGATATAACTCTGATGGGTACATAACTTATGTTAGGGAAACAAAAGCTGATGGGCACATTATCCCCTTGTATGTCGAGGTCACTGAAACAAATGAACTCTACTTCATCTGCCCCATATGTCTTGAGTACAAACTGGAAAAACTGCTATACTCATTATTTATTCCACACACTTAAGTAAATCTCTGACCCTACACTTACCCTATACTTTTTCATGAACTCCTCTATTGTAGAAAAGTCACTGTGTACTTGTTTGAAAGCAGCTTTATACTGAACTAAAAGTTTGGAGCATGTAGCTGTGTACCTATAAGAAACAGACTTATGTTACATATGAACTATCCAAGCCAAAGAGTAAGTCTCAGGAAGGAAAATAATGGGGTTTAAATGAGATTATAAGCTAAGGTGCAGAACTTACAGCAGTAATAATAAACACTAAGTAAAATTAATCAACTTGCAAAGAAGTTTTCAACAGGATTGAGGGTGGTAATTAATTTTAGAAGAAGACTTAAGCAAATAGTATCTGACTCTAGTGGTTTACAGAATACTGTAATGAAAAAACAATCTCACTCTTTAGCAAGGACGGCATCTCTAATGTAAGCTTTCTCCAAACTCTGCAGTGTGTTTATTACAGCATACAAATCAGCCATGTTGTCATATCTAAAAATAAAGCAGAAAGAAAATTGTAAATAAAATTGAATTAAAAACTTAATCCTTATACTAACCAGTTACAGCAGTGTTAAGTAATGCATTTGAAATGTCATTAATGTATGTACTGTTAAGTTATGTATTTGAAAAGTAAAATTTAGTACTCTTTTTGAACATGATGGTCCATGAAGCAGGTAAAGTAGAATTAACCTGTTATAGTGACTTCAGCCCAGCCGCCTTTATTATCCCTAAAGTGGGTCGGGTTCCCATTAGGGCTGGGTGGACTCAGGAATATTCTATGGATAAGAACCCATGATTCGAACACAAGACGTTTGGGTTAGCAGTCTTATACTCTCAGTCCGGCAATTTAAATGTGATTGATACAGAGTGTCTGTGGGTTTGTGGCCAGATAAAATCAAGGAATGATCCAACTATGTGACAATCGTGAATTAACTGTTAATTTACTGTCTCATCTTCAATAATTGTGAGGGGAAGTAACAAATATTGAGTTACAGATCAAATATATTTACAAATACAAAATGCAGAGGGACATAATTAAATCATAATAAAAGTTGGAAAAAAATGCCATGTTATAAGGCGCTTTATCATGAACTAAAACAAACAATCAATTTAAGAATAAGTTAATTACTTTTCTCTTTCTTTTGTTGTTCTGTACAGTTTCACCTCCTGTGAATAAAGAGGTACCAGAGTTAGTACTAAATATCAACTAGAGTTGGTACAAAATATCAACTAGAGTTGGTACAAAATATCAACTAGAGTTAGTACAAAATATAAATCTATATCAATATTTATTACACCAACTTTCTCACCACAATCTATTTTACTTATCAACTTATTTCAATACACGATAATTGTTTTAAATATATTTTACCTCATAGAGCCCTGAATTATTCCCTTGACCTGGAAATAAAATAAATTTTTACATTTTAAGAGTTTTAAATAGATTTTTTGACAAATTAGCATTGTTTTCACTTTTATATTTATGAATAACTTAGTAACTTAGTGAAATATGAATTAAGACTTTAAAATATTTATTTTAATATGTATCATAGTATAATTTGTTTATTTTATTTCAATTGACATTTGTTTCTGGCAGATCTTCCCTTTTCCCTATTTATCAATCAATTTCCATAATATCTATAAGTATAAGTTATTAATATTATTTTCATTCATCTCCATTGACATATTTATTATATTAATTAATCTTTATTAACATTTAGTAGGCCTAATAAATTACATATTAATTTACTCTAGTCTACAGGCTAGGCGTACACTATTAGGCCTATTTAGTTTGAAGTTAACAGGTACACTACAGGGACTAGAATTTACACAAGATGTTAGAATTTGCAAATTTATCACTGGTGATCATTTTAATGTGTTGGATGTTTTTTAAAAGATAAATGGCTAGACATCTTAAATATTTTAAACTTTGAGTGGATAAATCTTCTGAATTATCTCACAGGTCCCAAGGAGGAAGGGGGAGAGATGTAGAATACAGAAGAGATGACAGAACATGTAAATTGAATACAATTATGAATTTGAATATCTTTACTTTACTAGTTCTTGGGCCAATATTATAATTCAATATTTCAAAAATACATCTTTATATTTAAAATGTTTTTTGTTCACTCAATAAATTGAATATATATTAAATATCACTTTAACTTTAATGGGATTCACTGAGAATACTCTCAAAAGGCACATTAAATATTTTACTAATTGTGTGTGGTGTTACCTCAACAGATGTGATATTAGAAACTTGATTATGTATTTTTACCATTACGCTGAATATAAAATTGATAAAAACATGTTTTTCATCCATGTCAACAATATAAATGATCAGGGGGGGGGCGGACGTTCTGTCAGCGTCAGGGATTCAAAGGGACAAATGGAAAAAATTAAATACCATCCAATATGAATTATTTATAGCTATACTTAGTTACTTATGCCTAGGAGTCTAGGAACTAATTGATCCTATTTGTTTTTATAACGTCATGTCACATACTCATTGAGTTGTCATTAACGTTTACATTTACAACAAACTAAAAACAAAAAGTTTTTAAAGTAAAAAAACAAACACTAAAAAATTAGGCCTACTAGCTTTACTATTATCTTAGTCTAGATCTAGATTCTATATTCTCTAGTGTAGATAATAACTGTAAGATATCAGATATATCTTAATATAGAATCTAGATCTAGATTTCAGATCTAAGAAAGAAAAAAAAACAGCTTCCAAACTGGACTTACTGGAGGAGGAACTTGGCTGTACTTGGGCAAACATGGTTATTAACTTATTAATATTTACTCACAAAAAATGTTGTATAGATCTAAATCTAGATCTACTTCTTTCTCTGCCTTATATTATTTTGAATACTAAGTAAACTTAGGCCTTAGACTAAGATTAGGTATTATTTATTTTAAGATTATTTTTGTCATTTGATGATTCAGTTGGTCTCAATACTTCCTGTTTACAATAAAATTATAAAATATGGATCAATTTTATCAGTAAATTAAAAAGAAGGATTCGCTAGGTTTTAGGAAAGGTTAGGCCTCTGGCTGTGTCAGTCTTGTGTGCAGGTGTGCTGTTACTTTAATTTAAGATTTTAATAGATCTAGCTAGTTAATGTTGGGTAGACGTTTACTAAGTTTACTCTAACACTATGGGAATTTAGTTTAGGGTCTTGGTGGGAGAATGCAAAATGGCTAAGCGGTAAAATGCGAGAAGAAAATGCAACATACCTGCAGAACTCTGCAGAACATTGAATTACAGAAAAATAAAATAGCGAGACAGATTTTTTTTGGTGAGATGTGCGAGAAGAAAAGTTTTCAACTAAAAATAGATCTAGATTCTAGATCTATCATTTTAGAATTAGATTTATCACATTTTTTTTTCTTTAATATTTAATTAGAATAGTTAGCCTATACCACATCTCTGTCTAGATCTATAGTATTCTATAGGCCTACTATATAAAATATACTATACTATAGAATACTAGATCTCTATATTTTTTTTAAATATTCAAGAAATGCTATTTCTAAAGTCTAAACTCTAAACTAAACATTTTTACTCCTGTGATTGCCCTCTCAATCTCATGTTTCTTGTCAGCGTGAGAAAAATCCCAAAATGGTTACGAGTCATTGTGAGTTCACTTTGGTTCAGATATCAGTAGCCATACACTGCCATACAGCATAGCAAGTACATTGCTATTTAAGATTATCAGTGACGACATGTTTGTTTTCCCTCTAGTTATATGAAATGTGTTGGCTAATTGGTAATCACTGTGTTCATAGAATTATTGGTAATGACACGCTTATTTCTCACCAAAAACCAAGCAAAAGAAAAAACATAGGCTTATTGCAAAGATCTTGAGTTCATGGATTCTATTAATTGTATATAAAAATTTAAATATCTTTTAAAATGCGAATATTAAAATATTGATTGTTTGCTTATTGTATTTATATATAGATTTTATTTAGTCTCTAATTAAGTAACTAAACTAAATTTCAGTTTAATTTCACTTTTTAGTTTTTCTTTAGAATGACCATTTCCCTATTATAATTTATATATTTGTTTTTACAGATTGTACTGTACATTTCAAGTAAACATGCCTAATGTGTCACATCTTTCAAGACTGTGGAATGTTCTGTCCTGTCCCAAATTTACTCCTACATCATGGAGAGTGCTGAAAAGTGTGCATGCAGCTCAGAATACAGCAGCAACTTTTTCATCCTCACCACTTATTTTAAATAAGGAAAAGTCAACTGAGAAGACTGTAGATTTAAACACAAATCCCTTCTTTGATAAGTACAAAGCTAAGATTCAACACATGCAAAAGTGAGAAATTTTTTCCTGAATTAAAACACATGTTTAACCTTTAACATAGTGCTATAATATGTGTTCACTAGAAAAAATAACTCAAGCATTTGTCAAGTTTTAAATTTAATACTAAAATTTTAATTCATTTACTTTTAAAGCTTTGTACTAAACTTATTAGATGTGCCTAGTTTTTAATAATTCTCTGCTTATCTTTTTACCTCAAATAAAATATTTTGTTTATAACAACATTATGTAATGGCCTGCATATTTAATATATCATCCATAATTTTAAAATAATTTAATTTTCAGTACAAGCCCTGAAGAATATGAGCAGAAGTTGCAATCTTTGGCTGAAAGTTTAAATCCAAAGCTTAAAAAAGCAAAAGAAAAATCTTCACCCCAAGCCCCAACAGTTGTGCCACCAACAGAGACAGCTCAAGCTGGAGCAGGAATGACAAAAAAAGAGGTATGCTGTTATAAATGCTCATATTTAGTTTCATCATTTCTATAAATAATTGGTAAATGTTTTAATATCAGTAGACCAATGTTCCAACTTCCATAACTAAAGAGTTCTCCTCAAAACATGTTTGTGTCTTCAGGGCTTAAATTCTGTCATGAAATTAGAATTGATTCAAGATAAAACAGCAGAGGAGATAACTCAGGTAAAGTTTTGAGATGTTATACTTGGATTATTATGTCTCACAAGCATTGCTAATATTTCTTTGATGAAATCATCCTAAAAAACAAATTGAACAATTAGAAAGACAACTGTTATAAATATCTACAGTTACAATAAAACTTATGTTACATGTTTACTTCAATTACTTTCTTTTTTATAATTTGTAATTTTTTGGTCTTTTCTCAAATGTTGGGCTAAATAAATGTTAGAGAATATTTTAAGAAGAGCTATGTGGAAATTATTTCAAGAAGAATAAATGTATGCATTATAAAAATATTTTTCAAACCAGATCTGGACTCAATACCACAGTGGAAAAGATTGTGTCTATGCAGTGCTGAAGGTAACATTGTTAGTGGCCAGGTTCTACTAGCAAGCATTTCTTACATTAACATAAATGTTATTCCAGCTGGTTAAACATAATTTGTAATTGGATATTTATTATATGTTGAATTTTCTTATTACTGTTTACTGTACATCATTTTACACAATGTTTGAATAATGTATTTATTTATTTAACCACAGGCTGATGAATATAAAAATTTAATGGAAAAGTCAAAAGAATGTCCAGTAGTAAGTACTGCCAACCACACTATACTTTAATAACAGTAGTTTTTCTAAATATTTAATTGAATAAGTCATACACAGTTGCTTTGTTCACTAATAATAATTTTTCTACAGTAAATTGAACAATGAAAATAAATGTCATCTTGAAAATTTCAGTTTGTGTATTCAATCCCTCGAGATGATGGTTTTGAGTTTATCTTGTCGCAGTTTGACAGGCGGGATGTTTATTTCACACCTTTAGCAATGTTTCAGGTAGAGTTTGTTATGTTTACTTCCATATTACCACCAGTGAGTCTTGATTATGTTGATTAGTGGCTTAGTGGATTAGTATTTTATGTCTGAAAATTAATTGTCTGTTATTTGAATTAACAGCTTGTTCGAGAAAATGCTCCACCTTGTTTAACACTGAATCATTACACCGAGCTCTTGGATGAAAAAGGTAATTATGAATGTTCAGGGTAAAGAAGTAAAAGCTTACCAAATAAAAAATTAGTGTAGAAATACTTTTTATATCTAACACTTCATATAAATAATATTCACAGAGCAACATTTGCATAGAGCACATTATATTCAATAAAAAAAATAATTCCTTGCAAAGTACAGCATACAACATAATGAACACAATTCATAAAAAATCATGTACATTAATATGCAGTAGTACATGCAAGTAAAAAAAGTTATTTATTTTATCTTAGGGATTGTGTTGATGACTGGACAATATGACCCTAAAGTATTGGTGAGTATGTTGTTAATGAATATAAAAGCATTGACATATTGATTGTAAGGTTTTATATTCATTAGTTGGCCTTTTAAGTCTGTTTATCCATTACACTGCAACAACAACAAAATGTTATTTATTTAAAAAATGAGAGAGCATAAGCTTTCACTGTTTAAAAAAATAGGCTGAAGTCTTATCAAGTGTATTAATGTTTTTTTCCCACAGAAACAAAATCTTGCTCTTAGCTTGGTACAGCAAATGAGTATTTTTTATGGGAAAAATTCTAAATTTTATGATATTGTACATAGGTTTAATTATCAGCCAGAGAAGTTTCAGTATCAAGAAATTGTTGATGCTTTAAAAAGTTTACCTCAGTATGATATGAAATAAAATTTATAATATTTAAAGACATATGAACTGTATTACATTTAGAATAAAGCAAATTTTACACTATTCTTTTATTTGGTTTATTTATTGTTTTTAATGCCTAGTATTATTGAGATAATTAGTTTGTAGAAATAGATTAAAATTATAAACAAATAAGATTTTTGACTAGTGACTATAAGTAAAACATTTAATGCATCCTAAGAGCCGTTTCCAAATCCAACATTACACGTAATACAACTTCCTCTTGATATGGACGTGCCACTATTTGTATGCCAACAGGCAAACCTTCGGTTCCATCAGAATCCTTTAAAAAGTGACCAAAAAAATTGGTAATAAACATAATAAATGCAGTGTAAGCTTATTATTAGAATGTGAATCTAAGCTTCCCCAATTTATCATTAAGAGTAACTTTACCTTTTATGACCTTTCATTTGATTATACACTTATTAATTTATTTATCATGGTGTTTTAAATGACTAAATTCTAGAATCTAAGCACTGTAATATACCTTAAATACTTCAATTCTAAAGATTTATTTTTAGATGTTTAAATCTACACTTCTAGATGACAACATACTGAGTAAATTAGAATTTAGCCATAGACACAATTTTTTACCTCCTGAATCAACTTCTCAATGTTAGTTTCTGGTTTATAAAATGTAGAGCTCATAGTTTTGGCTACATCACTAGCTGTGACCTTTGTTACTGGGAGAGTTCCTGCTGGGTAGTTGACCACATTGTACAAGGATGTGTAGCTCAGGGTTCCTGGGGAGTTTTAAATCCACATTTTTATACTGCTGTTTGTGAAACTCATGCTCAACAGCTGACATAATTTTTAGCTCATGATTTTCTCTTTAATGTGATATGTATTGATGGAGTTCATTTCTATTATATAGATATTGCTGTAAAATGTTACAAGTGGTTTTAACCAATCAAAAAGATATTTCTCTATACTAAAAATTTGACATAGTTTAGCCTACTAAAAGGATGTTGCTCTAGAAAAATCACTGATATACTTGAGTTCAGCCTACCAAAAAGATCTTTCTCTATTCCAATCTGGGGTGCCACACATGGCATGCAGGGGCAGATAACTGCATCCACTTTTTGTTTTATCCATTCAGTGTTAAATTCAAGTTGGTAAGTCTGAAAGTTTCAAGGGTTCTGAAGTCACCTTCCAGGGCAATTTTTTTTCTAATAAATGTTAATTCGAATTAAAAATAGATATAGTTTTAAAATAGAAAAAAATATTTAAATTATATTCTTCAATTAGAAACAGTCCTCAGAAGATAACTGTTAACTGTAGTTTTTATTGGGTTTTTTAAATTTGTTGAATAGTCTCACCTTGCATTCAACAGTTTTCCTAAACCAGTCTGTTAATGATCTATGAGGATAAATAATTAGATTTAAAAATAATTGGCTGTATGAAATTTAAAATAATTAATATTGTTTTTTTCACATGGAAAGTTTTAATCCTTTTTATTTATTTGCTAAAATGTTGACATGTACGCCATCAATCTTTCAATAAAGGAATAAAATTCTCTTAAGTAAAAAGAGAAATAATTTTTTAGACAGTACATGTACCTTATCGGTCTTCTTTTTACCACACATTCATTCATGGGATCAAAGCTCTGAAATTGTTAGAAAATTGTTATGCAACTTTATAAAGAAATTTTATATTTCTACAAAAGTAGGCAATATATTTAAGGATGTAAAAATTTCAGAATTAAATTTAAGTAATGTTAGTTTTTACAGAATACATATTTAATTTAGACTATGTTCTCCGTAAAGAAATATTTTTTTGAAGTAAATTAAGAATTACTGTAAATTCCTTTAATTTAGACATAGTCCAGCGCACAAAATAGGGCAGTTGGCAGAGCTGATAAATTGTGTGCATCTCTTGACCAGGGCTCTCATGGGCTCTGATAAAAAGTTATGGATTTTGTTTTTATGCCATAAAGTCTCAATATTTATTTTACTATCATTTAAAATACTTCAAAATTTATAAAGATTTATTTCAATCAATTTTTGTTTTTTAAAGATACCATCTGCCAGATTTTACCAAAAGATTAAATATTGAGTTGACTTTTGATAGTAAACTATTTTAAAATACTAGCAAAGAACACAAACAATGACATACAGTAAATCTCTATAGCTTTCACAATCATCCCCAAATAGGGCTGGAACAAACAGCTCACTGAACGCATAGAATGGCTTGTATGGTTGGATTTCTATCAACTTTAAACAGAAAATATATTACAATTTATTTATGAATAGCATATTTTAATTTGCCGTTAATCAAAGTATGACATTAAACTTACAAATTTTAATGTTATAAATATTTCTGACATAGCATTTAAGGGAGATAAATAGGAAAGAGTAAAATGGGGGAAAAAAAGGGAAACCTACTGTATGCCCTAAATTGTGTAGCACTGTTTTTGCTATCAAAACAGCTCTCTCTACAGCAGGAACACAGTGTGTACATCCATCATAGACATAATATCCTATACGGAGAGGCTCTTTACTCTCAAACACCTTCAAATGGGAGACAACTATTTAGTGTGACAACACTTGAAATTTATTTAGATAGTCTGAATACAATTGTATTTTTAGAAAAAACATCAAGTATAAAAACAGAGTTAAATACTCCGTCACAATAATTTGAGATTTTGATAAAGTACCTTATCGTTAAATGGAATAGGTGGAACTGTAGGATCTAAAGTAAACATTTCCTTTCCTAAAACACTCTTCATAAAATGCACCAATGAAGTTACATCTCTTCCCATCGGCCCATCTGTTCCTCTAACTTGGGAAGTTAAAAAAAACGACATTGTGTTATAAACTTATTTTTAACCTTAAAATAATATACATCTCTTGACAATAAATATATTATTATAATGTGAATAGTAATAAATAATCATTTCTTACTTAATTGTTGTCCACCAATGGTTGTTGTACCAAAGTTACCCACAGAGCTGTGAGTCAGGAAATAATAAACATATGGGAGCATTATTGTAGTTGTAGAGTTGAACAATGCAAGTAATTTGAATTTGTAAACTCAATAAGCACAACTTGGCAACAACTTCTCCCACGGAATTAATGTTGGAGTTAGTTGTGTTACTTTCTACAAGGATGTACATACCTTACTCTCTAGTGTTATAAGTTTTAAAGCATTAAATAGGTAGTTTAAAAAATAAATATTTGATGCTTTATGGTTCATATTTTTTATAAATTTCTACAAAAAGTACTCCAACATAAATAGTCTATAATTATTCATTCTTTAGTTAAATTTAATATTCATAAAGTATGGAGAAAAACCTGGCAAGTTCTTAGTGTATGTTGTGAATTTTATAACTACCTCAACCTGCCAGAGGTGGGTTTGAGAGCGCAGACTCCACAGAAGCTGGCAGGAATACGAATGCTTCCACCTATATCACTTCCAACACCCAACACAGAACCTCCAGCACCTATGATAGCCCCTTCACCCCCAGATGACCCTCCAGGAGATCTTGAGGTGCTGAGCGGGTTTCTCGTTTCACCATAGACGGGGTTTGTACAAGAGAAACTAATGAATATGAAATAAAATTAACATATGTAGAACTCTGGCAGTGTTTACACACTTTGTCTCATTTTGCAAAGATAAGACTTAAATAATTTTGTTTTATCTTAACAAACCTTCTCATTCCTTGAGGCAAATTTGTTTGAATAAATGGAATAGCACCTTAACAAACCTTCTCATTCCTTGTGGCAAATTTGTTCGAATAAATGGAATAGCACCTTGGAGTTTTAGCACCTGTGTTAGGTAAAGTTTAAAAAGTTTTCACATTAAATTTCAAACAGTATTCAGTTAATTTTCAAGGTGCATAACTAATTAACTAGAATGAATCTTTTGACTAATGTAAAATGTATTATGTTCTAAGTTTAGAAATTTTGTGAGCCTAGTTTATTTTTAATCTAGATAACAACAAAAAATAATTGGTGGTTGTCCAAAATATAAAATCAAATCAAGAAATCATTCAGGTAAAAGTGTATTTTACTCTGTCTGATATAGATTCAATTACACTCACATAACTCTTAAATCTCCTATTTTAGATATTTTCAAGATATTTATATCATATAAAAGCCTTTTAAAAAAAATTAAATTAAAATGCCAGCATTTAATATTTAGATAGATGAATAACACTAATTAACTAATAATTATATTTAATTACACAAAAGGGAATATTTAACAAGAAGTTATTCTATTAAAATTAAACCTTTATAAGAACTGAGTCCTCCACTTTAGCCTTATCAACAAGTGCACTAAAACCAGCTGTGCAATCTTCACCCTACAGACATTAGGTAAATCAGTTCAACAGAGGGCGGCTATAATACAGTTTTTGACAATTTGTATCATGGATAATTAGATTATAATTTTAAATCTACTCACTAGTAGAGGGAAATAACTCAATATTGATTAGTTACAGAAAATAGCAGTAAATGTATGGTCAAAGGGGGACAAGCATGAAATTATTTATCTCAGTAGTTTATCCGAGGTTATCCAGCTTGAATATTTCGAGTTAGTTTTTTGTCAAAGGGGGACAAGCATGAAATTATTATTTCTCAGTGGTTTAGCCGAGGTTACCCTGCTTGAATATTTTGAGTTAGTTTTGTTCGGAAAAATGTTTACTTGCCTGTCAAAAAAAATTACTAGATATTTAAACTTTAACATTAAAATCTTAGATTAATTATTTAATTGTAGGAACCAATTAATTTTTAAGCCTTACTTCTAATCCACAAGATTCTTTTACACTGATTGGTATCCCATAAAGCAAAGGCTTTACATAGGTACTGGTATTACTATAGGTGTCAAGCTTTTCAGCAATGGACTAAAGGAATAGATAATGTGTTTATTAATGTGCAAATGTCTTTTTAAAAAAACAGTCTACAGAATATGCAACTAATTTACATTGTTTAAGGATTAAAATAAAATTAAAAAATTGTACATACTTCAGATAATTGAATGATATCTGTGATTGCATTTATTCTTTCGTTTTCTGTTATGGCCTTAAAAAATATTTTGCAGAAGCAGGTTTAAAACAAATTATGCATTTTCCTAACATTACATTCATGATAATACATCAACTGTGTGATTTTTGCCATCTATTCATTTATTTGAACTTTTGAATTGTTAGTTTAACCTAATTTAGAACAAAATTTTCAAATGCTAAAAATAGACATTTTTATCAAAAAGAGAAAAGTTTACTTTAATTTGATATGAATGTAAAACATCAAGCACTTTCAGTTGTCCAGTTTGTAATTTTTGGAACAGCTGAGAAAAACTCAGTTGAGTTATTTCCTCTTGCTCCTATCAGAAGATAAATTATAATTGTCAATAATTGATTCTTAAAGTTTACAATTTTGTTCAATAAATCGTTTAAGGATTAGACAATTATCTCTACAAAAGACCAGTACTTAAGTTCTATATATTTATATGACTCAGTAAGACTCTATTTAGGGGCCTCCTACATTATCATGGATGTAAAAATAAATTTTTAAATATGATTTTAGGTATTTTATAATTATGCAATCCTCATTTACTGACATGTACAATGTATTCAAGAAATTACAAGTCTTAGTGTAGCGTTTTTACACACATATTCGGTAGACCTACATTCATTTTGCTAATGCTATTAACATAATGAGAAGATAATTTTAAAAATTAATATAGGTCTATCTATCGCAAGTTTTAATTTAAATCTAGGTAATCGTGAGAAATAATAGATCTATTTACCTTTAATAGAAGTAGTTTTTTCTTCAAACTTTCAAGGTTTTGTCTTGTCTTCTCCGCACGACTGAGGGCTCTGTCTTTAATTTTACGGCGCTTGTAAAGTTGCACACCAGCGTAAAGTGTGCTCAAACCTGCTGTACCCATCAAGAGCCAGACACAACATGCTGTCGGCTCAATAGTAAAGGGAAACAACTCGCTATGACGAGATGCCTGAGGTTTCTGTTGACAAAAAAAAAAACGTGTTTGCCACAGAGTTTCTTCCAGGCATCTTGCTGTATGAGTTTCTCCCCCCCCCCCCCCCCCCCAAAAAAATTTTTTTTTACCGCCCCCCCCCCCCCCCCCGAACGAAATGAAATTTATATAATTTATATAGAAAATATATACTTTTAACAGTGTCCGCCCCCCCCCGAAGAAAGTTTACCGCCAAGTGCCCCCCCCCCGGAGAAAAAAGTCTGGAAGAAACACTGGTTTGTCATATTTGGAAAATTCTTGCTTTTACTAAAACTATTACTGTATGAATTGCTTTTAAGTAGGACAGGGCTCTATCCTTTCAATGCTGCTGTCCACATTGGTCTTTCTAATCTACTTAAATTAATGGTCGATTGCATTTGTGCAAGGTAGCTAATTAGCAAAAGCCAATGTTGCATATTTCAAGTTATTGGTCACTTTTATTTTATTCTTGTCACTTTTATATCTAGATCTATATTCGTAGATCTTAAGCTTGCATAGAAAAGCATTGAATTATACTATCATCACACCATGCAGTTACCTTTATGTATTCTACATATAGACTTGTAGACATGTCAAAAGATCAGATTTTCTACATAAGCGTGTTTAGAACTAATTCCTTCACCCATGTTCGGTTACACTAATGTGTGTTCAACTTATATCTACCTTTATACTGCTGTATAGTGATGGCCCGTTATACACTCTAGGATCAATGTCATTGTAATAAAAATTTAGAGATTACTGCATGAGGTATATGGGCTACGATTCCAAATTGGGCATATACGATCTGCAACTCCATGTTTAATCATATTTTGATTTTAGAATATGAAACCTTTTCGCCCCCTGTAATTACACGTGTTGAGCAGAACAATTATTTTATTTAGTTTTGTTGTGTTGATGTTTGAGAAGGCCCTACAACAAGGCACTTTGGATCGGATTTTTAGAAATAGAACGAACACAATATTTTGCGCAATAGTTTAACAATAGAATTTAGAATCTACCCTGTTTAAGGTTTGTAATACAAAGCTTTACAATGTTCTACTTTTAGCATTTTGATGGTTTAAAAAATTCTAAACATTTCAAGAAATATTTCATCAACAAAAAAGAAAATTGTTTACTGTCGAATTTAAAGACAACCCCTCTATAAATAGCGAAAATCACCAGTTGAGTATTGTTGCCGCCTGAGATTGTATTATACAGATTATAAAGTAAAGTTCCTCATTTGACACAGCGATTCGTTGGGCGGCTGAAGTATTCATATGTGTTTTTGCCTCGGCATATGAGGGGATAGTGTCTTTAGCACTATGTCCAGCCGTCTTTACTTTCCCCAACTAAAGTCGGGTACAGTTTATTAAAGTATATATATAGAGGTGTAGCGAGGGTGGGGGGGGGGGGGTGCGGACCGCACGGGGTGACACCATTTAGGGGGGTGACATCAAGGCAAAAAAAAATGAAAAATGTACAGAAGAAAAATGCATTTTGCCAGTTCCATTAATGATTAATTAAAGTGAAATAGGCTTTTAAGAACAAATCGATAACTATTACAAGAGGGTGGGGGTGACACCATGACGTAAACGTGCTAATTATAGAGAAAACAATGCTACATCCAACTGTATTATTAACTGACTATAGATAAACATCGTTACTATTAAGTCTTAAGTGATCAAAGCTTATACACACACACACGCACGCACACACACACACACACGCACGCACGCACACACACACATGTATAAACAAACCAATGACATCTTGATAACCACTTTAGATTAGCGTTAGTCCAAGAATATATGTGTTTTGCGCTTGCTCATGTGCACACAACTGATAGAGAATACACCATACACGAACTGTACACATCCGATAAATACTAAAAAGGACGTTCGTGAAATTTTGTTTTATGCTTTTACTAAGCAATAGCGCACACGTTTAAACACAATACTTTCTACAAGTGTGTAGACCTATCGTCTATTAGATAGATTTATCCAACAAATACGCTAAAATTATAGTAAGTGGCTTTACATTTACGCCAGTTTGCGAGAATAGGCTAGATCTACATCTAGTGTTGTTTTTAATTGCGCGTTATGTTTTACGAATTATTCTAGAAAATGTAATGAAAAGGCATTAGTGACTACCTGTGAAAATTAGCGTATAAGTATAACGCATCTATTTAGTATCTATTAGACTGTTTGGTTACTTTATGTATTACATTTTTGTTACTTTAGTGTGGATGGGGAAAAACGGTTCACACGCCACATTTGTGAGCTGAAGATATTTTAATAGCGTGGAAAAAGTATTGATTCAATATTAATTTAAAGAGTGTCGCACATGGATGTCATTGGTCTACACTTTACCTTTTTATTTTAGCACTCATGGGAAATAAACAGGGTTATAGAACACTGCTGGTGAGACGCGTTTCTCGCAATATTTATAGTCCATAGGCCTATATGTTAGGCAAAAGAGTGTTTGTGTATGTGGGGTGGGGGAGGGGGGTGAATATAACTGTTAGGATTATGCATAAAAAGAAGTTACTCTGTTTATTTGCTTTAAGATTATATATGGGCCTTTTCTGAAAAAGAAAGAGGGAGAAAATTGTATAGGCAACAACATGCAATACTTGTTGTATAAATATTTATGCTATTTAAATTATTACATTCGGCTCGCTATATTTCAGGATAAATTATGTATACAATATCTCATTTACAGGTTAAAATAAAATTATCTCGAACTCCTTTCAAAGCATAAAGAGATGGAAAGCACAAAATCTCAGTTACATTAAAATTGAGTTTATTTGTATCTAGAAAGCTAGATGCCATTTCATCTTGGGGGTATAACCAGACGAGTCGGGATTTTAGCCCCGATCGCCCCGATATTGAATGCCCATGAACTAAATAACCGGCCCGCGGCACCAAAGCCCCGGGCTAGAGGCTGAATAAAATCTTTTTTTTCTTCAGTAAATTAAGGGATATTTCATAGGCCTACTCACTATTCCTACAAAACATATTTTGGGAGACATTAACTAGATTTTAATTTTTTTAATCACTGTACAACCACCATCTTTTGACTCCGTTAGGGAAAGTAAATGCGGCTGGTCAAAGTGCTGACCACACCTTCTCTTCATATGCCGAGGTCAATAAACATATGAACTCTACTTGATCTACCCAGTGGATCATTAGATCTAAAGAGGATTCTGTTGGGATGTGTAATAGCATAAAACATCGATTGATTATAAGTCTTCTCGCCCCCTTAAAAATAATCATAAATAAAACAGTGGGCATTTTTGACTTTCACTGTGGTCAGAAGCTGTGTTTCTTCCAGACTTTTTTTCTCCGGGGGGGGGGGGGAAGAAACTCTGGTCAGAAGCTGCATAGGACATAGAGGTACATTATGGCCAAATTATGAGCAGCTTCCAGGAGTCACCTGTCCTTTTGTTTAGGATTAAGGGTTGGGCCTTATATGACTTAAGACATTAGATAAGTTTGTTTAGTGAGGAAATATATCGTACTGTGTAATGAGGATATAACGTGCTCATAAAATCATTTAAAAATGATTTTTTTAAATGACAAAATTATGAAAACGTGCTAATTTTTTTACACATGCATGTTAAGCAGCTTATAATATACTCTATAACTTATAGTGGATGGGTGGAACTTCATGACAATTTATGGAGCCTAACATTACAGGGTGGGAGCGGGGATAAAATTAGGCTACAATTGCGGGTTTACATGACAATGTCAATGTGTGGATAGGCCTACCACATAATATAAAAATAGTAAATTATTTCAGATGAAAAAAAAAAACACGTCCGTAAAATTTTTACCAAAGCATCACCGGAAAAGAGACGAAACGAAATTGTTTTGCCGAATCATAACGTCAATGTTGGAATGAATGTAAACAAAACAAGTGCAACGTAATTAATAATTATTTTCGTTAACAAAATGACTTCCCAAGCACAAGACGAAAACGGTATGTCTGAAAACTTTATGATAATCAATTCAATATAAGATTTACCTTTCAAAATTATAGTTTCCTTTGTTTCTTTTTACAAGAATCACAGACACACACTGACTGACTGACTGTCTCAGTCTGAGTGACCTGAGTCATTTCTCAATCATTCATTGATTGATTGATCTCAGCCGAGCTAGTCTAATTCTCTCAGTCAGAGTCTCATTCTCAGTCTCCCCTGAACTCTCTTATTCCCCACACAGCCAGTTATCAGTAAATTCAGTAATCTAGATCTAGTAGTTAGTAGTAGTTTAAGATTTAAGAGCATTCTTTCTATCCAACTTCTCCTAAAACATAAAATTCCCCATGAAATAGGCCATAGGATAGGCTTAACTTCCTAAGCCCTAAGCCTCTGATTCTAAATCTAATGTCGCCTAATTAGTAATAAACTAATGTCCTAAGACTTAAGAAGTTAAGACCTAATTATAATTAATGACAATGACAGTTATGGAGTTAATCATTAAGACATAGGCTAATGAGTTAGTCTTCTTTTGGATTAACCTACAGTACAGTACACGAACCACACCAGCCAATGAGGAGGGGGGGGGGGTATAATCCTGTTGTCAGACATAGGTATATCCAAAATACCAAATCTAATAAGGTCATTATCTATTTCAAGTCATCCTTTTGATTCCCTACTAGAACAAGACCCCGGCCAATGCTCAACTAATCAATGTACTTGTTAAATTTAATAGAGTTAAATTTTTTACATTCCCAATCCGTCTCTTCCGACCACACACCAACACACCCTACCCTCACATTTACCACGTCACTCACATGTGCATAAGCTGATTTCATTTTCAAATAAAAAATTAATTTAGTAGTATATAGGTATAATATATGCATGCTCCTTTAATAAGCCTTAAATTAAAGTTAAAACAGTTATTGAATAGGTGGGTATATTCAATCAATCTATGTTTTGCTAATGCCATTTACATTATTTGTAAATAAATATCTTAATATTTCCATTTAATTGTTTAATTGAAATTTCCAAAAACTAAAATGTAGGGTTATTCACTTTAATTTATGATAGTATTATTAGTATGCAACTAGAATATATTTACTTGTTGATTGCTAGTTCACAACAAAGAGCGACCCACTATAATTTTATTTTAAAGATTTCCATCTATCATTTTTCCAGCTCTTGTCGAGCGAGTGTTCTTGCGTATCGGATCTGCTGAAAGTGATGAACAGTTACAGACAGCTCTTGGCAAATTTTTAGCTCCCTTAATTTTAAAGCTGAATAGCTCAGATGAAGCAGTCAGGTCCAAGGTATTCTCGTAATTAATAAGATTGTTGTGTTTCTTTTGATATAAGTGGAATAAAAATATGCTTATAAGATGTCAGTCTAAATCATATAATTCTACTAAATAATCTTAAAAGTACAGATGAGATTTTTGTTTCATCGTGACACAGCAATATAAATGTTTAATTAAGTTTTTAATTAAAAACTTAAGTAATATAGTTTTATATTGAAATGTACTGTCTAAAACAATATTGACATTTAAAATAATGTTTTATATCAAAATCAGAGATGCAATTATTTTTTTCACTTTAAAATTTAAAGAATGCACACAATTTCTTTAGATTGTAGTTATTATTCTTAAGGTAATTATTTTTTCCAAAATATGAAGTATATTAAAATTATTTTCAGCGGAAATTATAGTTGGTTGGTTTTATTTAAAAAAATTGTTGTTCCACTTAGGTGCTTAAGCTTCTTGCTCACATTAAAACCAGACTAAAAAGCAGGAGTCAAGTAAAACTCCCATTGGATGCTTTATTAACCCAATTTCAAGACCCCAAAGCTACTCCTTTCATTACGGTAATACCATGTTAATGTTTATCAAAAGATACATTACATTTTATGAGATTTTAAAGTTAAGGTTTTATGTTTAAATTGAGCTGTAGTGGTTTTATTTATGAAAATAAGCAGTAGAGATAATTTTAATGAAAACTAACAGGTCTGTTCAATTAAAATACAGTAAAGTTTACAATCCTCTCTTTTCAGAACTTTACAATACTTTTTATCAAGCTTGGCTATCCTCGTGTGGAGCCTGAGAAACAGGCAGATCTTATCCCATTGCTGATAAATTGTCTAGATGGAAGATCAACCAATCACCAGGATAGGTTTGTTAAGATCTAAATAAAAGTACCAGGTATATGCAATTTCTCAAATATCAATAGCAAAAGTTGTTTTTGTTTTAAATTTCAGCATTCTACAGTTACTTATACCAGCTTTACAACATTTAAAAATGCCAAAAACAGAAGCAGAATGCAGGGCCAGATTTCAGCTGAGAGACAAACCAACAGTTCAACAGTTGCTTCTTGATTATTTCATGGATGTTCTGCTATTACCATATAAGTAATATATTTATTTCCCACTAAATTCTTTTTGTTCAGTTGCCCTTTAGAAAAATCTAGTTTTAAAAAAAAATTTCACACAAAATGAAATTGGGATTACACATTTCTAGGTCATGGCAGTTTTATTATTAATTTTTTAAAATGATTTATAGCAGTATCTTTTAATAGAAACTAAACAGCCATGATTAGATTTTGAAACCAATATCTGCAAGGTATTTTTAACATTAAAAGAATGTATAAGAAATGTATAACAATATTGTATTAATTTTAAAAAATTTATTTTAAAAAGTATACATATAGAACAATAATATATTAATTGAAAGAAATGTTGTGGTAAAATGGTAGTCATTTGCTAGATACTAAATCAGTTTCTCATCAGAAGTGTGATATCTCAAACTGCATGCCTGACCCATAACATTTAAAATCTTCCAGCTCTCATGTGTCTGCTATCGCTGCCACTGAAGACTCAGACCTTCCTAACGTGGCCCCGCCTCCTGCTGTACCACCACCACCAGGTCTGAGTGTCTCCTCATTCAGGCGCCTCACGGCAGAGAACCCTCTTGTTCCAGAGCAGCTGGAAAAAGCCAAGCTGAGCATCATAACATTCTTGGGGAGCGGAGTCTTGGAGGAAGCTGATGTTGTCTGCCACTTTGTAGTGGCCTCCTCCGACACCAGACACAGGTTTGTTTAGCGAAAATTTAATGAAAATTTTTATGTCATGATGTTTTTAAAAGTATATTATTTATTTTATACCTTTGTTTTACATTTTGCTTATGTACAAGTTTAAAAAACTTCTCTATATTTTAGTGTGGCCACTTCAGCTGACATGGAGTTGAAGAAAATCACAGGGTAAGTTTAGTTTCATTTTCAGCTATGAATTATTAGGGGCTTATTTTTAACATAGAAATTTGTTACATGTCATCTTGTTGTATTTCTGAGTCAACATTTAATTTTCAAACAAATCATCTAATGTCCTCTTTCGTATAAAAATGATTAATTTAATCAAATTTGTAGTATAATTGTCACTCAGTACAAAGCATTAATTTCATGTTCTTTCAATTGACAGGAGCATAGATTGGAACTCTAAACCTATTCTCAACAAACTGTTCTCAATATTTCAAGGCACTGTGGTTGTTAAAGGGCAAGTGAGTAATTGTTTTTAAACTTTTACCAGTCTAAAAACTAATCATCACCAGGTAACACACGTGTTTTTGTTTCTTGTAAAAATAGCCCACAGTAAAGCCAGATGACCGCCGCAGTGCTGTCAGCCCAAGGATACGCTTGAAAATTTTTCCATTTTTTCTAAAAGCCAGGGAAGCCAGCAATATGTTTCCAGCTTGTTTGCAGGTAATACTTGAAGCTTTACTAGATCGGTATTACATGAATTAGACTGCCTGATTATATTTATAGATATGAATTTATTTGTGTGTGTTGTCAATTCCATATAATTTCATTACAGATTGTCTTTGAGTGTTTGTTTGGTGCAAATCCTAATGCAAAGTTGAGAATCATGGCTGTGGAATTTGTCCACCACATTTGTCTCAAGTAAGGCTTAATCTCTTGAAGATTATAAAAATTTAAAACTGTATTTTTATTAATTGCTGTTAAAAAAGAACATTTCATCTAATAAAATGAAGTAAAAAAACAAAAAATTTTAATAAATTTTATTCTTGAATACTGACAAATTATTTTATACTTTATTTAGCTCAAAGTAATCACTTTTTTTGTTTTGTAACGGTAAAAATCTATTTAAAAAAGTAAAAAAAATCTGCTGAAGCACTACTTAAAAGGGACAATTCACTAAATTAAGGTAGAATAAAATATGTTTAATACAGCTGGTATAAATCAGATTTGTTAATACACAGGAAGTAGTCTAAAATTTATTTTTCATTTTCTAGCTGTGACGAAGCAAAATTTTCTATGCTGGATGTGGTGTTACTCAATGGCATGTTGAAAGTCATTAAAGAAGCAAGGGAGGTAATGATCACAAATTAGCTACATTGAATATTATTTTTATACTTATAAATTGTCTTAATATAATCTGCTTGTTTGAAAAACAGATACTTCATTTTTGTATATTACCTGTGATTGAAATTATAGCAACCTTTATTTCTTTAATACACATGTTATAATTAATTTAATCCTTCAAAGTTAAAGAGTTATAATATCTTCCCCCCTAAGTTCTCAATGAGGATAATCTTCATGCAACCGAAATATTAGTACATTTGTATGTGTACAGGTAGTGTGAAAATTTTTTTGAATTATGAAGTTTATTGAAAAATATATTTGTTTTTGACTTTTTATTAAATAACTTCTTGCAGAATCAGAAAATAGGTCACCATATTTTGTACAAGGCAAGTTAGCATGGGAATCACCCCATTAAAACAGGGCCGAAAAATTTCATCCGCCATGTAGATGCATGATAATATAGACCCAGTTGTCTCCTCTAATAATTTTATACATTTTTGTTTTATTTTCTAATAAGATTAAACATATTTTGTTAAGGCACTTGGACATTTCTGCTATATTTGCTAGAGTTGTGTTTGTTCATGTAGATTTCAGACAACTTGAAAAGCACCTATCATTGGAAAAAGTAAATTTTAAATAAATGACTCCTAGATGAATTTCATATTTTTGTTATTTAAACGACCAAAGGCTACGATTACTTTTTTATGACAGGGAGACAACTGTTAAAAGAGTTTTTAGGTCATAGCCATCCATCATCTTTTAACTTGCTTTAAATTCATTTTTCAGGAATTGGGAATTATTATAGTAAACCATTTTATTTGTAGTAATTTTTTTCTTAATTTAAGTAGCTCATTATTTCTTTTTCAAATTTAAAGCCATCTCTAGTTCAACCTGTAGCCCAGTAATTTATTTTGGTGGAATGTTTAAATTTACAGTCCATTTTGCAGCCTGACCAAAAAAATTTATGTTTGGTTTCCCCCACTTCCTCCCCACTACATACATGCACACACTTTATTTAGACCCAGGTAGCAGAACATTTATCAAACTGAAGCTCGCTTTCATTCTATATTCGAGTTTTAAATTTTAAAATTGATTTTTCCAGATATTTTTAAATAATTTTTTTTCATACTTATTAACAAAAATAATATTAGTCAACCCTTTTCAAGCTTTTACAAGATTTTAGCTAAAATTATGTTTAAAAATTTTTGCATTTGGCTTCTTTTGTTGTTTTGAACTCCTGCCCCACCCATTAATTTAGACTTGAAGAGTTTGATGACACCCCCCCCCCCCCCCCCCCCCCAACCATCCACCCTATTACCCAGAACTTTTTAACACTTCACCAAGTGAAAGTGAATTGGATTATTGGGTTTAGATATCTTAAAAACCCCTTTCATTTCACACAAGAGCTACACAATACATCTCCGATAGTAGGACTGGGCTGCACTTAAGGGGATATGCTATGTTTTTTTCTATTTTTTACAGTTTAAGATCTAAAGCCTTTTGAATACTTTTTTCATATTTGGCATATAAAAGTAAGAATTAAACAGCAAAAAAACGGGTGGAAAATGATTTTGGTTGTCATGGAAACCCAAAAAACCTCCGCCATTTTGAATTTTTCGGTACTTTTAAAAATACTAAGGCTTTTTTATTTATGCACCTATAGTAATCAAATTTAAACTGCTTATATTTCAGTATATATTAAAACTTGTGTCACGACAACTTTTTGAAATAATTACTAGTAAGAATTTTACAAGGTCTAAAAAATCGCACCCTTTTTAGTATTCAAAAGTTTCAAAAGTTTCAAAATTTGCATATTAATTACCAAATACTTTTTTTCTATGAAAGCAATCACAATTCCCTCGTGACAAAAGTTGTATTTTTGCATCAAGAACAATTACTGAAAATATGGTTGGCATTGTTTAATAAATAAAAATGTAGTAGGCTTTTTAGTGTTAAAAACATGCGAACTGAGAAAAACAGCCAAAAGTAACGAAAACTAGGTCAGGAAAGTACCATATCTGTGTAAACTGCAAAGCCGATTGTAAGCTTTGGGTGTTTCCGAGATGTAGGAAATTAAGTTTATTAGATACATGAGAAATCCAGGTTTCCAATGATGTCAAATACAATATAATGACGGATATAAAACGTTTCATAGAGAGCTTGTAAGATTGGGAAAAATTGATTATTTTTTTAATTAATAGGGTCATAAAAATCGTAATTCAAGCACATAAAATTTTTTTTTTCTTTAAAGTTATTATTTTCTTTATACAAAAATGGACAAAGTATCCAAAAGTGCAAGAAACCGATCATGGCGAAAAACAAGAAAAATTTTGATTTTTTTTCCGCACATATCCCCTTAACAGTGAATGGCTTTTTAATTATTATGCCAAGATTAGAAATGGGTATTGATTTTTTTAGAAAATAAAGTTAATTTTTTGGAAGCTTAAGTTACTTTTTTGGAAGATTTGTTTCAAGTGACTAACATCACTTCAGAAACCATAATATTTTGTATTCATAAGATGAAGCATGTAATGATGACTGTGCACAGTTCTATTTTAACTGCTAGCGATATTCTATTCATTTTTATTTCTACTAAAGGTGTATTTCAGGAGCATTATGGGTATACATGCATTTTCATGATTGTTTCATCAATAAATAGCTTCCTATTAATTTTGCTTCTTTATACATAGTAATAAATGTTGTAAATAATGAGCTTAAAACTAAATGAAAATAGCTGCATTGATTCCTGGGAGCTCATTTGCAAGATCATGTGGCAAAAATCTTTCTTTAGGCATTTATGGTGAATAAAGACTGACTACCATAATAGAAATAACCTTTCTATAAATCTCTTGAACTGTTGGAACTGATCCCAAAAAGCTAGCTATTGCTAAATTTCCCATCGCAATGCTTATAAAATAGTCAACTACTCTCTACTTTGTAGTTTTGTGTTTCATGGTAGAGTGTTATGTTTTCTATTTTTATTGCTCAGATATAGAAAACAGCTCAACTTTTTTTAGAATTTCTTTTGCTACTTTTTTTTTTACATTTATCAAATTAATTGTAATGAGATTTTTTTTATGTTAGAAGGTATTACAGCAACAAAAAAAGTAAAACTCTTCATTAGCTTTCCCTCCCAGAAAAGAAGTGAGAGATTAGTCATTGAGCAGTATATTTTTCGCTCATCTTCTTTTGTTGTTCTGTCTGTTGCATGTGTGCTTGTTAACCAAATAAAACAACACACAAATAACAAGCAGTACATTGTGAATTTGTTGGATAAGGCTGTTTGTTTGTTGGATAAGACTAACAATGTCTTTAAAAATAAACAAAGCAGTATATGTTTATACAATCTGTCGAATTACTTGCAGGATATTTTTTAGAAAATAAGGGATGGTGACTTAAAATTTAGTAAATTTAGTTAAAATATTAGACATAATTTATTGTACTAGTTCTTTTTAAAAAAATATAATAATCTTGCACACAAAACAAATCTTATCGGCAGGATGCAAAACTGAGAAGTCTGGCCTATGTTGCTGTTGGCAAAATTGCAAGACGTTCACCTAATAAGTTGACTAAAGATATTCAAGTGCTACAAACTTTCTTTGATTCCATGTGTCAGGTAAAAATAGATTTTTTAGTTTAGTATAACATTGATTTTAACAATTTTATTTTCAATTGTAGCACTTTTGTTTTCAAGAACTGTTCTAAATCACTTGTTGCCACAGATTTGCATTTTACATAAATAATTACTTATGTCAACAATCTAAGTGTACCTTTGTCACATATTGTTAATGTGATAAACCATTATTAATTTTAATGACAGGAAGAGGGGGACACAAGGTTGGCAGTACAAGAAGCTTTGTCCTTGATGTCCCAGGCTTACTGTAACTTGGATGAAACCAACAAACAACTTTTGGAAGCTTTACTGCTTCAAAATATTGACAAGGTATCTTAAGCTGTAGCTATGCTGATGTAGTTAATTATTTTGTTCTGTCTTTATATGATCAAGGGTTGGCATGCCAGATAATTTTACTAGAGATGTAGCTTTGCCAATTTTGGTATATCTTGTTTAATTGAGATTTTTCTGCTGACTATTTTGATTTGCAGAATTTTTAAAAATTGTAAGTTGTTGTAGTATTAGATATGTGTGTGTATCAGTTTCTAACGTAGCGCATTATTTTCTTATGCACAATGACTATTTCCTTGCTATAGACGAGAGGTGTTTAATAAGACTGTTTTTAAAAAAATGTAACAATGTATATCAGATTTGATATTTTAAAACATTAAAATGTACAAGTCCCACAATCCAGTAAATTTCTACTAGTAAATCCCAAGAAGATAAGTCTTTTGTCTTTAATCAGAATAATAGAATATTTAGAATATTTTTTATTTCTGAAGTATTATGATAAGCTGGTACAATCTATTGTAGCTCTGAAGTCCTTTATATTTGCTACTTATGTTGGTAGAGCATATCAAAGTCATCTTTCATTGGCTATTGATCCAAGGCCTGATGTAACCCTGCTTCTATCTTATATATTTGCCTAAACTCTAATCCTGACCCTAAGGATACAGGCAGAGTCCCTTTCTTTATTTCCAATGTTTTATCTGTCCAGGATGAGCCTCAAGTGCGAGTGGTGACCATTCAGTATGCAGCTACTGTATTTTCTAGTGACCATTTTCCATCAAGATACATCCTTATGCTGGGGGCAGGAGACTTGTAAGTTTCAAATGTTTGTACATCAATATTTTACAAAGTGGTAGAGCTGCATTTAACCTTCACTGTCTAATGATATTAGATTTGTATACAGCCAGACCTATTCTTGCTTTCTGATACCTCAGTCCTGCATATTATTCTACTAAGATATCACTCCTGCCTAGAGATTATATAGCCTTGTAAACAAATCTTGTTAAGTTAAAAAAAAAATGTAATCTTTCTGTTTAGAATTATTGATATGATGTAGATAATTATTTGAAAAGAAATTAATAAAAACCTATAAAATTGAGTAGAAGTTAACAGTTAATAATTAACTGTAATTACGACACAAAGAATATTTTATTAAAGAGTCTCCATCTAGACTATCTATAAATTGTAATAACAGGGCTGTTAAAGTTAAATTAAACTTTGGTCATATTTACGTATATGTTTCTTATAGAGTGATGGTGAGAGTACAAATTAATTTTGTATGTTTTTTTTTTAGAAAAGAGGACGCTAAGCTAGAATCAATTAAAGCCCTCAGAGGAACCGCAGGCACATCACAGACATTGCCAGACTTTGTGAAGATGGTCAGCTATGTTGTGGAAAAGGTATCAGCTATATTTTAATCATTTTTAAAAAATCCAACCACATTATTTCAGTTGTAATGTATAACTACTTTTTTTTTTTAATGTTAGAAAATTGATGCTATTTATTTCAACTTTTTAGGCCAAGCAAAGGAAAGAGTCCCCTAAAAGGTACTCGGCTGTTAATGCTTCTCTCCCCTTTAATCCAGCATCATACAATGAGGTAAGCACAAATTATTCTTGTTATAACGATACTAATAAAAGTTGAATTTGTGTTTCCTATTAGTTAGATATATATGGCCCCTTACTTTTTAAAATTTTGTTTAATGATATTGTAATGTAATGTTTATTCTATTAAAATTTTTGCTACTCGACAATTCTCTTAAATAGTTTTACTACTTCTAGATACTCCTGTACCTTCGTATGTGCTTGTCTCACTCTGCTGGTGTTGCGGTTGACTGGCAAGTTGAAAACTTGGCTGACCAGGCCCCCTCTCTTGTGTCCAAAGTTCACTCATTGCTGCAACAATATCCAGAGGATTCTGGGCCAATCCAGCAGTACATTGCTTTACTGCAGGAACTGCTTACTGTTGCAACTAGTAGGTCATACTTTAGTCTGTTAGATGTTGTAGTTAGTTGCATCCTGGGTAGTCAGCTGGTAACTAATGTTTTACTCGTTTTACTATTGATTAATTTATTTTGTCTTTAGGTAGTGAAGCGATGTATTGTCTTTTGGAGATTGTTGCTGTTGTTCCTGAAAGTATTGCAGTGAAGTTATCTCAAAATCTGGATTGGTTAAAGGTAAAATGTAATCATAAATAGTAATTTGATGTGTTTTGTTCTTGTGCTATTTTATTGTACCTGATTATACAAATCATTAAATTCAATCAAAGTGGTTGAGGTAAATACTGAAGTAAAAGTATTAATTTAAACAATTTCAGAAATAATGTGCTTTGTTGAAATTAATATTAAATATAGTGAGGTTGGAAATTTAAAAATATATTAATTCAAAACACAATGAATTTAGAAATATATATGAATATGTATAACCTCTTCTTTAGTAAAGGTTCTTTAATTTAGTTGTATGGGATTTTTTAACAAAAGAAATGTGATTTAATTTTCTGGTGTTTGTTGATAGGGTATTGGTTAGTATTTGTGACACTTGATGCTCAAAAGTTTGATAATAAAAACTGATTTTTTAAAATTGTCTTTTGTTTTTCACCACAAATTTTCCATTGACTTTTCCAGACACTACTCTGTAGCTCTAAAGATGACATCAAACAATATGCTGCGGAGTTGTACGCCATTGTCAGCTTCCACATCAAGTCTGAGGTGGATTTTTATGCTGATGTGAAAACATTTTTAGGAAATCTGGTTGATAAGGTATGGAAAATGTACATACTCCTGCAGATTTAACATATACAGGTGTCAATTCTTACATGTCAAGAAGTGTATTGTTTGGTGCTAATAGAGACAGAAAACTAATCTTGCAGTTTTAAATACATCTTTACCTTCTCTAGTCCTTTCTCTTTAATATTTCTATGAACCTTTGATATAAGATTTTTAAGTTTTATCTTTTTAAATGTATATCTCTTTTTTTTTTTACTTTTTTCTATACTTTTAAAAATTACATTGGCTAAGCTTCCTTATCCAATACTCTTTTAAAACTTACTTTTCCAATTTACACTTATTTTCCCCATACTTATTAACCTAGATTCCCCATACTTATAGTTCTTCCCTCTGTTTACTTTTCCTGCACCTGACATTGTTTGTATTTGTGTTCCTATCAGAACCCTGAGCTTGGACTGGGTGCCCTGCTTGCCCTGGGTTATTGTATAGGCCTTAAGCTGAGACAACTGAAGTAAGACCAATGATATTCAAGTTTTTAGTCATGTGACCTGAGCATGTTTACTGAGTCTGTATTGGGCTTAAACCTAAACACACCCCACAAATAATAACTTTACTTTTTTCTATTACAGGACTTCAGGTGGTCTAGACATGGCAAAAGAACAATTATTGACTCAATGTGTAACAACTATTGGTAAAGTGTTTTTTTTAAATGTAGCTAAATGTTTTTTTTTCTTCTATCACTTATGTAGCTAAATTACAAATTAATTTTTCCAATGTCTAACAGCCACACTCCTTACTGACAAAAACATATCTAAAAAATCCCTTGCCTGTCTGGCACTGGGAGAGATTGGGAGAAATGGTCCACTGCCATTGTTGCCAGGAAGTGAGCTGGTGCCAGAGACAGAGGCCAAACAGGAAGGAGAAATTAAAGATGGGGACATCACCAAAACATGGCTAGTCCGCAACCTGGTAGCCATGATCAAAACCAGTAATGAGTCCAACAAGGTCAGTTTCTTATAGGGAGTGTTTATTGAATATTCTTTTAAGGAACATTTGTTTAAGATCCTCTCAGGTAGCCATGATTAAAACTAGTAATGTGTCCAACAAGTAAGTTTCTTCTAGGGAACATTCAGTGTTGTTCCTCTTGTTTAGCGTTCACTAATGTTTTATTAAGGGAACATTCAATGATAGGGCCATTAGAAAAATATTCTGTTTGACTTTTTGTTGTGATGCTCTTGTTGTGTTGTACCCTGATGCAGTTGTACCCAGCTGTACCCTGATACATGTTGTTTTAAACTGAGATCCACTGAAGATGTGAGTGCCCAAATTGTAAGTTGAAAGCATTCAAGTTTGAGAATCTGGTTTCCACAGACAAAAGAGAGAGCTGCTTCCTGTCTGGGAGACATCTGTGTTGGTGATGAGAATTTCCCACAGAAAAGAAAAGCTATGGAGGAACTGATCAATGCTGTGCAGGTGAGTTTATAGACAGATTCTAATAGACATTATGTTATAGACTGATTCTGTCATAGACAGCTATAAATAAATAAATTGTCAATGTTCTACCTTCCTATTAAAAATTACATTAGTAATATGTATCTTATAAAACCTGTAAATTAATAAGTGATTTAAATTTTAAAAATTCGTATGTATTTTTAAATTATATTTTCTAACAAAATATAATTATTTGAAAAAATTAATAATTTTTTTGTATTCCCGTGAAATAAGCCATTTAATTAATATCAACAAAATGTGTTTTGTTCAACTTTTAATAATGCTTGTGATTTGAATCATAGTTTTTGTACTACCTACAGTAGTATTAAACTAAAAATGTGCTGTACAATTTTTGATGTTATGATCAGTCCAAGCAAGTGGAGCTGCAGTTCACTATAGGGCAGGCACTAGTGGACATGGCCATGGGACCAAGTTCCTCACGTGCCAGATGTGTGTGGACAACCTCCAAAGAGGATCATCAGGTTGGTGCTGTTGTTTTAATGACAATTTACCTCTCATTACTTCCTCTCTACAACCTAACATGGATTGATGTTATATTGTTATGTTACACTTTGTGATTTTTACTTCAACACAATTTCTCAACAGAAAATGTTCAGTAAGTCCAGTGAAGATGTGAAATGGTTTTTACAAGAACTTTTGTCCAAGTATATTTGCCATTCAAATCCTTTTCTGAGACAGGTTGGTTCATCATTTGTTTGAATTAGCAGTTGGTTTATTGTTATTGATGTTATGCTTAAATTCTTATTTCTTTTATCATGGATAATCTGTAGCTAGATTTAGTGTTTATATAATGGCTTGCATGCTTTTATTTTAGATTAACTGATTGTTTTTATTGTGTTGCTGTATATGATGGTTGTTATTATTATGTTGCTGTATATGATGGTTGTTATTATTGTGTTGCTGTATATGATGGTTGTTTGTATTGTGTTGCTGTATATGATGGTTGTTTTTATTGTGTTGCTGTATATGATTGTTGTTTTTATTGTGTTGCTGTATTTAATGTTTGTTTGTATTGTGTTGCTGTATATGATGGTTGTTTGTATTGTGTTGCTGTATATGATGGTTGTTTGTTGCTGTATATGATGGTTGTTTTTATTGTGTTGCAGGGTGCTTGTGTTTGGCTCCTGACACTGATTCGCCAGGCTGGCCATCATGAGGCCATACAGAGTGCCCTTGTTGACATCCAAAGAGGCTTCATGAGAATGCTCTCTGAGAATGATGGTAAGACAACATTTAGACACTGTTGTGTAAAGTATATTTACATGGCTGATTCTCTTATTGAGCACTAAATATGCAGGTGTTAAAAATTGATATAGGAGATGTTGTTCCTTACAGTACTTCATTACCTAACATTTTTAAGGGTGAAAAGTCTTTATCTTGGTTAAGTATGTTGGATTTCTCAAAATCCATTTAGATAGGAAGTAAGCTTATTATAGGACGTAACACTAAGAAAATACACTATGATGATTCATGTGTTGTGTGTTACAGAAATCACCCAAGACTTAGCGAGTAAAGGATTAGGACACACCATGGACATCTGCACACCTGAACAGAAAGACACACTGGTTTCTGAGCTGGTGGAAACTCTCATGACAGGGAAGAGGTCAGGGGTCACACTATTTTCTAAAAATTGAGATTAAAATTCCTTTCTTATAGTTTTGTTGTAGCAGCTAATATTAAATAAATGAATTAACTTTTTTCATCTTTTGGTGATAAAAATATTTGATGCAGTTTTTCTGTGTTATTTTAGTGCTAAGAATGAAGTGAGTGCTGACACAACTGTATTCCAGAGTGGAGCACTAGGCAAGGCACCTGATGGGTAGGTTCTAATGTGATTTCAAAAGTTGTTGTGGGGTATATATGATAGACAACTTTTGAACTATTGGCAAGTGAGTAAAGTGATTTGAAAATCCAAGTAGTTAGGGAATCACAATCTTTAGAAGTTTTTTTTTTGCAATAGCAGCAGATACCTAAATTAGACAATTAAATACTTCTATTTTGAACATAGTGGAGGACTTTCTACCTACAAGGAGCTGTGTGCAATAGCTACTGACCTTAACCAGCCAGATCTCATCTACAAGTTTATGCATTTAGCCAACCATAATGCTACATGGAATACTCGCAAGGTTTGGTATCTTTTATGTATAGATTTTAAACATTTTTTGTTTGCTAATCTACCATAAAAAATAAGATGTTAAATCCCTTCATATTAGCAGAAAGTAATAGCTTGGAATCTTTCTTTAAGTGCCCAGCAAACAGTTAATATTTTAGTTTAACAATAAATCTTCTATCTTCTGATAATCAGTTATTGAAACAAAGGAAATTAAACTTTAAAATGATAATAACCTAAGTTACTATAGTAAAAAATATTGTTTGATGCTGAGATTTAGGGGACCTTGAATTTTGTAGGGAGCTGCGTTTGGTTTCTCCACCATAGCGGCACAAGCAGGGGAACAGCTGGCGCCCTACATGACCCAGATTGTACCCAGGCTGTATCGCTACCAGTTTGACCCCAATCCCAAGATCCAGCAGGCCATGTCAGGGATTTGGAATGCTCTGGTCCAGGATAACAAAAAAACTGTAAGTAGCAGAAAAAAAAACAGTAAGTAACAAACCTTCTGCTGGGGGTTCACTCTTTGAACATTTTGTTTCATTCTGCCAAACTTACCAGATTTACTTTCAACCCATTAATGCAGTTTCTGATCATGAGTCTTATGACTCAACTCATCCCTCCAGAGTCAGACTAACAGCTACTGGACAAAAAATATTTCCTGGTTATGTACTTTATTACTGATTTTATTCAAACCTGAAAAAATACTTCTCTGAATCTCTTGAAATAATTAAAATACCTGGGAAGGATGGAATTACATGTCCCATTGCAAAAAACAAAAGATGGAGGAGGGTTGCTGAAGGCCTTTCAATTATAGTTTTTTATCCTTGAATTTGAGTATCTCTTGCTAGTTTTTATTTATTTGTTACAGATTTCTAAATATTAATTTTTTTTATAGGGCATCTTGATATTACCATCCAAATAATTGTTTCAGATTGACACATATCTCAAACAAATCCTGGATGATCTACTCAAAAATTTGACCAGTAACCAATGGAGGATTAGAGAATCCAGGTTTGTTTAAGTTTTGCTAAGATTTTCTCCTCCGCTTCCTCCCAGTAGACATTAACACAAGCAAGCTATTCTTGTTGGACATGAATAATTATTGCAATTCTTCTGATCAAACTATGCTGGTCTCACTGTGTTGATCAAACAATGCTAGTCTCACTGTGTTGATCAAACAATGTTGGTCTCACTGTGTTGATCAAACAATGCTAGTCTCACTGTGTTGATCAAACAATGCTGGTCTCACTGTGTTGATCAAACAATGTTGGTCTCACTGTGTTGATCAAACAATGTTGGTCTCACTGTGTTGATCAAACAATGCTGGTCTCACTGTGTTGATCAAACAATGTTGGTCTCACTGTGTTGATCAAACAATGCTGGTCTCACTGTGTTGATCAAACAATGTTGGTCTCACTGTGTTGATCAAACAATGCTGGTCTCACTGTGTTGATCAAACAATGCTGGTCTCACTGTGTTGATCAAACAATGCTGGTCTCACTGTGTTGATCAAACAATGCTGGTCTCACTGTGTTGATCAAACAATGTTGGTCTCACTGTGTTGATCAAACAATGCTGGTCTCACTGTGTTGATCAAACAATACTGGTCTCACTGTGTTGATCAAACAATGCTGGTCTCACTGTGTTGATCAAACAATGTTGGTCTCACTGTGTTGATCAAACAATGCTGGTCTCACTGTGTTGATCAAACAATGCTGGTCTCACTGTGTTGATCAAACAATGCTGGTCTCACTGTGTTGATCAAACAATGCTGGTCTCACTGTGTTGATCAAACAATGGTAGTCTCACTGTGTTGATCAAACAATGCTGGTCTCACTGTGTTGATCAAACAATGCTGGTCTCACTGTGTTGATCAAACATCACACCCAGTCACAGACCTACTCTACTGTTTCCACCCTAGGTCACAAGGGTCAACATGATTTAACAATGTACCAGATTTTTAACACATCCAATGTTTCCACTGTTTAGCTGTCTGGCTGTAAGTGACCTGCTTCGTGGTAGAGTGCTGGACAGTGTCCTGGAGGATATACCAAAGTTGTGGGAGACTTGTCTCAGGGTTAGAGATGATATTAAGGTATGTACACGTACTCTGCCTATATTATTAAGGTATGTACTTGTACTCTACCTATATTATTAAGGTATGTACTTGTATCCTTTCTATTGTATTGAGTTATTATGACATGTATTTTATCCATCAGCAGACAAAATTAAATCAATATATTTTTTGGAATAAATTTTTTGTGGCATGTAAAATATTTTTGTATATTGTATTGTATTACATTGTTCATAATTTGCTTATACTTTCAGGAGTCTGTGCGTTTGGCTGCTAATTCAGCTTGTCAGACATTAAGCAAGGTAAAAAAATGGTTATTCATGCTCCAATTTATTTTTATACTTCTTATTTGCTAGCTCTTTCATTTACTGAAACTATTTTCACCTAACTACTTGACTATGGTGATAGCTGTGTCATTGTTCACAACTGTTTTTCATAAGGTTTCCATTAAACTGTGTGATGTGAGCAATGGCAAATCTGGAGAAAAAGCCACAAAGCTTATTCTTCCATGTTTGCTGCAGTGCTCTCTACATAGCACTGTTTCTGAGGTTAGAACCATTGGGTGAGTTGTTTCCCTTTAAATGTTCCTTCTGTTAGATATATTTCTTAGGTTAGAATTATTTGTTAAGTTGTTACCCTAAGGCTAGATGTAGTTATGGTACTCCACACTTCATACATACAAGAAGTAATGCAGGTTTGACTGTGGGTTGTTCCAGGCTTTCAACAATCTTGCTGATCAGTCGCAATGCTGGCGCCCTCTTGAAACCAAATATTCCAGTGTTGGTCCCTGCGCTGCTGGAGGCAGTCAGTGGACTGGAACCAGATGTCATTAATTACCTGAGTTTACACATGGGCACACAGGCTGGGCAAGACAAGGTAAAAAAAAAATTTGAAACCTTATAGATCCATTTTTTGAAATTTACAACCATATATATATATATATATATATATATATATATATATATATATATATATATATATATATATATATATATATATACTTAGATTATTAATTTATAACATCCTCTAATTTTACAAATTTTTGTTACATATCTTTTATAATTTTTGTATGTACATTATAAATTCTCACCGCCCTGTACTGTTTTATACAGTTGCTCACCATATTTTTGCTTACAGCTGGACAGTGCTAGAATAGCTGCATCCAAGATGTCTCCAATGATGGAAACAGTGAACAGGGTAAGTCTCTTTGGCAGGAAATTAAAAACATTTTGGCTGGAACTTGTGCACTAGCAGGTATTTGTTGTTACCAGTGGTCTTTGAAGGGTATGTTACATGTGGTATATCATGTGTATGTTACTTATGTTATATCAAGTGTTTGTTGTCACATGTGTTATATTAAGTTTTTGTTAATGTTCCTTAGCTGTTACATATCAAGTATATGTTGCTCGTATTATATTGAGCGTCTTAAGTGTTTGACTTTTACCTAGTGTTTGACTGTTGTCACCTGTGTGTTTGTCGACCATTGTTTTATTTGATTCCAGTGTTAGACCAGTTTTTGACCACTTTGTCTGACCACTGTTTGTCTGACCACTGTTTGTCTGACCACTGTTTGTGTGATTCCAGTGTGTCCAGTATGTGGACAGTGAAGTTCTGGCAGAGTTGGTGCCCAGACTTGTTGAACTCATTAGAGGTGGGATTGGAGTCAGCACTAAGGTCAGTTTCTTTTATTTCTTTCTTTCTTTTATAGTAGGTCATCACTAAGATTAATTTCTATAATTATTGTTTGATTGTTTTTGTGACTGAACAACAAAAAATGTTTTCTTAAAAAAAATGTTTAATTGTTTAAATAGATCTTTTAACAGATGTTTTGATTGGATAAAATAGTAATGCCACAGAACCCTTTAGCATAAGAAAAAGTTGACCTTTGTTTCTCTCTCTATTAGGCAGGTTGTTCCAGTTTTATTGTCTCTCTAGTCCATCAGTGCCCACAAGATCTCAGCGCTTTTGCAGGTATGTCAACATTTGCTCTTACAATACTAACTTCATATAATAGATTTTACTTTAAACCTGTTTAAAGCTTTGTGAAATTATCCTAAGTGATACTACGCTCTTTGATATTAAACTATTTAATATCACCAAGCTATCATTAACCTTGGTTATATTACCTCATTGCTTTTATTCAAGGAAAATTACTGGCTGTGTTCTTACATGGTTTGAATGATAGGAATGCAACTGTCAGAAAATCTTACGCAACTGCCATTGGTCACTTAGTTCGAGTAAGTAGAGGTGTTATTTAAGTTTTAGTCAGAATTAGTTATAATAATATTTAAAAAATATGTTTTTTTGCTTGCTTTATTTCTTTGACCATTGACAAATTACAGGTGGCTAAAGACAGCAGTGTTGAAAAACTGATAGAAAAACTTAAAACCTGGTATATGGAAAGTGAAGGTAAATCTATCTGTCACTTATTGTTTAATGTGTTTACTTTGCCTAGTGAGTCAGGTACCCATCACAGCTGGTTAGACTCAGGGACAATCTACTGACTTGGACCTGGATTTGAACTCGAGACTTTCTGGTTAGCCATCTAGCACTCTTCTGCTAGGCCACGCTGTCCCACCTTTTATGGTCAGCTTAACGGCTATTCTTAGATTTCTGGTTTTCCCATATATATATATATATACCAGCCTAGTTGTCTAAAGTATTGTTGAACCCAAAACATTATGTTAATTTGTTTTTACATTTGTTTTATTAGAAATTTCTTTTACTTGAATAACAAATCTATTTTTAGAATCAAGTATAAATTTTGTCCTTCTTGCTGTAATTGTTTACACATGATGTTTTTGTTTAATTTTGTAGAACCCAATGCACACCATGCATGTTGTGTTACCCTCCACGCCATGGCCAGACACAGTCCTGACCATCTGCGCAGGCACGCAAATCTCGCCATGCCGTTAGCTTTTTTTGCCATGCATGAGGAAGTGAAGAAAGATGAAGGAAAGAAATCAGATGAACCAACAGACTGGGAGGTTGTGTGGAGTGAGATAACACCAGGTATGAATGTTCATAATAAGGAAATGTAAAACTAATTGGGGCATTGAGCTGATAACATAGTCCCTTCATTTACCAAGGTCAGATAAACAGTTAACTCTGCTTCATCTCTCTAATGGACCTCCAGGTCTGAATAGGAAGGCTTTTTTTAAAACTTGACACCTAAAAGAAAAGGGTTTAAATTAATTGTATCACATCTTATGAGGCTTATTGTAATCTTTTTACTTGATTAAAGACAAAATATTTCCTGTATAGCTTAAAAATTATAATTGTTAAAAAAATGATGATTTCTAAAAACACTGCTTTCAAATAAATATTTTGTGACTCCCCAGGTACAGAGGCAGGCATCAGACTTTACCTGCCAGAGATTGTGTCGTTGCTGTCTGCCTCCATCCTCTCCCAGACCTGGTCCCTCAAGTCCCAGACAGCTCGAGCCATGGCCACTGTGGCCCAGAAGTTGGGAGCCCAGCTCTGTCCTCCATACCTGGACCAGCTCTTGACTGCCCTGTTGGAAGGTTTATCTGGCAGAACCTGGGAGGGCAAGGTAAATCAGTTGTAGCTTATTCTGTGTACAATCATACCTGTAATTTTGTCCGTTAGGAGATTGATTTAGTCTTAGTACCTGTAATGTTCATTGTAGATGAGATGATTTATTCACAAAATGCTACAAAAAATACTTTGGTTTTAAAAAAATGTGCATGCTAATAATATTATTTTGAGAAAGATAATTATAAAAATTTTGGTGGTAAAATATTTTGACTCGCATTCTTCCATTCCTCTTATTTATTGTTTCAAATCCTACTTAAGTTTACATAGACAACTTGTATTTATAGCTTTTATTTTAAAAGACTTCTTAGTAATGATATTTAATTACTTTTAGAAACTTTTAATCTTCAAAGAGATAATTGCATTAATCCTGTTATTTTTTAATTTAAACTCTTGTTAACTAATCTATTTCTTTATTGCTCAAGAAATAAATACAATTTTGTCTCAATAGGAAGCCATATTGAAAGCTGTATCAGCAGTGTGCACCTCATGCAAGTAAGTGATTCCTTGCTGTTTCAAAACCTTTTTGTTTTCATTGGTTGTTTTTATCAACATAGAATACTCTGTACTGCACAAAATAAGTTTAAATTTTATTTATTGTCTAACCAATGTCATTTGATCAAAAAGGATGTCAATGCGGTATTTGAGTCTTTATTTGAAAAGTTCAAGGTTTGTTTTGGTTATTTTAATAACAGCAATAAATTCATTTTTTAGGGAAGAAATACTGAAACCATCAAATAACAAGCCAAGCATTGAACAAGTGAGTAATGTATTGGTTGGTTGTCTAGTGTGAAATAGAGAGTATGTAGAATTTACTAAAATGTGGGTGTTTGTGTAGTGTGAAGATTATTGGGGTTGAAAGTGGATGATGGAGAATGAAATAATGTGATGTAGATGTGATGGACAGTCAGTCAGTTTCATCCTGTTAGTTGTAATGGATGTTGTGTTTGTGTTCCTGGAATAGGGGGTCAAGTCTTGTCTGTCAGAGTGTAAAGAAGTTTTCTAGCATTTTCATGAAAATATTAGCGTCATAGATTTAGTATGTTTCCAATTTCTTTTAAGTCCTGTGTAGAACCTTACACAGTGGTAAAGACTTCCCACCACCTTGCCTGGTTTGGGACTACACCCCGAACATATCCAGCCAACTCTTACAGTAATTTAGTTTTTGACTTTTCCCTAACAGATTTTGACAGCAGTTCTTCGAGAATGTGGGAAAGAACAGCCTGCCTACAAAATGGCTGCCATGACCTGTTTGGGTTCCATATTAGAAACTTACCAGTTGGATAACTTTAATGCAGTCTGGGAAATGACAAAGCCTGTTATCAATGAGGTCTGTTAACTATGCCGTATAGAAATGACCCAACATAGTTCTGGTAACTAACATTTTAAGATGTTGTTCTACTAATGCTCTTGTTTACATTGTAGTTATCCAATAAAACAAGATCTGAGGATGAGGAAGAGGGAAACATCAACCAAAAACAGGAAATGATCACATGTGTTTTTACACTGTTGGGGGAAGCTTGGCCGGAATCTCGCTCTACTCAAGGTACCGATAGTTGTCCCAATGTCTTGCATACTTCTTTATTTTATTTTAAAAAGTTTAGCTCTGAACATAACAATAGTTGGTTACACATGAAGCATGATGATTTTATTTTGAACTGTGAAATTAAATATTCTGATTTAGTTGTTAATGTTTATAACATCATTGATAAATATCACAATTTTAAAAGTATGAAATATGTATCATTTAATTTAAATCAGCATTCAAAGTCAGAAACTAAACACAATTGTGTACACACTTTTTTTGTTTAGATAAGTTTGGCAGCCAGTATGTTGATCTGCTGTGTGATGCTGTGCCAAGAACTACATGGAAGGTCCAGCTAATTATCTTAAAAAATTTACAGAAACTTGTAAAAAGGTCATTATAATTTCATTTTGATTATCTTTATTTACACTTTTTTTTAATAAAGGGTTAAGCTGTAACTAAACAACATAGAGTTTTGAGTTAAAGTTGTGAATAATTTCAGACTGATCATCATGAGAAAAGATGAGCTACAAACAAACTTGTTGTCTGTAGAGGTCTTGGTGAACAAGGTTCTGGCAGTTTCTCTCTCTAATATAAGTAAGTTTCTTTTTTACCTTGGTTTTTTTTCTACCTGCTGTTTTAGTCCTATCCTTCGCCTCAATGGTCTCAAAATGTCAGACACATCCCTAAAATAATGTCACACTTAAGCCCACCCTGCCTCACACATTGCAGTAGTTTGTATTTTTGAAACAGTTTTTTTTTTAAATATTAACAGACCTGAGTCATCATTAGGTCTAATTTTATTACATTTTATATTAAAGACTAAAAATTGCTAAAGATTTGCTAAAATTCAGTTTTAACTAGTACTTTTTAAAATTTGAAAGTGATATCACCCATCTTCACAAAAGCAAAATTCTTTAGGGGTGTAACGTCATTTATGGATGACCCCCTAGCCGTTTTCAAACATTATATTCCTGGTTAATATATTACTAAATTCATTGTGTTATTGTTTTAAATGATCTCTGTGGTGGATGTCAGGTTTATACCAAGATTGTTTGGTGTAATTTTTATATTTAAAACTATCTTTCAAATTGCCAATTTACAGAATATGCTATGTTTAATTGTAAAAAATGACATCTGTTCAATATGCTTGTTACAGATAACATAAAGTATGTAACAATAAGAGTTGAGAGTTTGCTGGTTATTGACTTCATTCTTCATCAGCTTGCAGGTAAGAATGGGTACTTCAATGTTGTCAGAAAAAAAGATACATTTTGTGTGGCTTACAATAGACATAAACCGGAAAACTGGACCCTACTGACTCTTAACTTAAATCATGCTCTTCTTATATAAATAGCTTTGACAATTTGTATTGGTACATTTTTTACTACTTTCATTAATTTATAAAATATTTCTTCTTGATTATATTTCAGATTGTAATCAACTTTCATTAGTCTCGCAACCCCTCATGGTTCAGCTCAGGGAAGAGTTAGCTCCCATAGCTGATTCTGGCCCTTGGGAGTTGAGAGATCGAGCTAAAGTTTTGAATGGGTTAATTGGTACACCGACCAACTGCGGCGAAAATCAACCTCAGGCTATGGAGCACTGAGTGCATATGACTGTAGCAGTCCTAGTTTCTGATTCCTGTTTTTTAATAACAATTTACATTAAATTAATGTTTCCTGTTGTTATTTTTCTGTTAGTTTTAAAGTTGATCCCTAATGAAACTTTAAAGTGTGGTCCATTCTTATGATTGTATTTTACAGTGACGTTCAGTAAATACAATACCTTCGTTAAAATTTGAGAGGGTTCTTACTAATTTAGTTTTTTTTTAACACAATAGCAGTTGGGCTGTTAAACTTAGTTGGTTATTTTAGATTAAACTCCCCTATGCAATAATTTGTTCAGTCAATGAGAAGCATTGAAATACTTGGGTTTCCAAATTAATGTACTTATTGTGTGATTTATATGAATGCATATAATCAGTGGTTTTAAGACTTAAGCTTTGTTTTAATTCACAGAACATAATTCTATCAATGCATATTTTTAGAAACAATTGCTGTATTTTAAAAAAAGATACAATAGTAAATAAAATAAACAAATGTTGTCCCAAATATTTTATTGTTTTTTTTTAAACTTCAGTTGTTTTGTCTTGTTTTATTTTATTTTAGATATCTTAAATCAAAACTGAAAAAAGTTATAGTATGGAGGGTTAAAGTAAACTTTTTAAAATCCTTATCTTGTTTGTGAGCATTTATGTTTAAACAAACAATTTAATTCTTTCCCTTTATAAACCTTTAGCAAATCTCCAGAATGGGCTAGACTCTGTAGAACATTACTGAGTCCACCCAGCTCTGATGGGTACCTGACTCAGGTTAGGGGAACAAAGGTGGTTGGGCATGGTACTCACCATACTATCCAATGGTATAATGAGATCATTAAAACAGACGATCTCTACCTTATCTGCCCAATGTGTCATTGCCATGAAAGAGAAAAGATGTGAAATATCAAAAAAAAAAACAATGTAACAATTCTTAAATAAAAATTTCATACCAATTTATTTTTTTCCATCTTAAATAGGTTAAGTTTGAGCAACATAGGATTAGAATAAGAGTAAAGCAATGTGTAATTTGAAAACATTAGAACAAATGAAATCAATGTTTAAAACATAACTCTAAAAACATCAATATTTTCCAAAGCTAGTGAATGAAACTTGTAGGGTGCCTTCATGAATTAGTATCTACAATTTCTCATTATGAATGCCAAAAATATTAAGTATAATACAATCGTATATATATATATATATATATATATATATATATATATATATATATATATATATATATATATATATATATATTATATAAAACTAGATTTTTAATCAAATATAGTTGTGTAAAATCAGGTGAAATCTATCTTATTAACCAAAGTGAATCAGCTTTCTATATTTTAAATACATTAATATTTATTAGCCTACATAATTTATTTTACTAGTTAAGATAACTAATCATTCATCTGTTTATAATAAAACTGATAAATATCAGCGACCAAAAGTATTCATTACTTTTAGTTTGGTTAAATATTTAGAACTGTTTTAAATAATAAAGAGACAGTTTAATTAGTCTCAACGTAGATTGTTTGCGGATTTCTTGAAGTACGATTTGGCATCTTTTAAAAATGAAAAGAAAATTGGCAAGCTGGCATATACTGATTAGGTTTACGAAAATAATGTTTAAGAAACGAAAGAATACTTCAGGGTATGTCAAGAACTGGTTAAGCAGAAATAGTAATATTAAAAATATTATTAAAACTATGTTTAAATATTGTCATAAATATATTACATTTCATTTACTTCCTTTCAAAGATTTTATATTAAAAATTTTAGCTTAAAAATGGAATGCTAAAATCATTTTTGTTTGATGTTTTTATTCTATCTTGTTTCAGAAAAAAAAACGTAAGTTAAACATTAGAAGCCTAAAGTTTAATAATATTCATCGTATTAATAAATTAAACCAAAATCATGCAAATTTACAGATGATGTTTCATTAATTGTTTTTTTTAATATATTTATCTGTTGGTTACTATTAATTTTTAAATGTCAAAATTCGACCTAATTTATTTATTATTTCTTTAGGATAAACTATTTTAGGTATTTTAAATACCACAGATAAGAAGTAACCTACCCCCCTCCCCCGCTTATGATCAGGCAAATATATTACTACTTACAGATGAGGGTTAGACTTGATGCCTATTTTTAGTGGGTTTAGCAAAAGGAGCTGTTTTTGTAGGTTGCTGGGTTTCCACTGTCTATAAATGACGGGGGGGGGCGTGATAATTTTTGTTATTATGATGGCGATTAGGTGGTCTGCATTCTGTAATTATTATATTAGACGTGTACCACATAGGGTATTCTACCTTAAATGATTATATAGCTCTGTTTTACTATTGCATGTTATATAGTTTATTGTTCCTTGAGCAGCACAGTCAGTCTTGTAGGCATATATATCTAGGCCTATGTTTAATCGTTTTCTATCTGCCCGATCCCTTCCCCGATAATAGTCCCACTAGAAATTAACACTACAAAAGCCTTCCAGGCAACTCGATCACATGCTATTTTCCCCATACCCCACCCCCTTCCCTGAGCAACATGTCTGTAACTACAGGTTTTTTTTTTGGGGGGGGGGGGGAGGGGGGTAGGTCTATTTGCACTGACTGCGGATTTTTTTTTAAAGCCACATTAAAGACAGAGTTAATGTCTTCCGTACCTACGGTCCAATTTAGATAAAGAATTGTTGACATGCATATGGGCCAACTAATTAGACACACGAACTAATAACTAAATACTAGGCTATCATCAACGTAACAAAAGCACTGGACACGTTCAAGTTGCAGACTTTGACGTAGGTTGTTTACACAAATCAGAACAGCCGGCCGACGTTTATCTAATTTAATTATGTAAAGAACTAAGTGGCTCTGTTAAGATATAGACCTATAGATCATATAGGCCTAGAGCACACACACTCAGATAGGAGGCACGTGACATCATAATATATGTGGGTAGATTAGAACAGAAAATATTATATTAAGGTAAGTGTTAGTAAAGATTGGGGTTTTTATTGGTAAGTCTAGTTTACCTATTCGTATATCACCTACATTGATGTTCTAATCCTCAGTGCTAGTTAAGAGGTAGGACTGGGGTAATTATTCCTTTATTAAGATTAATGCGTCTTTATACACTCTGTTAATTGACTGATATGAAGATGTGTCTTTATGCATCTTTTACCTATCGACAAGAATCAATAGGTGATGAATGGGGCACATAGACCAGAGGCTTGTGAGAGTATATCATCAAATAGCGTCAAACACCGGGAGAGGGGTTGGGGTCAGACTACAGACACTATATTGTGGGGATGTGCCACGTGGGGGTAAGGCACGATAAATTTGACGTGGCGTATGTTTTCAAGAACAAAGTGATGACAAAAAACATGACAAATAGAGTTACCTCTTATTATTTTTTTTTTGGAGGGATGTGGCTTCTTTAGAATGTTTCTGGCTTTTTTTTGGTGATGCATGGCATTGTAAACGGAGGGGAGGGAATGTTAAGTTGCCCCTAAACATTATGTCACTGAGTGATGGACGACCATCATATAACTTTTTTTTTTAAAACTACCTCTTAGCTCTTATTTAAACTAGTGTGTGTAATTCACTATAGTTTTATTGTTTTAAATTTACATACTGTTGATATAGGCCTAGTAAGGGAATGTTAATAGTTTGTATCTTTATTTTATAATAGATTTTACATTTAAAGAATCAAACCAACAAGATGGCGCCCCAATCTTTGCCTGTTCTGTATGCTTCTGGTACACACTACCAAGTTGGGTTTACTGTGGGGCAGACGTTTGCATCTAACATTAAAAGGTAAGTAAAATGGAAAATTACTCTGCTATTAGTGGTTTTGTGTGAAAAATTTATGGGAAGAAATCCTTTATCAAAATGGTTTTCGCATTGTATTCAGATAATTAAAAATACCAAAGTAAGGCTGATTTAACTACATTTTAAGACCTAGCTAAAATGAAAACAATGTGTATAAAATTGTGATACAGAATGGTAGAATGTGTTGACTGAAAGGTAGAACTGACTAGAATCAGAAAGCTGTACATTCTATGTTTGCCTCAGGTTTCTAGCAGAGTCCACTGGAGTTCAGGAAATTGACATTCCATTTTACAATTCAGACCAGGGAAAAAACCATTTCAACTCAATGTTGGAAATATGCAAAACAAACTTTCCTCAGTATGTACAGGAGGTAACTATGTTAGTGTGTGTGTATATGTATATGCATATGTATATGTATGTGTAAATGTATGTATATATATATATATATATATATATATATATATATATATATATATATATATATATATATATATATACCTATAACAGTAAATAATTGTTTAATTTCAAGTAATAAGTACTTAGTATTAAAATAATGTATGTTTTGTAATGAAAAATAATCACACTAAGACCAAAGGCTATTAGTTTGTACCTAAGGTAAGCAGCTAATTAACTAATAATTTTATATATTTCAGATGTTTACTTTTCTAAGTGTATTGGTTAAATATAATAAAATGCTGAATTATCAGTTTTTCACTTGACAGATACAAGGAATGGCAGATGGAGCTGGTATCAACTTTGATGATCTCTTCAAGCTCAGCTTGTCCAAGGAAGTCCACAACATTTTAGCCAAAGAGCCAGCTAAAGCCAAGGTCAAGGAGATGGCTGGCTGCACTGACATCTTTATCAATAAGCCAACATGTAAAATTTTAGGCCACAATGAAGTAAGGGAAGGGGAGGGGTTAATGTAATCATTATAATATTAATTCAACTTTATTCATGCAAGATAAGATAAGTATATATAGTCCAACTTTTTTTCTTATCTTAGTATTACTTCACACTCGATATGAGCTTACTAATACATATTTCATTTTTATGTGTTACTTAGTAAAATTAATTTCATCTTAAAATAGCAGTAAGAATGTGTGAATATAGTTGATAAAGAGTGAACTACAGAGGTTGTACAATTGTTATTTTATCGTCCACAGGACTGTGATCCCAAAATTAAACCTTATGGCTACATCCTCAGTGCATGTATATTAGATGATGAAGACAAAGAGGTGGAAAACTTTACTGCTTATTGCTACCCTGGGGTCTTGCCTGGGACAGCATTTTCTTTTAACAAGTATTTATAAAAATGTTGGATACAATTTTGCATACAAATGTCTAACTACACCTCCAAAATGGAGGTGTCAGCTTGTAAGAAATAAACAACTAACAAATCTAAACTCCAACCTAGAACGTCAATAGTTATTTACTGTTAATAGTATAACACCCACAAAGATATATAGGTAGAATCATCTTAGTATTGATTCAAAAGGATTTGACAGGTTTTTTATGAATATTATTAACAGTAATAGATTTTAATTTAAGAATATTTTTCCCATCCAATATTGGTAGAATTTTACATTTCATATTTCTAATTTTACAGACATGGGATGGTTTTTACTGTAGATGGACTGTATCCTAATTTTATTGTCCCTAATGCTCCTCCTAGGTAAGATTACACTTTGAAATTTAAAATGTCATAAAAATTAAATTAATTTTGACTTTATTTTAACTGATAAAGTCACATACATATTGGGTTCCATGTGCTAAGATATTGCCCACACAATTTAATTTAAGTTGTTTAATTTCTGTAGGGCCTACTGATTTTAATGCTTTTTTGTTTTTTTTATATGGTGGAAATATATTTCTTTTAAGTTACAAAGTTGAAGTAAAATTAAGGTATAGAGTTACGGCTAAGTTCAGTTTCCTAAAAATAGAATTTTTTAGATAACTAACAAAAAAATCTTACCTAACACATATTATGAGGTGCGTTTTTTTTTTAAAGAATAAAATCATTTTTTAAGGGATTAAAAAAATATTTTTGCATGTTTTTGTGCATATATTATACTGCATATAATTAAATTCAACAGAATGTTTCTTAACCGTAACATTATAAAAGCTCGATCATTGGATGAGGCAGTAGAATTGATTGAAAATAAAGGTTTTGGTGTGGCATATGGATTTACTGTGAACATTGCAGATGTTAGAAAACCTAAAGAGATGTGGTCCATTGAGGTTTGTTTATAGTTTCATTTAGGAATTCGACACCAATGCAATTACCCTTTGTTTGTTTAAAGAACATGTATTTTTTTAAAAATATTTTTTTAATTTATGAAGTTATCATGTTGTTACAATCTAAATACAACAGAATTTTTTTGCTAAATTCCAGAAAATGTCATATCAAAGTGACTGCACTTAACAAAATGTCCTCCACCAACCTCCCCCAAGGCTTGAAGCTGTGCGGCAAACAATATTTCTCTGCATTTACTTTCTTGAAATAAAAATTGTGAAACTATTTAAAATTTATCCTTAGATAAGCCCTCAAGCCAACGCAAGCCTATATCATATTCACAAGGTGTCAGAGCAAAGTGACACCCAGGAACCGTGTCACTACATCCATATCAACTCCTTCAAACACCTGACCACACCACAGGTTTCTAAGCTAAGGAGTTCTGAGGCTAGAACTAAAAGAACTGAGGAGGTAGGTGATAGCTTGATCAACTTCAAGTGCTTTTAATATTACCCATAGTTTACATAAATGATGCTTCAGATAATTTATATATTTTAATGAAAAATATGCTAAAAAATAAAATGTATGTTAAATTATGATTGTTGGTAGGTTTATTGGTGAAGGTTTGTCTACCTTATATTATAGATGAGGGTTGTCTCCCTGCTATATCAATTATCTTTTTTTGTTTTTCACTCTGCTGACTTTACCCGATTAATTAACATCACCACTTACTGACATTCTACATCTGTTGTTCTCCAGCTTCCAGCCCCAGAAAACAGAGAAGATGTTTTAAACATGCTGGGTGATGAGGGGAACCAGGACTTCCCCATTTACCGCACTCCCCGCCCCACGGATCTTTCCATCACAGCGTGTACGGTGGTCTTTGACCTCCTGAGGAACAGGGCCGATGTTTACACAGACAACCCAAGCAAAGAAAAGACCAGCCCTTTGTTGCATTTCAGTATCTTAGACCTTTGAGACTTTGATACACAATTATAAATAGCTCCATTGATTTTTAACATAGCTCTACTTAATATCAAATAAATAAGTAACTTTCACTTCTTTTGAAAATTAGACCAAAGCTTGTGTATGCAAAACTTTAAGTGTGAGATATTGTTTTAGCGTTGTGTGAGCGGTTTAAATCCAATTTTTTTGTTGTTTTCAATTTTCTTCTTTCATTGTATCCTTGATTGTCCCATACTCGAGCCTTACTTCATCATGATGTAGAGTCCCTGCTCTACATTTGTTATAAAAAATAACCTATAAATTGTGCACCAATCAAT